ATTTTCGCGTGTAAACGGATCGTGAAAACCGATCGGAATAAATTCGCAGGTAACGGGATACCCGGAGACGGTCATTCGCTGACCGTTTAACGATCCTGCAATCGTCATTAGGTAAGATCATTTATAACCTCCTGCTCTTATCCTATTTACGGTCCTCTCGTAATACTGTCCACGCAGGTCATCGACGATAATTGCAGATTTATACAAGCGTACGGTCATAAGCCATGCACCGTAAGCTATACGCATGCAAATGCATTCGAACACAATTGCCAGTCACTCTAGTCTTGTCGCGGAGCCGACGAAAGGAACTTGTCAAGGCCGATAAAATTAACGTTAATCAATTAAATTTATAAACGCGAACGCGAGACATAATTGCGTACACCGCAAAAAACATCTCCCTAATTACTGGAAAAATTTTGAAATTATTAAAAAAAACATCGTTCTAATTTTATATCATTCTATTGATTATAACAGTTATAATATTAACATACTTTATTGACTAAATTATTAATTATTTATTAAAAATATATAGGAGAAAAAAATACAATTATTAATTACAAAAATACAAGAAAGATATATAATATAAAATTAAAGACAATCGCTGTCGTTTAATATAATGATCAACTTTTTATCTTCCTTTTTTTTTATCTTGCCTAGAAGACATGCGTAAAAAATCGAGATGACTATATCATTAAAAAAAGCATCGAGTCATTACGTCTGATGTATCGAAGCGTCGAATTAATTGCCGCGACATACAATAAATGCGTCGTAATGATGAAATCAGATTAAAAGATAATGACGTCGAATCAACGGTAAAACGCGTAAAACCTAACATATACATTAGTTGTCTGAACATCAGGTTAACGATGTAAAATTAAAGGAATAATTAATACGATGCAGCAGTACAAGATCAATCGACGGAGATAAGTCGTGATAAATGAAGGACACGACATTGTACGATGCTTCGATTATTCGATTATCGAATAATATTTTCTATAAATAAATTTCTACTGCATATGTGTAAGACAAATTATCGTAAATCGTGGCGTTAATCGCGAAATATATCGATTACTTCCCGCGTACGTAGATATGTGGGCGTTCTTCGCGCGCAAATCGCAGCGTATGAACGTTTCACGTAGACAGATTTACGTAGCCAATTTACGTAGCCAATTCAACTGCATTTCTCGAGAATGTTCACAGACGCGAGTTCTATATACGTTCTTACATCTCCCGAAGAGCCATATAAAGGATATAACAAGATTCTTTTTTTTGTTAATGCAGCGCTCATCGATGAAAATAATCTCTAACTTGAGATATTTTATGTCAGAAAAAAAACGTAATGTCCAAAAGACCAATACAAGCACTGACGTACGTATTATAAAATGCTAAAAATACCTCTTGTAATAAATTTTTCTTTTATTATCTATATGGAGAGAAATAAGATATTTATAAGACACACTAATTTATTTTGTCTAAAATCTTTGCATTTTTAAATCAAAATCATTGATTTGTAATATATCTATAATAATTGAGTTAAATATATCTAAATACAGTTCGTGTATCAATAGCCTTGACAGAAAAATATGTAAAATAAAAAAAATATATATAAGTATATTTTTATTTAATAATTTTTGATCTTTATTTAATTATCTTTTAAAATACTCAAATATTCATAGTCTAATTATGCTAATGAGTGATGACAGCTTTATTTAGTACGAATAAATAAGGCAATGCGAAACATACTTACTTCAAAGTTGTAAGAAAACAACGTATTCAAGTTTGCATTATAAATGTGACTACATTAAACACGGCCAATCCGAGTTGCACGACCTAGATTTTTTCTATGATGTGTAGCATTGCGCGTTTCTGTAGCTTCAGTTATATCAACCTAATATTTTCTCTGTAATTAACCATTTTCCGAGATTTTCTCAGCAATTAACCATTTGCCATTTCTTACTTGACACATATGTACACACACATTCATTAGAGAGATTTATTCATCTCTCTGATATTGGAAATCGTACATTTACGCGAATTCCTTTCGCTTTCTGCAAAATAGTTTCCAGTCTATGATTTTAGAACATCTCTTTGAGATAAAAACGCCAATTAAGATCATGGTTTTTTCTAGTGGAAAGTGATGTTTTCTCCAAGGTGGTAATGCGTTTTTAATGCGTGTCAGTCAATCGATGCAAATAAGCAGAATTATATTTTCAATTATATTTTCATTCATATTTTGAATATTCATATTTTTTTATTAATAAGGTTTAAATACGAAAGAAAGAGAAAGAGAAAAACGTGCATGGCAATTAAAAGTAAAGTGATAAGAGCTATTCTTGAATATTTTTTTCATATAATAAATTTTTCATAAAAGTTTTTTGACATAGACAAAACCATTTTGACATTTGATTTTCGATTGTAATGTTTTAGAGATGCTTTAAAAAAATATGACTGGTTTTTTTTCAGATTATCTTACTTGAAATAATCCTTCAAATAAAATTCAATAATGCATGATACAATAAGGCAAGGCATATAACTCTTTTTTCTTTTTTATATATGTATGTACATATATTACTATATTTTATCGAAACGTTATGTATTTTCAAAATGTGTACGAGATATATCGATAAAAGATTTTAATTAGTGTCACTTCAAGTCAAGAGAAAAAATATCCTTTTTTTTGGTGTTCAATATGATGCTTCCTCTTAGGTATTTAGCACGGTAATCGAACAGTCAAACCACAACAGCTATTGTAATGCATGTGAGAATAATAGCGCCTTGTCCCTCAGCGTAAATGAAGATTCACATGTGAAGGTAAAGGCGTAAAAATACTTTCTTTTAAGACGCAGTTTCTCTTCAAGTGAAGAAATAACAGTTTGAAAGGCATTAAACAATACTCCGACTCCCAATGGTGATTGCTCATCATAGTACAGTAATCAAAATAAAATTTTATTTGTATAATGTTGTATAAATTATTTGTAAATTTTTAATTTATGCAATCTAAAAATAATTTAATGATAGAAAAAATATTAAAAGTAAAATTGATATGTTAAAAGTGTATAATAAAAAGAATTATATCTTAAAATATATAATTTAAAAGACACACGTTTTTTATCAGGGCAGAACGGAGCAATTTCATTTCCCTGCATCTCGCAATAACATTCCAGCGGAACAAATGACAAAAAGTAAAAGTCCGAAAGCGTCCACAGAATCTTTGACAATGGATTTCATTGGTTTGTCAGTGTCATGAGAAAAAGCTTATACTTATCTCGCGCATTAATCGTCATCTTATTACGTCCAAACATCCGCTGTTAAAGAAATTACGAGTCTGCAATTTACTCTCTCGATTGTGTGAAATATTACTTTAAAATTAATGTGTCCAATTGCACAATTTAAAGTGTCATACTTATTTCTTAATATATATTCGAGACTAACCGATCACCGGCTACGTTTAGAAGCTCGTCTATGACTCGCGTATAATAATATTAATGATTGTGCAACTCGAGATCTTCATTAATCTGACATCCTCATTACGAGAAGAAATAAAGACTGAAGCAACATATTAGCAGTAAATTAAAATTTATGATTGTGCTACACATCCAAAGATTTCTTGACATGATATTGCCGGATTAATAAAGGTTGAATTCATTGAACCGAGACAAGATATAATATATATACATATATTGGAAATATTTCGTTGGTAACTAAATAAAGGCAAGTCTCTGTAACTATATATATACATCGTATATGTACATTGTATTTCCGTTGATTCGACAGGTGAAATTCGACTTACGGTCTCGCGCAGTAAAAGGTTGAAAGTGTCCGCCGTCTGTTCATTTACCGGGACTTTCGATTCGCGTCGATGCGATGCTGCGGCGGATATCGCGCCGTTGTATATATATTCGTCGTCGCGTCCCGGTTATAATCGTCATCTCGTTTCGTGCCATTTACATCTCATATCACGTTCTCCGTCCCTCCTGCGAACGCGACTTCGCTCCTTTCCACATGAGAATCTAGGTCGCACGGCTGCGTTCACCTTCTAGCAAAAGCAATGTCTTTCAAGGAAGGTCGTCGGTCGATCTCGTCTGGAAAGGCTCTCTTCCGAATGGCTATACGCTTTTCCCTTTCGTTAAATTATCCTGCCGCGATTCGATTAATTGCCCTCGATCTCGCGAGCAAATGTAAGAAAAATTTATAATCGATCCTTCGGTATCGCGAATGGAAAAATAACCCTCGCTTTCATTTTGTCGGTTTATTAATATACGATTTTTTAAATGCTAATAACTTTCTTCGCTTGTTAATCATCGCTCGCGTGTAATAGTTTAATAATTGGATTGCATTAATTCAACAGAACGATTTCTTTAATAAATAATTATAGCAAATTCTCTCAGAAAATTCGACAAGAGATTTTTAAATATTTGCATATTTCAACCTTTTGTATAATTTGATTTGACTTCAATATATTATGTGTGCAAAATCAATTTTTGAATTATATAATTAAATATGTCAAGTGCAAATGTATATTTAAGCACATAATTGAGTACATAAACAATTAATCTGGATGATTAATTAAGTCTTTCCATGAAACAACTTAAGAAACTGCAATATATACGCGGTAGATCAATTACTCTTTTCTAGTAATTACGTTTACTTTCAAATTATTATACTTTGTTACCACAAGTATCCTTCTTAGAATCATTGTCATCAAGTTTATTGTGCCGTCATTAGAAAGTGCACATCATGTGGAAAGCGTCCACTTTATCTGATTATCCGGCACTTTGGTTTCGTGAGAGGAATAGCACGCGCGATTTTTCCTCGGGAGAAAATCCACCATATGCGTGGTTTATATTTCGAGGTGAAACAGGTGAAAAAAAATGAGAACAGAATCGGGAGATATAACGCGAATTTTCGCATGCACGAGTTTGACGTCTAATTGATTCGGTCTAATTAATCATTTGCTGGTCGCTAATAATTAGAAAGTAAGTCTTATATTGTGTACTCACACGTCGGCAACTGTTGAGGTACCTGGGCTGCGTGTGCGCTGCTGTGCCTCGTTATTGTGATCTGAAGAGAGAAAAGGCAATGTGTTTTAGATCTTTTCGCATAATAAGATACAATTGTTAGCGCTAACTTAACCGCGCTATCGCCGATGTTGGTCGTTCGTATAGTGAGCGTATCGCACGAATATACAATTAGAATGCAAGCGCAAGATACACGATATTGTACGTAATACGAGTATAACATAGCGTGAGTACTTTAAATATTTAACACTTAAGTAAGAGAGCGCGCTAATAAGCTTTAATAAAATTCCCTCAAGGCTGTATTTACAAAGCCAATCGGTGAGATTTATAGACGGCATAAATATGTAACGATACAGACGACAATGGATGAAAGACGCGGAAAAGAAATTTATAAACGGGGAAAAAGAAGAATCGTGGAAAAAGTTACGTAAAATTACATGTAACCGGTGTTAGGTAAACACTGAGAAAGGCGTGGAAAGGAGAGTATCCGTTACTTTTACTATTTATAAATCCAATCCGTATTTATCGGCAGATTATTTCCGGTGACAGAGCAAGTTGCCACAATTGGCAGGGTGTGATATCATCGGTACTTGAGGTGAAGTCAATGACGAAATAGACGAACGTAATGTTGGTTTGAAAAAAAATCTAGACTCTTGAGAACTATAAAACGTTTCGAGACGGCCGCATTAAAGTAACGTACGTAATTATGCTCAATATAAGTCGGTATAATAGCGATTTATCTTAACTCAAATTTAATTTAATTCCCATCTGTGAATTTTCTAAGCAATTTCACGGTATCATTACACATTATAACAATAAAGCCATAACGCGCTTTATGTTATATATCGTTGTGAAGTGATCAGAGCGTATTATATCTTTGAACCACCGTTGATTAGAAAAAAATACAAAAAGAGAGAAACTCATTTATCACACTGTATTATTCCTTACGACGAAGAAATTGGCGATGAGAATCCTATAATTTATAAAATTAGTAATGTAATTTCAAATGTAGTTTCAAACATTTTTGTAGCTCGTTGTACGTGATAAATCTTCCAGCATATATATTTCACGTCCAAGTATTAATTTAGCTGACGCCGATGTGGGATCAATCTGATGATTGATCGTCATCCGATTAAAGAGCACGATATGAAAGTCTCATGAAAATGTCAAGCCCGACAGACTGAGTATTTTGCCTTTCAAGATATATGAATGATATATATTTTTAATTTCTACGGTGTTAGATCGTTTCGGTTGACTATCGCCATCATTAATAAAAATTAGCGTGCAAGAAGCATCACTTTCTTAAAACATTCGACATTATCATTATTGATGATCGAGGATTATTGAAGTTGATGATTACTCTAATGATTTATATAAGAAAAAAAGAATTATTTTACAAAATTGCTATCATATGACATTAAAAAATTTTGAAACAGCGGCGATTCTTTGTTTTTCAACGCAGAAAGAAAATGCAGTATTTAATAAGATATATAGTAATTAATCTGTTACGAGACTTGGAAACTCCTTTGTACAAGATTGTAAATGAGACGAGTGAGACTTTGTACGTGGAAAAAACGCGCGGATCTAGTCCGATAATGGAAAAGGCGTGCAATGCATTAATATATCCGTGAATAATTATGCTATCCGGTGAAACACGTAACGACGTAAATTTTTAGATTAACAAGCGATGTGATACACACATGGAGTGTACTGTAATTGCCTTCCATTCATCTAATTCAAAACTCATTACTGTAGTGCATCTTGGAACACTGGTAATTTCGCGTAACGCATAATGCGCGATCATAATGCAATTATAATGCGCGAGAGATATGTAGCTTCTATAGAGAGACGATTTAATCGAGGGCAAATTGCGGTTCATGCGCTCGCGTGAATAAACCGTTTTTATCAGCGGTAACTGATTAAACATCGTATATGTATGTGTCGTGGAAATTGAACCGCATACACACGCAGATCCCCGTTGAAACGGTGAGAGAAGCGAATGAGCGTAAATAATACAAGGACGAGATCGGATATGTCTCTCTTGCCACGACATAATTTCCCCGTCGCTGCCAATTTAGGTATCGACGACTAAACGGCAAGAGAGGAATCGAACGATGTCTGAGAACGACGATCGATTTCCGCTCAGCGACTTTAGAAGACACTCTTCCGTCACATCGCGACGAAACTTTCGCGTTTCTTTTTTCTCACGCGGAGAATGTTCCTCGCACGTAACCGCGTATATCGGAATATATATATAAAAATGATCTTCGTGTGTGTGCATGCGTGCAGAAGTGCTAAATGATCGCTTCGCCGTTTACTTACGGAAAGTTTCACGACAGGAGTCTCCGCGGCAAACACTGACGTCAGAGCATGGTCGACGCGTGTTCGTCCGTGCAATGAAAGTGGTCTAACGAGTCACTGGCCATTCAAGTGTATATGCACGCGACGTGATCGCTGTGCACTTCTCTCTTTCTCTCTTCCTCTCTCGTGGACCGTATTTGCGACTTTATCTAATAATAACGCGCGCCAAAGTGAAGGCGACAGGGAACTATGCTTAGCAACTGACCGATTTTCATCGAGCGAGTACTGTCCCATTAATTTGATAAACGCTCGTGGCATAAGGCGGATTATATCGCGAGATCGATGTCGCCCCGAGTGATTCCCGCGATAATTGGATTCTATCGAAACATGGACGTGAGTGAAATGCGAAAAACGCAACGACGGAGATACCTTGATATATAAAACGCAACAGTATTACTCACTAGAAGTCGAACCGTACCATATAAGGTTCGTGACGTTCCATCCGATGAACTCTATCAAGAACTGACCTTCCACAACGCGTAATATATGTCTTTCTTACACTGAACAAAATTCATATACTTTTACTGTAATTTTTTCCGTATTTTTTAAAATGCATATTAATGTAAAAATATATGTAAAATATAGATCAAATCACTATTTTTATGCAAAAATCACTTTAAGTTTAAATTGAATATTTTTACTTTATTAGAACTACATATTTTATAAGCATTTATTTATTTTATTTGTAACATTATTTATGCATTACTAGCATTTCCTATATGTGTAGTTCCATGTCCAGTGAAATATTTTTAATCTTGAAAATATATTGTATATAAGAATATATTTCATATTACATTAAATATAATCTGTAATCTTCCATATATAAGTAGGAATATCGCATGATTATGCTATGCTGGGTCGAAAAAGAACCCAGCACAATCATGTAATTTTTTTAGTGTAGCACGACAAAAAAATGACAAAATTCGTGATCTTTATAATATATACATATGAATGATATCAATTAATAATCAAATTATTTTTCTTATTATTCATAATTTATTGAAATGGTCTACTAATCGCTCAATTAGCATAAGAATTTTCATTAATGATAGGTACAACATATGTATATATTAAATAAAATTATATCCGCAATTTTCATGTCAACATTATCGCGAGACATAGGACTGTTTCAAGTAGTTCAATGGGTAATTGGAGCGACAAACGATGGTCGATCGACAGCCGCAATCGCGGATCTAACGTGGGCAGGGGATCTCCTTGAAATCGCCGCCCATTATACTCGCTCCTTCGTTATTGCAGACACACTCTTACCAGTTAGTCACCCTTGCATACGCAATTCCTCCTGTCGCGGCGCGTGCTCACGTGACGTGACGTCGCGATTTGACGTCGCGAGCCAAGTCGCGATTATGTCATAGCAGAGCGCTTAAGTATTTAGCGCGGACGAGCGTATATACCGTCGACACGAGGCTCCCTCGATGAAGAAAGACCTCCAGGAGTTTGTCGTTTCGCGTGGGCGAGGAGATCGCGCCCAGTTCAATTGCGATGACTTCCGAACTTTAAACGCGCACCCACGCGAAACCTACATCCGCCGATGAAATGTACCACGCGATTCTATCAATTTCTATCGATTAAATCGATAATTCAATTCGCGAATCCTAATTTGTTCTTCTATAGATGCGGATGAATAAGTGTGTACGGTGATGTCACATATGAACTGTCAGCGATGTTTATATAACATGCATAAAGGAAGAGAGAAAGTGTATTTGACAGACGAAATTTTTTCACTTTCTTTTCTTTTTGTCAGCATTTACGTCTCTATTGATTTTTCCGATTGACTCATCACTTGAATAGAATATGTGCTAAGCTAGGAGTATCTCTCTTTGCATATCTATTATATTCATGGTTCACGAATCATTTGAAGAATATTACGAAGAGCTGGTGTGGAAAAGTCTCTGATTTTTTTAAAGAAAGTATTTAGAAATGCTTAGAACTTTTCTCTTTAAAAAAATCAACTTAGAAAAAATTAATTGATGTAATACACATATCAAAATCTCAATACGTTGTTCGCAAAATTGATTAATCGAATTTTCACCCGTTATAATAAAAAATGCAAGAACGCGGAACATTATGAAAAGCGCACATTTAATATCATACTTTCTTCCGGTTATCGACAGCCTTTTCCCGACTCTCGTAGAGTGAAACGTTTATGGAAACATACCAGCTCTAGGCTCTGTAAGATCTCGAGCCGATATTTTAAAGAACACGAAGTAAAAGTGGGCGTGGTACTGAACGGATTGTCTTTCCTTCTTATATGCATGGGATATTCCGATAAAACTCGACATGCGAACCCGTCACATCTTTCTCGTTCACGCTTCGCCAATGGAAAAAAAGAAGCTTGAATTCTATTTCACAAAATACTTTCACTCACGAGAAACATTTGCAAATATTAAAGTTATTCGTACGGCATTAAATATATAGGTTCTTGTGACGTAAGTTCTTATGACATTTCATAAATGGAGCACGGATCATACATTGAAATATTTTAACAGTGACGATTTGAATTTTGAAATTTTATTTCATATTTTGTGCAAAGTAAATCCGAGTTAACAATGAAAAAATGTGAGAACAATGAACGGAAGTGCTTACTTATGTTCTATTTCACCCGACGCATATTTAAAAGATCCTGTCGTAGAGACCTTCTAAGCCGCGTAAACGCCAAGTTTAACGTAATTGTCAATTATTATGTGTTACATAACGCCGGAATTACCGCCTCTTGAATGGGTTAACGATTTTAAATCAAGCTCTATCAAGAGAACGATCCCACGACTATTGTCGGAATGACATAACATTCTCCGAAACCACCGCGAAATATCATAATACTTAAATACCCGCTATCATACTTTTTGTTTACGTTGTGTTTCAATGCCACATATATAATTCTTACTTCAAAATTAATATGCATTGCATTACAAGTTTTAATTAGTCAATTAACTTTAATTATATAATTAAAAAATTTAAGTTTTTTAACACTTCCACAATAACCCGTATATAAATTATTTATTATAGAAATAATTATACGGATAAGGAGTAAAAATTATTTATTAGCTAATCTGCAAGATATCTATTAGACAACAGAGAAGATATACAATTTATTCTCATTTTATTCTAAACATTTTCTAATTTTATATTTGATACTGATTGACAAATGCTAGAATAAAATTATATTGCTCTACACAGAAAATTGTTGCCTTGCAATTGTACTGTCAATCAGTACATTATAATTAAAAAACTTTCGACAGCGACATTATAAGATGTGAAAAAATAGAATATCAGCCCGACGTATTGCTCCGTTAAATATTTAAAAAATCGAGTAAAACTCCACTACGTATAATTAGAGAAAATTTCATATTACTATTTCATCTATTTGAAAATCGTATGAAAGCCGTCGAGCCACTTTCTCGAAAAAATTGTCTAATTTTTGATAAACGGATCGATTTGCATATTAGAATATGAATATATTAGAATCGCAGCTGTTTGGGTTTTTAACAGTTGCAAATATTACAGCAAATATTACAGCAAATATACAGTTGCTCTAGGATGTGTTGTATGCCAACAAAGAAGATTACATAATGCATCACATACCTTAACCAACACGTGTATGCGACGCAGCACGCACAGGAGAAAGTATGTGTATATATTGCGGCATCATTAATCCATGCTATCCGAAACGATAGTGAGTTTCCAGATCATGTATTCTCAATTACATATTTTGTCCTTCATTGACTTTTAGGATGTCAAGTCGAGTACAAGGATAATCGTGATTAATCAATCTTTCTTTAAATAAAATTATCAATGATAGAACAATGATAGAAATTAAATATTTAAATTACATACTTTCTTTTTACGCGCGTTCCTGTCATTATTAAGAATTATGTCAACTTTACCTCATACGAATTGCATACAAATGAATTTAGAATAATTTAGGTGTGAATTAAGCAATTTAAGATGAATCATTTATTATGTAAGCAAATTGCATATTTTGAGAAAGAAAAAGAATAAAAATTTTTAATATTTTTAAATTAAATCAAATATATAAAATAATATAAGTACAGAAATATATTAATTACATAATATAGGATTACGTAATAAAAAAAAAATAATGTACATTATTTGATTAAAATCATTTCATAATTAACCAATAATTCTACAATATAAATATTTCGACGTATGACATAATTTGCATTTCGCAAGAAGCAAATTAAAAATCGATTTGCTTAAGCTTACGATTAGATATAATTATAATTATATCTAAACCTCTCACACACGCATTCAAGATAAACTTCTTATGCACAGAAAAAGGAATGTTTTTTTGTATCTACTCACCAATAAAAATGCCAATGCGACCTTCCTCCAGTCCATGGCTAAAATAAAAGAGAAAGTCTTATTAATAACTAGGTCGAAGTTTGTGAGAATACGATCGACTGTGCAAACATCTACGCCATGAAATATAGGCGATAATTCAAAAATTCGCATTTCTTATCATATACTTGCACGCTTATCCGAGATATATATTTTTATCATCACAGCGGCAGTAACTCCTCTAGTCAATAAATTGAAGTAATTCGACTTCCTCTTTTTTTTAAAAATACATTTTAAAAATATTAAATTGAAAAATTAAGACTCTTATATATTATTATTTACTTCATAAAAAAATCTATTACATATCTATATAATTAAGCAAGATAAGCCAAAAGTCATGGTATAATATGCACAATATTAGAAATCATTCAAGCTTAAAAAAGGATAAATAATTAAATTTCAATCTTCCAATTTTTTAATTATTTTATTCGACAATAAAACCTTGTATGAAAAATTTTTATTTTACTTTTTTCTCAACTTTTAATTTCTCATAATAAATTATTTTTTTGCTGATTGCCTATTTATATTTTGGCTCATCTTATATAATAGAGATATCACTCAAAAAAATAATATTGCAAGTACAGCAAAAATTTTCTAGGTATAAAAAATTTACTAAAACAGCTAAGTAATTGACAAGTATTGTAATATTGCATATGTAATTTACTTAATTTGCCTAAGTAACAGAGACAGAATATATATTCCTGCTATAAATTCTATACGTGACAAACAACAGTTTTAACAGATACAAAAAACATCTAAACGTCTAACTATATCAGCGAAATATTTTTTGAGTGATAGTTATAATTAGAAAAAATATTATATGTTATTAGAAAGAAGTAATAAATATATTTATCTAACATTTCAAGACATAACGACTGAATCACTTTCGCTTCACACCACCCGGTTTGTCTTTTCCTATCACTATCTTACTCTTATTCGACCTTGAGCTCGCTTTTAGAGAGCTGTGTCTCACATTCCCTATGTTAATTCCATCTAATCTATATAGAAGGGGTCTCTGAGAGGGAAAAGAACAGTTGCCCTAGCATCCTCTATTATATTATCCTATAAATCGACACGGGGTACAACAAAGATCCGCCTCTTTCTCTCATTCCATTCCACAAATCGCACTTTGAGGCGGTCTGCGGTTACAAAAAAAATAAAAAAAAATAAAAAAAAGAACAAAGATCGCGATGCTTCGTGATGTCACCCTGACTGAGGATTAAGATCGACCTCTCTCTTTCTCTCAATGACAAGACAGGTAAACGTTTTCAGGTGGGTTAGTATATAGCGTGGCCCGTTCGCTGCGTTCGGATGCAGTCGATGCAGGCGTTTGCCTGCCGAGAAAGCGCGACACGTTTGTTCACGAAGGCGGAGGTGGCGATGCACGATGCAACGTTCACTTTTTAGAACACCACGGAGGCGATGAAAAATATTGACCTCGACCACCACCGGACCACCGTGGTCGGCTATGATCGCTATTATCGCGAGACCTCTTCAACTTCGGCTCCAGCGCCGGATGTTATATCGCGACATGCTCCGTGATTTATGAGATCGACATCCCTGCGCGACGACGTGATTTCCTTTTTTATGAAATGCAGTTATTGTGATCGGATTCGCGATCGCGGCCAGGGACGTGTCCTTCGCGATGCTCGTTGCACTCGAGGGTGAAAAGACTCTCTCTTTTAGAAGACACAAAGTATCTTTTAACAATAAAAAAATAAAAAAATCGAATAATAATATACATATATTTATAATAAATATAGTATAATGAATATAATAAATATATTGATAATAAATTATTACTCTAATAAAAAAAAAAGAGAAAACAATTATTAAATAAAAGTTAATAATATTTAATAATTAAGAAAATATATTATTAAAAAAATAGCTTATTTTAATACCTTTTAGTAGCATAAGATTAGCAAAAAATTATTTAAAATTTTTTTTCTATGCAGATTTATCGGTGCTAGTAAGGTCGAGTGATTTAAGCAGCGAATATGGATATTTCGACGGCGGAAACACCTGTCACGCAGGTGATTTAAGGTTTCAGTTCGAGTATGCGGGGGAGCCACGATGGATAATCGAAAAATTCAAGGACAATATAACGAGCGGTATTTACGTGAGAAGAGTCCCACGTAAGCCTGGAAATCCTCTCTCTCTCGATTAGAAAATTGGAGAAAATAGCGCGGTTCTTCATTATCTTCTTCATTATAGAGGACACGAATTATCTTAAACATTTTAACATAGCGTCTTTCTATCCATTATTTACATCCTTTATAATTCGAGGTAATAGATTGATAAATATTAGTTAAGTAATACGGATTATATATAAGCAGAAAATAATTAATATTTAATAATCTTAAATCTTTATAATAAGACAATTCAAAGCCTGTATAAATTAAGTAATTAATTCGTGTAATGTAGTACACGCATAAGTCCGAGTATTAATATTTATATATACATATAAAACTTGTACTAAAAGCGTTCAAATCACTGGAGACATCAATGCCTGTATCGTATATAAGAAGCGTGTTTAACTCTGCATGCGTATAATTGTGAAGATTCGTAATAATTAATTAACTATATTAATTTTAATCGGCATCATAAACAGTAGATTAATTCAAAAATAAATCTAAATAAATCAAGATACATCTATTATTTTTGCAACACTTGTTGCATACGTAAACCCACTGTAAAAAAATTATTCTTTCTATTTCCATAATAATGATCGACTTCGAAATGTTTATTTAACCCACTTGACTTCGCAATGCGGCCGATTCAAACCTTGATAGTTGCATATTTGGTTAAAGCTCGCCTACAACACGATGTATCGATGAATCCAACGAACAGCCAAAGCCTTGGGCTCATTTTTGTTGCATAAGAATCATTATCAAAGCGACTATTAAGTTGACATTATACATCCGACAATTAATACATGCGTTTCTCATTTGTACACTCATTTATCCAAAAATACATATTATCAAAAATTTCGCAAAATTATCTTTAGACATGTAACAATAGAAATACAAATTTAAAATGAAATTGTTTAAAATTAAATTAAATTAAATTATTTTTATCGACTAATGTAAATATCGATAAATTAATGGAAGCATAAAATAAATCTCGATTTTATTTTTTAATTTATTTAATAGTAGATGTGTATATTTATATCTTTTTCTTCAAACTACTTTAATTAAAATAGCAGGCGTCCTTGAATGTCCGTTAATGCAAACGTGCAAGACATTTTACACGAAAAAAATGATGCAATCTTTTTGTAATTTAAATATTTAAAATTGATTTACTAAATTAAAAATGTAGTGCCTAACATCTATAACAAAATAACACAATGATTTGCAAAAATACTAGATATTAAAAATATCCATATAAATGCTAAATAGAATCTTGTTTTCTTTAATTATAAATTTATATAATTATAAAATGCGAAATCGGACAAGCGTGCAAGCATATATTTGTACAAATATTTATATCACAGAGTGTATTATAATTTGCTAATATATATATACCAGAATAAAAATTACTTTATACAACTTATCATAGAGAAATTTCATAAAAAAACATCAAAAAGGATATTTTAAAATGAGAAATGTTAACCAAGCGTATATTTGAAGAAAATACAATTCCAGATTTCCGGAAGTTGTGATATAATGGCAATTACGATAAACCAATTTCTCACCTGCTGCTCCTTTTCCGAATCTCCCGAGAATAATTCCAGGTTACTCGTGCTGCGTTACGACACCGAGAGCGATAGCGAAATTCTTCTCTTTCTCTCGCACGTTCGCCAAACGAGATATAAAAGCGTCGAGGCGCAAATCACCGGAAGAAAGTTCCGCGATAACGCGATCAATCGTGGTCGATCATAAATAGAATTTTACAATCAGCTGCGATGGATCGTCGGCGGTTTTGTGATGTGTCGAAAACGCGTCCTCGCCGGCCACAAGATCCACCTCCTGTACGTCGACATCCCAAAAGAATTCCTAACCTTGCTTCTGCTCTTCTGCTCCTTTCTCCCCAGTCTCACTTTCTTGCTCTCTCTTTCTCTTGGCAATCTTGTAATATTTCGCGTCTTCCTCGCGCCTTTCGCAAATTTCCAAGGCCGAACGCGACTTTCTTCTGAGAAATTCTCACGTGTGCACTTTAATAACGCAACTCACGTAACTCTCGATGATCACTTTTCGCGTAAGATCGATGTCGACAAGCCGATACTTGAAGTTGTACGCGATTCCTTCCTCTCGATCAGCTGTATCGATTACACGATGAACAACGCGCCTTTCTAAAGCTATGTTCCGTTTGAACTAGCTGACATACGTCACATATGAATGAACATATACGCGTATGACGTATGATCTTTCAGTACTGCCAATGCATGAAGTTCATCGGAGCGCGCTTCAATTTATTTTTCGAAATAACGACTTTTTCGCGCGCGTAGATATACCTCCCGAATTCGTTCGAAATTTTTCGGAGTCGTTTCGTTTCACTTTCGAAGCCGATGCTTTGGCTCTTTAACGTCGAACGGAGAATCAAACGATGCGTTTAATAAATAGACGAATATCTACGTATAAGATATGCTGCTTATTCGTAATGTCAGAATACCTGTCTCGATCGAGTCGTCGCCGTTCGTTTACGTCGCGAATGCATGTCTCTCGTTCGTTGTTGATCGCTCGAGTCGTTTTTCCGCTCTTGTCCTCTTATTTTGACACTACACTGCACTTCCTGGGGCCCCCGCGGGTCTCCATGGGACCGATCGAGCGCGGAGTAGGAGCGCGAGACGGAAAGAACGTCCGCTACGAGCGACGCGAGAACCGAGACTGAGCGACCCTTCGGCTCGCGGCGCCACTCTTCGCGCGAGAGTGGGAGGAAGAGGGAAGAAGAACGAACGCTCGAGTCCGAGAGAGATGGACGATTTAACTGCGCGCGCGAGAGTAAGGGAGAGAGAAATAGAAACGTTCGAATTGAACAGAAAGAAAAGATCTAACCGCGCTTGCCAAAAAGAGAGAGTATATAAAATTACCAACACAAAAACACGAAAAAGAATATAATTATGATTTTAGACGATAATTATGATTTTTTTATTCGAAAAGAAAATAAATAGCATTAATAGATTGAAGAATGAGAGCGATATGACAAAGAAAGAATTTTGCACTCAAGTCGTTTTTTTTAAGAGAGAAAAAGGAAAAATGAAGAAAGGAAGATAATACGAGTGTGGGATAAAGATAAAGATAATAGAATGAATTCGTGAAAGAAAAAGAGGCGGAAAAGGATAAAAGAGCTGCGTTTGCGATGTAAAGGATGGAGATAGTATAGGTCATAATTAGACAAAGATAGAGCATGATAGATATATAATAGAAAAAAAGGAGGGAAAGATCGCGTTCCTCTCTTTTTCGATTAACGGATGACGCAGCTACAAGCGCGAAAAGATGCTGCAAGATCGAAATAAGAGACTAAAGGTACACTTATGCGAAAGCGATGTAGGCGGGAGAGGAAGCAAGATAGAACGAGTTTACGTCATCGTTTAAATTGGTATCATATGGGCGCGATTACTTCTTTCAATGTAATTTTATCTTTATGCTAAAAATGTTGTTAAAAACAAATGCATTTTTTAAAATCTCTCTCATGATATAGAAAAAATAATTAAGTAATAATTAAAGCCCAGAATTTAGCAGGTCTTTTTAGTATTAAAGAATTTTAAATCTTTGTTTCAAACACTTCGAGATTTTGATAAAATATATATAATTGTTACAGAAAGAATTGTATATATTTTAATCGATATAAATTTAAGAAATAGATGACTAAAATTTTATTAGAAAAAAACCAATTTTTATATCTTATTATCCCTTTCATATCTATATCAATTTGCACATTTTTCATGTCTTTCGAAAGTGCAGATCGACATAAATAACTATAAATATTAAATAATATATAAAACTTTAGTCATATTATTTGTTCTATATATGTAAAATGTTTGATATAATGATGCTAAATTGACATGATAAATATCAATATAAAAGATCAAAAAAGAATGGAGGATAAAGGACATAAAATGTCACTTCTATCTCTAAAACTAACTTTCTTTATTCGTGTTGTCACTTTATATTCATTCTTATTGTATCCAATGTGATTCAAATTTTCTTCAATTCATCAGCCATTCTTTTTATATCCCTAACTATAATACTAGAAAACAATTCCATGTACAAAAATAATCATAACAACAATAAGAGACGATAAACAACAAAGATTCAGTAACATATAATTCATACATTTACATGGAAAGTAATTATGAACTTGTTTCTTTTTATATACGGATTATATATGTAAAAGGTGTTAAATTTTATGGTCCTGGATTCCACACTTATATATATCAAAAGGCATTCCTATATTTCAGTATTTTGCTATGTAAAATGATATACTCATTGTTAGTGTTCAAAATATTATTATGGATATGTGTGTGTATGTGTCATAATAGAGAATAATTATTATGTGCGATAAATTATCGGCGATATCCGAAATAGCAGAATTATGATCTTACATATAAAAAGTCTTCTTAAAGTATTACAATCTTAAATGGATATAATATTGTTTTGTTTAGCAACTTTCTAATGTTTTAATGCGATATTTCCAAAGATTGAACAAAGTTGTTTCCAAAAAGATTATTATTTCTTCGATAATATGTATTTGATTATTGAAATTTAATTGTAAACTCGAGATTTTTGTTTTAATCTTTATTTTATCCCGTGATTAGTTTCTATTTTTCTCGATTTCGTTATTGACTTTTTTATTTACCTTGGATTTGTTTTACGTTTGCGATACATACTTTAAATGTTTACTTAAAATATTTACTTTCACTAATTCACGAAAAATATATAGAATAATCGTTATTACACGCATTATTCGCAAACAAATACAACAATAATAATAATCAACGTCTGAATGAACGCACTATGTTTATGATCACAATGTTACTCTGTATAGCAACTTGTAATAATCTTTTCCGTTAAATATCGAAAATTACACGCAATTCGGCGTCTCTAGCAGCAATGTTAGCGATATAAATTTCGCAACAATGTTCTCACACATAGCACTTTAACATCCTACATGTTAATGATGGCGTAACTTCATGTGCTTCTTTGACTCATGTGAACACCGGTTGCTTAATAGTATCACAACATGGACCTTCAAACATGTAATACAGCGATATTTGGACAACTCTACTAGATACATTGGATAAATATATTATAAGTCATATATATATAAGTTATATGACGCGCATATCATAATATTGTACATATCTTCTCCATGGAAACATTAAGAAAGGAAGTGTAAGTAAAAAGGCACTATTTCTGGGTATGGGAAAGAAGTTTCTTTAGGCCTCCCTGACTTCTATCAAATCCCTCCGCGACATCACAGATCTCACATTGACAGAAGTTACGCCGCTGCGAAACGTGTCACCCTCATTTCATTACACACCTACATACTTGTAAAGTCTTAATCCATTATTCATCCATCACAGAATACATACCGATTTTACTAAAGTAAATTATAAATATAGCCCCATTCTTTTAAAAATTCAATATGCTCAAGCATACCCAACAAATATACTGGAAGCATAAACTTATTGTTAGTTGGTTTATAAACTAGACTGGAATTCATTATTATATATGCTACAAAACGATGGAATTTCTTCTCTTATTATCGCATACAGTTGACTAGTCATTGGGAAAATTATTAATTGGCAAGAGAATGTTCAATTGTTCTATGCACAGTTCAACATGCCATTTTTTTAGTCACAATGAATATCAGCTTGTTGTAATCGCATTATGTAAAAACACCGGTGTTACTTTATATTGACTGTCGAGGATGACATTGATTTAACAATCCTTCCATTAAACAGGTGTTTCATGATCAGTCTCTTCGATTCTTCCCAATCTCCAAGCATTTGGATCTCCTGCCGCTGTAAATTAATAATAAATTTGTTTAAAACAATTTTACAATATATTTTTCACTATAATGTAAAAGTTATATTTAAAAATAGACTTGTTCAAAATATATATTACATAAGTTTTTCTTATTATAAAGAAATTGTAGTAATTGTACATTATTTTTTAAGATCTACATTATACAGATAGAAATAAATATCTTTATTATGTCAATTAAAAATGTACAAAAAAATTAAAAGATATTGCATGCAAAAATTTAAATATGTAATATTCTTTTTTTTCTCTTTACTACTATTTATTTTCAAAATTAAATGTTCTTAAAAATACCATTTCAATGACATATTGTTTATAATGGTTTTCAACAAGAAATATTTTAAAGAATTTTGATCGTCTCGACATAGATCTCATTACATATCATTATTACATTATGGATTACAAAATTAGACGTTTATTTAAAAAGAACTATAGAAATCTGATGTTCGTGTTTAGGCGCTTTAACGATTAATTCGAACGATCAGCTTTAATTCACGTCAACAATTATAATGTTGGTTACTCTGCGTTTTTCATATTATAAGTCTATATATTTTACATGTATGATATAAGTTCCGTCTTTCCAAATTATTTGATTTATGGATTCGTTAGCAAAGCGATATTTGTATTGATAAAGACTGTCGTACAGTCGAAACGTTTACTAATTATCATTTTGATTGTATTATTTTCATGACTTAGAATAAATTGTTAAAACCGAACTAATCAGCTCGTTAAGTTGGCCTAGTAATTCATAACTTATACCATTTCGGCATTTAATATATCTATTTTATAAATACTGCTTTTTTCATATATTGTGATTTATTATATACAATAATTTTTGAAAGTACAGAAAACTCACCTTTTAGTACGATACCCAGGGAGAACAATAAATGATGTTACTCTTTGACATTTGTATAATGTACACGCATCCATTGCAGGAACATAACATGTACAGCATATACGATTTTGTGCTAGATTGCACAATTGGTAGGCAAGGATATTACAGTGAAGTTTGAACATTGTACGACATAGGATGTGAAGGAAATGCATAGGATGGTACACGTAGAGGATTTGTATGGTGTAAGGTATTATTCAATACTTCTTGGCTCGTGTACAGTAGCGGCATTCTCTCTTCTATTTTCGAAGCAAATCAAAGTTGATGCAAAATTATAAAAAAGGTGCATATAAATAAATATAAGAATTTACAATATGTATTAATTATTACTATGTTACTATAAATTCGATAAGAAATTGTATTACTTTGAAATTAATATCATAATATTTTATAAAGCTCTAAATATAAATTTGAAATAAAAATGGCTGTCCTTTTAATGATCCTTTTAATTATTTTGTACTTATTGGACTTTAATGAATATAATTTTTACATAAATAATCGCTATATTGGTTAGTACAAATTTCAGCAACATAATCAAAATTTAATATATATATTATAGAAATCAATGTTAAATCTAAAGAATAACATTACAGATAAATTAAAACATTAGGATGCACGCAAGACATGCACATGCTTGAGTTCTATAGAGAATGTGCATTTCACTAACTATAAGAAAAAGATAGATTGCTGATTTAAATTAATGAAGAATATACAGAGTATAAATACAGTTTCTTTTTTAAGAGAAAAAGTGCCACAATATATTCAAAAATATTGATAAACAAAGTTCAAAGTAATACCATAAGGGAAGACAATTTTTCATACACATTTTTGATTAAACTTTTTGATAATACCAAATATAAAAATAAATACATAAAAATAAATACATACCTTGAAGTTGACGACTAATGAGAGCAGTAATGCCTTGACTGTCACCAGTCTTTTTACAACAAAAAGTTTTGTATCAGCATCATTTTCTAAGGCTCCGATTCCACCCAGACCAATTATCTGTCCATTTTGCTGCTGATGATTGCTAGCAGCCATTGTTTCACTGACCTATCGCAAACAAATATAGCATATACATATATTTGAATTATTTATTAACAAATCTTCTTAACAAATAATAATTTATTATTTTTAATAAATCTTAATAATTTTTGCAAAGCAAAAAATATTTGATCTTTTTATAACTATTTTTGATATCTTTAATTAATTAACATAATTCTATGTAAATTCAATATTTTAGTTAAATATATAATAATAAAACTATACCTGCATCAATTTCTTAACTACATCTCTGCCCAAAATGTGATCAAACACTGCCTGCAGGAATTGATCGCTAATTATGCTTAATTTTAGTTTGTCCCTATGCCATAATAATATCCTTGATTCTTCCATAGCTGTTATTGACACCTAAGTAAATATATAATGTGCATTTTAAGTATTTATATCGACATCTATTGAAAATATTTGATAAGCACTGATTGTGCAATAAAAGAACTCATTGATATGAAGAACATATCGCTAATAAATGTGCCCAATAACAAATTTACCTGGAAATATTCGTCTGTCGAAACACCAAACCATTCTGGAGAATCCAGGAACTGATGTGGGAAGACAATATGCAATGCTCTCCCACTTTGTGAGACAACTAATCTGAATAATGAAAATAAAAATATATTGTTAATAACTATAAATTTAAAATAACTCTTTTTCTCTTTTCTTTATATAATAATAAATACATCTAAAGAATATAAATAAGATGCACTCTTACTTTCCCGACAGCACCAACGATAAAGAATCGACTTTGGTCACTTTTTCTTGTGCATAAACCTCTTGATACTTCAACTGGCGAATGACCTTCATGCAATTTAATACTTTTCTGAATTGATGACGAGAAACCCGTAATGGCTGGAACACTGCAATGTATACCTATGTAAAAGAAGATGACTGTGAAATATTTTTATTAATCCTGCTCGCGTTTTAAGCATGAAAATAAATTAATATATTAATATATTAAAAGTGAGATTTCAACTGCATTATTGAACCTTGTTAATATATTACTAGTATTATTGTTGTTATTAGTATTTAAAAACAGATTCTACCACATCCAAAACAAAATTGATAGCAGTTGATCTCAGCCACTAGATTTCATAACACACAAATTGATTTTGACAGGCGCTAAATAGATATGTAACTCGTAATAATGTATTTGTAACAATAGTGCAAAAATAAAGAAATAATTGTGTATAATACAAATGCTGCAGCCAGACAAAAAGCAAATTACACAGAAATCATCATATATTGCTAACTACTTTTCAAGTTCCTAATATCTATTTATAAAATAAATAATATAATATTCTAAAGAATATACATAAATGAAAATGTTTCGATCAAATGTTTCACATATTTAATTTGCTAATGTTACATTTTAAAATATAAATTATTATTTTATATCTGATCTTTCTATATCAATATTACAAATTACTAATACAATTCAAACATTCATATATTGATATTATATAGAGATATTATAGAATATCTATAATTAAAAAGAAATAAACATGCAAATTATCTATAAATTTATGAAAACTAGAAATACTGTCTACAAATTCATTCCTCTAATATATCTAAGAGAGACAAGATAAATTATACAAAATAAAAAAATTGAGCATAAATACTTTTGGCCTTAAAAGAATCTATAATATTTTTAAGATCAGATATATTGACATATTACTCCTCAAATCATCGTCTTCTAGTTGCTCTTCACTTACCTCTTCGATTTCCCTTGTAAACTTGATAGGCCTGAGCTTGTAAAGAAGCGTGCATACATGGACGAAGTTGATGGCAACAAAGAGAGCATTCCAGAGAGCAGCGTCCAGCCAACAAGCTATTGTCCAGCCCCACAAAGCAAGAAAGGCACAGCCCACGAGTAGAGTGCACCTTAAATAGAGCACACCATGTATGCCGCTTGGTGCAAGGTGTGACAATAGGAAGAAGGCATTTGCGAGTTGAAAGTAGATGTGGTTCACGTAAATTCCTTGATAGGGTTGGCAGGTAAGAGCTCCGTACAGAAAGGTTGGAGGCACTATCGGCGAATGAGGATAACCGGATCCATGGCTGACCACTGACAGTCCAGTACCTGCACACACATGAGAGCAATACGACATTTTCGATCAAATGGTCGTTACAATTCGAAAATCATCCTTCGGGTTAATTGCTAAATGGGGAATTGTCAAATGTACCCTCTCTATTGTCAGTGGTCACATTCCTGCATTCGTCGTTATCGTGGTGTGCCGATGCTGGTAGTGATACCTCTGACGTGACAGTACTACGTGGGACATTGGACGCCGCTGCATTCGTTAGACTGGCATCGATGGTAATGGAGGTCCAGTATAGAAGCACGACAAACGAAATGGAAGTACCCCAGCCTACTCGGCTTTCTGTTGGGTCGAAGCAGATCCACATCCCCGCATTACCACCAAGCTGGACCGATTTCGTTTCGCTCTACAAGCAAATTAATTTGCTATAGATTATAGATTATATTATTAATGTATTAAAAATATTCATTTTAATGCAATCAAATCAGAATTACATTTCTTTCAAATTATTAGATACTTTTCCATTTAGTATAATATTGCACTTGCTATAAAAAATTAATAATGCAGATTAGAGAAGAACATGTGTTATTTTAAATTCACATATGTATATGATAATCTTTTCCAGTATCACATATTTATAGTGCTATAATTTTTATTAAAATGCAAGTTAAATGCAATTAAATTACTAATAACAATTGCATTTCATACTTATTCATAAATGATGGAAAAGTGAATGCTCTGTGCCATTTGTGAATATGCAGTCACTGCTCACATTTTTATATTACTCTCAGCTAAAATTGGAACTGGATGACGAGAACCATCTTACAGACTTCAGATCAAGGAAGAATATTTGCATTACCAGTCGCTCTAGGAAGACAATATTAACATCTGTAATTCAAACAAATAGATGCTTAATCAATACATGTGACTATGTATTATACATATATTTTATCATCTTTTTCTGTTATATATCTTTATCAACATTCAAATAATAAAAATTAGATAAGATCGTACATTATTAGTAGAAAAAACAAGATTGTTTTCAACAAAGAAATTATCAGTATGTCGAAATTATCAGAAATAGCAGAGATATGATAAGTTAACTTAAAAAATGCAATTTTATTCACACTAAGATCTTCAAATCTTGACTCGCAGCACAAATCCAACTTATTGTAGATCTTAAAAAATATTGATATCTTGGAAAATTAAAACATCTGTGAAGAAAGTAAAAGATAAACCACATATCATAGTATCACAAAACACAAATGACTACAACAGTGACTTCAGTAGATCTAAAAAAAACATTTATAGACAAAAGGAGTATATTGGTACTCATTCATATAAGGACTCGAATGCAGTTTAAATTGCCGGGAACACGCAGACAATTTAATCTAGTTTCCACGATCCCATTTCTTGTTTCGCTCGAAGCAGCAGAATATACATGATCTACGTATATCTATTCTTCGACCTACCAATTTACACACAATTTCCACATTTTTTACTCCAGGGAGGAGACACTCTCCCCCGGCTACCGTTTCCAAGTAATCCACCGCGTGCGTGCGTGCGTGCGAGAAAAAAAAGCGCACGCGAATTTCGATCCGCGAGACGCCGTTGCACGAAAATTTACATATATATTGCGATACGTGTCCCGGCACGGGACGTCCCGTTCGCGAGCTCCTTCGGAGCGTCATCGGGGAAAAAGAAAAAAATAACAGACTCTCGTATTATTTAAGAAAGCACGTCCCTTTCGAAATCAATAAATAACTTACTCATGGAAAATCGGTGACGGTGGGGGCGTACGCGAGGCATACAGACGAAAGGGCGAACGGTGTCGTCGTCGTCGTCGTCGTCGCTCGCTGGGGGAAGAGACTCGTCGCTGCTGATCCTGGGGGCTCGCCGTAAAATCGAGGGACGAGAAGAAAAGCGCGCGCGCGCGCGCCAAGTCGATCGGGGAAATAAATTGAAATCGCCACCGCTGCCTACAATCGGCCGCGATCTCTCCACCTCCGCTCGATCGTAACGGAAAACGTCAGACTGACGCGGCTGCCGTTTGGGAGCGCGCGACGTTATGAATCGGCCGAGAAAGGGTGGAGGGGGCGGCTGTACAAGATGGAAGGGTGAAGGAAGGTGTCGAAAATTAGGCTGAGTGAGTTCGGAAATTCGTCTGTCCGGAGTAAAGCCGTTTTCAACTACGATATATATATAATATAATATATATAATATAATATAATATAATATATATAATATAATATGATATAATATAATATATATATAATTAATAAAATATAATATAATATAATATAATATAATATAATATAATATAATAAATTAAAATATAATAAAATATAATATATGTAATATAATATATATAATATAATCTTGTGCGTAAGACTGTGCGATCGACCAATCAGGATAACAGCAGCAAAGATCTCTTCGTTCTGATTGGTCGATCGAATGTTGCTTCATTCAAACTGTGATTCACGTGAGAGGATTTTTGAACCGACCCAGTCCGGCAGAGATTTTGAATCGGAGGCGGTATTAATTTACATCTCTAACCACATCTGAATCTTTATATTTCGAATCTTTCTGCGAAAGATCTTGAGTGAAATACAGCGTGAAATGGCGACGGAAAAGGATTTAGTAAATGGTACATAGTTATATAATTGTTGCATATATAAATATTAATCGAAATCAAGGATTATAGCATATTTGACAAGTAACCTTTAATTTCTCTCTCTCCCACTCTCTCTCTCTTTCTGTCTCTCTCTATAAATATATATTACAGCATGAGAAAATATTTTTTCGCCCATTTTTATTGTATTTATTACTTCTTATTATCTTTATTCAAAATTACATGTTTTATATTAAAAGATGTTTATTCTATTACATGACATATGTGTCTAAAAAAGTAAATAATAAATGTCATAATCTAATTAAACACTCATCAACATCAATAGCATACTAATAAAATATAAAAGAAATATATTGTTTGCACTTTAAATTTGCAGCTGTAAGGGAATCGCTAAAGGCTGATGGAGATCTTGATCGTATAAAAGCAGAGATGCGTACAGAAGTGATAAAGCTGCTAGATTGTTCCAGTAAAGAGAATAAATCAAAAATTGTTAAGCCTACTCATGATATTATATTCCTCAATGAACTTGTTAGAGAGTATTTGGATTGGATGGGCTACAAATATAGCTCCACTGTGTTTATCGCAGGTACACATTGTTATTTTACAGAATATAATATAGCTATATCTGTCATTATACTAAGAATAGCAATAGAAATCCTGTTAAATATAAAATAATTCATTTTTATTAATATTTTGCAAGTACTAATATTTTTAAAAATTCTTATTCTAGAATGTGATCTGCCAAAGCATTCCTTGGATCGTACACTTCTTGCACAGGGTCTAGGAGTAAAAGACAATGAGAAAAGCAGGAACTTACCACTGTTGTGTGGTCTTGTGCAAACATTTACTAATTTGAAAAATACCTAATTATAAATTCCACACATGTAAATTATTCAATATCCAATCGCGATTTTTAATGCTATTTATTTATTTATTTCAGATATATATTACATATAGATCACTTAGATATTTTTTTTATATATATAAACATATATACACAAACTGAAATATATTCAAGTCATGATATTCATTACAATAAAAAAAACAATGTAAAGAAATAATGTATTAAAGTTTCATCTTTAATATATATATCAAAATTATATCCTCGAAATATTACAACAAAATTATAATATATAATAAACACAATGAATAAAATAGTGTATGCAGTAGTGTTTTGATGAGATAAAGAAAGTATTAAAAGAATTTTATTATTTTATTTCGTGACTTTTCTTACATATTGACATTAGATTATGAAAGTACAATATAATGCTGAGATAGCAGAGATCCTAAATGATATTATTCTTAACTCATTACATAATAATTATTGGGTTTTTTAAGAATGCTTATTATCTTTCGACAAAATTATATCGTAAGATACACATGGGTTACAATGTACATCACTTATTGCAATAATAAACTTACATACAGTACTTTAATATACCAAACCGGAACGTAATAATTATGCAAAAAGGCCATATAATGTTATCTGTTCCTCTTTTAGAGCAACTTGTCTATATCTTTTATATACATATATATATATATATATATATATATATATATATATATATATATATATATGCTGCTCTTTTTTTTCTACTACTCGTCAGTCCGTTAATTTATTTCACTTGTCAAAAACATTTTTTTTTGCGCCAATAAATAATCTACTGCTAGAGATAATCCTGTCTAAAATAATTTTATATTGAACTCTGACAACAATCGCAAGTACAAAATAATCGTTATTCTATCTGAAAGATATGCGAGTGGTATCATTGATTGCATAATCTATCCATAGAATTGACGAAAATAAAATAATTTTCATAATATTTGAAAGCGCTCAAGAAAAAGAAGCTTTTATTTTTTGCGCTTTTTTATGGTTTTCAGGTAAAGTGTTTTTTTGATCGAGCATCAAAATATCTAATGATGTCATTTATGCTTGGACTTTTTCTTCTTCTTCGACTGCTTGCTCCTGCTCTTTGATTTCTTTGACTTCTTCTTATGTTTCTCCTCGTCGCTGCTGCTGTCGGACGAATCCGAATAAGTGTCCGAATCAGAACTAGTGTCCTTCTTAGCCTTCTTTTTCTTATGTTTTTTATGCTTCTTTTTCTTCTTCTTATGCGACTCGTCGCTGCTGTCCGAATCACTGCTGGTCGTATCAGAACTGCTGGATGTATCCTCACTACTACTAGATTTAGATCGCTTCTTCAAAGACTTGATCTCCATCTCCTTGTCTAATTCTGTTTCGTCCAATTTCAGTTTCTTTGCTGGTGCCAATCCCTTTCCTCCGTCTTCACCATCCGATTCCGAGTCCGAGGCCGAGTAATCGGGTTCAAAGCTCGCTTCGTCAAGTATACTACGTTTGCGATCGGACACCAGTCTCGGATTTTTCCTCTGTTTCTTCAATGACTCTGTCAGAGGCTGCTCGATATTCTCATAATTGATTTTGGTCTCGTTGCCGTCCGACTTTCCATCCTTCAAAGCTGCGGCTTCCTTGTGCTTCTGTTTCTTTTCCTGATTCTTCTCCTTATCTTTTTTGTGCTTCTTCTCTTTGCGCTTTTTATGCTCTTTGGATTTACTTCTGCTACGATGCTCCTTCTTTCTTTTCTTCTCCTCTCGAGATTTCTTGTCGCGTCTTCTATCTTCTTCATCATCCTTCGATTTTAATAAGCTTATTTTCATCATATCCGTTCGCTTGAAAGCGCAAGACGGAGGAGGCGTTCTAGCTCTGCGTTCACGATCCTTATCGCGATCTTTTTCTCCCTTGACATCGTTTCTATTTGAACGAAAATCTGTTCTACAATCAATTCTACCTTCCCTCTCTGACCTCAATTCGCCACTGTGCCTGTCGCCTCGGAAATCCGACCTCTCCTTCGATCGATCGCCTCTATCTTTGTTGTCCCGTTTTCTTTCATCCAGATATACCTTTCGCTCACCGCTCACAGTTAAACCCAACGAAGATGGTTCCACGCGTCGCTCTAAAAGCGGAGGAGAAATTCTTTTCTCTCTTCTGGGTGATCGACTTCTCGATTGATTCTCGTTCTTTATGTCGCGTCTCTCTAAAAATCCCTTTATAGGGCTAATCTTTCTTTCCTTGCCCTCCTCGATCTTCTCACCGAGTCTTTCCTTAGCGGACAGCCTAGTCGGTGAGTAGGCTGTCTCCGGAACAGGCTTAAACTTGGTACGATCAAGTTTGGCTTTTTCACCGGCTCCGTGATCTCGACATTTCTCTCATTCCTGCCGACATTAATCGTCACGTTAACGCTTTTTCGCGGCTCTCGGTTAGCAGCTGGTTCTACCGTCTCCAACACTTTAGGTTCGGGATTTTGATATAATATCTTTCTACTTTCGCTAATCTTCTTGATCTCAATTGGTCGAATCGCATTGATGGCTTTTTGGAATATAGCATTTTCTGCTCGTTTCAAAACTTCCGAAGTAACCATCTTCATTGACTTCGGCTCGTCATCTCTCTGCACCTTCTCCGTCGGTGATTCATCCGCGTTGCTGTCCTCAGGTTTCTCGATTGTGTCGTCTCTCTCCCACTTGGACAACTCGGGTATAGGTGCCAGGAACTCATCTTTCTTCGGGGATTTCTCCGTCGATAGCATGGCGGTGACTTCTTTTGCCTCTGTCTGCGAGTGTTCCGATAGTAGAGAATATTTCTCTGTGATCACGGTGTTGATCTCTGTGTCGTCCAGTCCACCATAGAGACTATCAATTGGTTTCATCTCCGACTTAAGTTCCGGAATCGGCTTAAAGTTTGGATTCGGTGGATTAGTACCGAATTCTGAGCGATCGAGTCGACCACTGCCGGGACTGAGTTCACTGAATTCCGGCGGTTCTGGATTCATCGCCAGAGATTTGTCTTCAAATTCCTCCTTGACTGGCACAATGGGTGCCTCACTGGCAATACATTCTATCCTGTTCTCGATGTTGTCCTCCTCACTGCACGTTTTCACGGCATCGAGCTTGAGCGGCGAAGACGAGATGTCATTCGACGTCTTATCTTCGATCAACGCATCCTCTACCTTGATCGTATCGTCCTTGAGCGCCTCCTTTTGGCTAGATTTCTTATCCTTCTTCTTTTTCTTCTTCTTCTCTTTTTCATCGCTATCTTTCTTCTTCTTCTTTTCTTTTATCTTTTTCTCCTTCTTCTTTTCTTCCACTTTCTCATCATGTTCCTTTTCCTTCTTCTTCGTACTTCGCTCTGGCGAAAGATCCTTAAGATCGCCTCTGGATTTTTGCGAGTACGGACTTAGACTCTTTCTGCCCTTCTTCCGCTCTAGCGAACGCCTTTCATATCGCTCATGACGATCTCTGTCCTTCTCTCTCTCGGATTCATATTCGCGCTCGCGTCTCTCCTTCTCTCGCGGTCGATTCTTGTCATCTTGTCTATGGCGATCTCGATCATCTCTGTAACTGTAAAAAGAATATAAAGCAACTGATTTGCATCAAATCAAGAAACCAATTTAACAAGCCGTCATTCAATGCACAATAATTTACATATTAAAATATCTAATATTGAAATTTTTAGCTTTTATTTTAATTTATAACTTGACCAATATTTTAAGTTGATTACGCAGAACGCACCGATCTTTCTCGTAGTCTTTCTTCTCGATATGTCTGTCATCGTCTCGACGATCGCGAATGTGTCTATCTTCTCGTTCCTTTTCCTTCTCTCTTCTGTCACGTTCATCTTTCTCTCGTATCCTGTCCTCATGATCTCTCGGTGGGGGTTGTCTATCGCGATCTTCGCGATCTCTGTTCACGATTCTACGATCTCTGTCATCCCTCTCGCGCATACGATCCTCACGGTCGCGATTCCTTTAAAACATATAATATACATATTACAAATACTCATTCTTTTAAGATATAATTAAAATAATATATATTCTTTGTTTAAATGTAAAATGATTAAAGGAGAAAAAACACTCTTATTAAATAAAAAATTATTTTAGACGCAAAAACATTCAACATTATGTACCTATCGTCCCTCAATCTATCACGCTCTTCATTGTCACGATCCTTCGACGAATGTTCCCGGTCTTCTTGATCTCTCAAGGAACGCTGTCGTTCCCGATCTTCTCTCAACGGTCTATCAGAATGCTCGACACCCGGTGGTGAGAGATCGTAATAGCCCTCGGTGCCAGGTGGTGCAACGTCTTCGAATCGCTTATGAGGTGGAGGATCCCTCAGAGGACTGCCGAAACGCTGCGGAGGAGGTGGTCCAGAATATCTGTTGACAGAAAATCAGTACAGCGCTTGATACATCGGTCATAATGCGAAAGGTATAATTCTTTACGTTTCTTCCTTTTTCTATTTTTTTTCTTTTCTTCAGTACATAGTGCGATTTTATAAAACTGATATAGCGCATATACAGAATAGTTGTTAGTGACGAAAATTTGGAATTCCAAAAGTGTATACCGGAAAAATTAATCGTGTTAAGGTACTCGTAGAAAGAAAAAAACTCGGTCTGCCCCTCAAATTTTCTTTCGTACTTCTGTTAACGAGGCTACACACCTATCTGATGAAAATTTAAATACTTGGGGCAAGAATATATCATAATTCTAAGGCAAGACAACTACTTCATTTCTTTAAATAATCTTCATATAAGCTGAAAGAATAGAATATCACAATCACCTGTTACCCAGACTTTGTTAAAGTCATTAACTAAAATTATAAAATCATGAAGAAAGCAACATTTGTAATTTTAAATGGCTTTAAAATTAAAGCGAAAAATATACGTTCTCACAATTATAATTATGTTGAATATTAAATAATTACATTGTAAATATAATAGTTAAGAAATTGTCAGAAGTTATAGTCTGTACAATTTATAATTATTTGATCTATTCATTGACGTGATACATTTTCAGTAACACGTCTTGAGTTTGGTACTGAATAAAAAGTAATTTTGTTTTCATTACAAATGTTGATTTGGCCCTGAATTCACCTGATTCAGAAACCATGTAGACGTGTCAATCCGCTGGCTAGCTTCTGCAATCTCCATGATGGGCCTCGATGCTCTTCCTTGCTTCTCTCTTCTTCTTGCACTTTTAGATTACTACTATATTTCACATAATGTAATATACATATTATATATATATATATATATATATATATATATATAAAATATGTATAAACAATACAAAAAATATATATATATATATATATCACTTTGCGTACAATTTACAAAATTGTATATGCAATATTGTGACGATATTCAATAGATAAATAAAGTACACTTACTGTAATATAATAATGCTTATATAAAAATTGTTATATATATAGCAAATATTAAAACTAAACTTAAATTAACAATTTTTTGCAAGAAGACTTATAATTACGAAAGATTATTAAAATCGAAATAAGTCTATAACTTAATTTCTATCTGATATAATAACAATTATCAAACATTGTATAAAATAATGTGCGCACATAATTTAACGAATATTTTACTTAAAAATACAATTTAAAAAATAGTATAATTATACGCTATTGACAATATTGCATTTAAATAATTATATACTCATAATAATTATATGTACAAATATTATTAAAAATATATTATACATATTTTCATTATTACAATATATCTTAATTTATCTATAATATCACAAGTTTTCGCGCGTGTATATATGTATATGTGTGTGTGTGTGTGTGTTGTGTGTGTGTGTGTACAAATACAATTCATATTAGTATAACCTAATATTTAGTAATATTTCACATATATACTTAATTTAAAAGACAACATCACTTTCACATACACAGTTTCATTAATATGCACCTTACATCTTAAGTGTAATAAAGAATATTTTTAAATAAATATATATATATATATATATATATATAAAGTATTTATATTGCTATATGTTAAATTAAATAAATACTTTGTATATATAAATGTAAATAAATACTATGTAGATATAAATATAATATATATAAAATATACATACATACATACACGCATATACATTCACACAGTATGTGTATTAAACTCATAATAATTCGTGAAATAACATAGAGAATGCTAAATTAGAAAGAAATATTATATTTTATTTCATAGTCAAATGTTGGCTTTCATTATTTAAAAAATATCGATATAATTACAATAATTTGGCAATCTAATAATTTAAAAACTTGTCATCTTTTGCTACTTCTACTAATATTGTTACATTGAGTTACAGAAATGTTTTCTATTCTACTTAAAAATACAATTTTTTCTATCTTATGTTTATTACCCATAATATATATTTTAATTGATATTTTTCAATTTATATATTCTAAATTAAAACGTGCTAAAAACAGAGAAAAAATACGTAGAAAAAACTTAAAAAAGTTTTAAAATTTTCAAAAAAATAATTTTTTTCTGTTTTATGTATATTGAATCAATGAATTATAAAATTGATTCTACAACTAATTCATTCTAATTCATTTTTTCTGTACTAGTACAGAATATATTATACATAATACATTGATTTCTAGTACAGAAAAAATACAAATTGTAGAATTAATTTTAATTATGTTTGCATCAAGTCAAGAAATAATCGTATGTCTCTCGTTGAATTATTATGATAGAGACAAGAAACTATGTAAATTTATTTAAGAAAAAATAAAATTTAAGAAAGAAAAAATTTTTCCGTATTACGTGTTCGTGTACACACCATATATGTATATTAGTAATATATATATATAAAAGATAAAATACATTAATATTGAATATATCTTTTTTTTAATTCATGATTTAATAAACAATTATCTAAATCTTAAATTGTCTATTTTTTGAAAATGTAAGATGTATAAAAATAATTTATACATCTTATTTGACACAAGTGTGAAAGCAAATACATACAAAAAACTTATTTATTTCAACGTATTTTGCAAGATAAAAATGCATATAATTTCTTGTTTCTAACATTATAATTCGATATGATTGCAGTGAGGACATTTAAAGAGATTATAATATTTGTCAAGAAAGTTATACAGAATACTTTTTGTAAATTTGAAAACTTTTTTAAGCCTTTCTCTACATATGTAATTGCAAAATAAATTTATTTTTATTCAAAATATATAATTATGAGTATTTAATTATATAATTAATTTATATAAACATTCGATTTATTTGAACAATTTCTAATTTTTATATGTTAAATAAATACCTTCTCATAATAATTAAAATAGCAATAATAGAGAGTATTGTAAAATCATATATTTTGAAATATAAAATATATATATAAATATTATCGTTATAAACATTTTATTATAAAATTCTGCTAAACAGAAATATATCTTGATCATTTCCTATTCATAAGAATAGAATTACTATTAATTCTATTGAGTATTATAAGTAAAAAATTTAAATTCTTTCTAATTTATATGTGTTCTTAGCTATGTGCGTGTACAGCAAAAGAACGAAAGAAAAGAAATTTGTACATTTATAAAAGAAAAAATATAAAGAAAGAGAATGATAATATATATAATTATTAAACATGAAATATGAGGATTAAAAACGTTGGATCTATAATTAAAGTAAATACAATAAAAAGAAATATTATATAAAACCCTCGTCTTTATAAATTACACATTCAATCACACAATCAATCATTCGCACATTATTGTCTTATTGCTTATTGTCTTATCACTATGCTTAAAAATATACCCATTTATAGATATTTAAATAATAAATTACATATTAAATTTAAAAAATATATGTATCACACATTTAATGTAATAATGTTAATCAAAATAAAATTATAACGCAATTTATCATCAGCAATAATATTGACTAGATTATTGACTAGATTATAGTAATCAAAGAAATCTCTGTAAAACTTTTTATAACTTTAATAATTTAACCAATTTGCCTATATAGATTAAAATTAATAAAATATGTTTTATTATAATTTTCAAAAATTATGCATGTAAAATAACATTTAATTTTAAGTAATAATTATAGTCTGAAAAAACAATGTAAAAACTTGTATACATTTTTAAATATATGTAAATATATATGTGTAATGTGAAATATTTAAATATATTTATTAATATATAATTTTTTTAATAAATTTAAATTTTAAATATTAAAAATGTATAAAATAAAAAAATATATAATTTATATATAAAAAATATATTGAAATAATATAAAAGAATATATTACTCCAAGTCTTTATATTTAATCCATTGTCATGGATAAGAGCTTTAAAGCTTCTCTCTCTCCCTCTCTTTTTTTTTAAATTATCTCTTTTAATATAATATAAATATAAATATTCTTTTCAAATAAAAAAACATGTATGCAATTCTAATGGAAAAAATTCTCTTGGAATCATGTTTGTTATATATAGACATATAAAATGTATTCATATAATATAATGAATATTATTCGAATATTATTCAAAGTAATCTTTCAAAGCAAATTTCATTGTCAATTTGTAAAATTGAAATTGCTTTTCAGACGTAGTCTTATTAATTGTGCAGCTTTAAAAGCGCAACTTACTTTTCAGTATTTTCTTCCATCTTCACAGGTAAATACAAGTAGTTTATAAAATATATAGGATACACAGTCGAATATCGCGAAATATAAATTAATCTCAAACACAACAATCTCACATCATACAATTTTCAAATAACCACTCTTGCAAAAATTAAAATATTGCCACAATAAATATCAAATGCATAAATTTGACAATTAAAACTTTACACGCATATTTTATACGAATATTACATATATTTATAATTGAATATTTTTCCAACTATTTCTCATATTAATGGATCTGAAATTCTCTTATACAGAAAGAAGAGAGAAAAATAATGAAATTACAGATGAAAAGAAATATTAGAAAAATAATATTAATCGATTTATCATTTTTAATTTTAAAATTTATATATTGTGCTAAAATTTATGTATTGGGCTATAAGAATTTGATTGGTTTTGTATATATATAACATTATTTTCACAACAAACTATTATTTCCTTATCCTACAAAATTGTAAAATAAAAATTATAGAATGATAGAATTGATTAGAATAGAGGGAAATACTTATTGTCAAATTTATGCAATGATTATATGTTTAACTTATATATTCAAAGTTAAAATAATTTTTAGAGCCACTTCGGTGCGCACAAATTTCTCGCTAATAAGACAATCAAATCTTTGTACTTTGTCGCTTCTATATAATTTATCAGTCATTATTCCAGAGTCTTTTTGCTTAATTAAACTAGTGATATAGATATGTCGATAGGTTGTCTGCTTAGCGTGTACATGAATGAAAATACTATTGAGGCGAAAATACCTGTTGTAGGAATCATAATAGTCTTTCCTGTCCGTAGGTGGAGGTCCCAATGACATAAGCGGCGGTGGTGGATGACCTCCAGTGACTAGATGCGGCATCAACGGCGGTATATTGTGTTGGGACGGCTGGTTCCTTATAGGATATCTCGGTATCGGTCTCTCTCTAGGCGGTAAATCACGCTCACGATCACGAAACGATTGATAATCGTGAGCAGGTGAATCGCCATAGTAAGTGCTGTATCCATCTCGAGGCTCGCGTGATCGCGCCCTATCTCTCTCGCGATCCCTCTCTCTTTGAAATCTAAAAAGTCATTCGCGATGTTAGTATATTCAGTTTAATATATTCTAAATGTACAATTTGAAAAGGTCTTTTCTATGATAAATAAAGGATATTATCTAACGCGTACCTGGGAGGTGATCTAACTGGAGATCGATATCTAGGCAATAAATCACGATCTCGATCTCGCTCACGATCTCTCTCCCTATCTCTATCTCGATCTCTGTCTCTTTCCCTATCTCTGTCTCTCGACGGAGAAAGCCTCGGCGACTGACTGCGAGAGTATGATCTAGATCTGCAACAACACATCGAGCAAACTTGAAGAATTATAAACGATGAGTATCGTATACTCTGTTTAAAATCTCTCTTAAAATCATAAAAATACCTGCTAATGGAGAAACTGCCACTTCGCGATCTGCGTTTTGGAGTACGACTACGCGCTCTAAGTGGTAACGGTGATCTTGATGATCTTCGCTTCGACGGTGGTGTGCGTGATCGACTAAGGCGAGACCCAAATGGAGATCTCCGACTAAAAGATCGCGACCTTGATCGAGTGTAACTACGAGATCTAGAGCGAGTTCTACTTCTTCTTCTGTGTTTTCCTAAACGTCGATCTCTTTCATCCTTCTCTCTGAGCATACGCTCAAATGCTTCCAATGGATCATCGATAATACTGAAGAAGATAAAAGTGTATTCATAAGAATAATATTCAATGAAGACATTTAATATTTGTACTGAGATTAAGAGTAACACATAAAATATTAAAAATTACTTACCCAGGTGGATTTCCATTGTGTATGCTTCTACCTAAGCCTGGTGGCGGTGGTTGCATGTTTCTATATCCCACTGAAACAAAATATATTCAAAATGAGATATATACCAACTAAGAATACAATATTATATAAAAAAAAAATTAAGCAGATTATTTAATAAATGTGAATAAATATAATTGTAAATATTCAGAACTTTTAAATGTAATTCTAAATGTAATTCTTATATAAATTAGCAAATTGCACTTACTATGATGCAATCCTCTCATTGGCCTCGGTGGCCCACTATAGTTTCGAGGTGGCTGAGATGGTCGATATCCTTGCTGTTGGTAAGGAGGCCTATCATATCTAGGCGGTCCATAATGAGAGCCTTGCTGATGTGGATATATCGGTATTCGATGATTCAAGTATGGATCCGGCAAAAGTGGGGGATTATGCGGAGGTACATTCGGCGGTGGTTGATTGTAATTCGGTGGCGGGATACGCTCCTCGCCAGGTGGAAACGGCAATAACGGAGGTTGATTACCGGACGTGGGGACATGTAAATGCGGTTCGTCGACCTAGAGATCACAGAAGCGTACAATAATGAAATTAATGCTAATTTAAGTAATGTTAATTATCCATTCAAATGTGGAGAAATGCTCACCGTAGGAGTGCCAGCACGGTCCTCGTTGGATCTGCGTATTCCACTGTCATAATGCATAGCAGGCGGGTAATGTCCATCGTCCGCTAGATGACCCTGATAACCCTTGGAAGGAGGTGGGTTCATTAAATGAGGCAGTACAGCGCTCGATGATGATGGATATTCGCCGTGCTGGGAATGTCTGGGCGACAGAGACCGATTTCGACTGCGATTCAGCGGACGTAAATTTTCAATCCTACGACCACGTTCTCCACTTCTAAATTAACAAATGTAAATAATATTGAATGATTGAATAAGTGCAGACAATCGTTATGGCTCTACTTTTAATAATTAAGTCTCAGAATGAGTTGCCTACAAGAGTCTGGGTGCAGTTAATAAGGCGCATATTTGTTGAATGAATAAATTATATATATATATATATATATATATATATATATATATATAAATGATTCACAGATATGTAGGTTTTATTGCATATAGCATCGCAATGTGAACCAGGAGTATAGCGTTGGATAAAGTACCGCAGAATCATGTTAACGAATAATTATTAGACTTAATTATTTAATAAATAATATTAATTATTCAATGTTACACATGCCTAATATAAGTTGCTTCTTCTTAGATATTTGATAGCAAGAGGATGACTAAAATGATTCACCCATCAAGCCAAAAATTAGTAGTAAAGATTTAACGCTGTATTAATTTACATTCAACCAATTATTTACATTGTCATCTGTTTACTTTGGATTATGATAATCTATAATTTGATATTAAGTTACTGTAGCTTGAGAAAAGAAGATCTACCAGCCAATTTTATCACATTGTTAAATCTTTATCGATGATATAAGTATGATATTTTCTCACCTCTCACGATGTCCATCCCTGCTAAAACTTCGTCGACGCTCCCTGGACTGACGTTCCCCGACGTACTCATTGTCCCGTTCCTTTTTGTCACGACTAGGTGGATCACTTCGCTCGCGTTCTCTCTCCGGCGAGTTTACGCCGATAGCGGGGATCGGAAGCAACGGCTCTGTCCCTGGAGGAGGAGGCACTTCAGTTTCCTCGTCAGTTGTTAGTTTTGTTACCGAATCACTTTGCAAATGCGATTCTGAAGTGGATTCAGGCAGAGCTGTCAGAAGCACACATCACGTACGATTAGGCGAAAGTGAAAATTGGCGATTAGAGCTCGCTAAAGAGCGGATTGCGAATATTGCGATGCATAATGGCACTTTACAAAGTTACGGCACGTAAAGACGTACCATACTTCTTTTGAGGTTATGCGCTACAAAATTGTCAGCTGGCCAATACGAATTCGAAATGTATCCTCGACAATAAGTATATGTTAGAAACGCGAAATTAAAGCGGCGATCGAACGCATTTCATCGCAACGCGCTCATGTTTCGAAATATTATCCGCGTCACGTGAATTAAATATGCCGAAACTAAATTAGTTCACATACTCCAATATATAATGGCGCCTGTCTTCTCTGTTTGTGATAAGTATATCACGCACGGAAAGATAGAAAGTTCAACGCGTTGCAAGAAAGATTTGTAAACTTGTAAAACATATGATGATTAAATATCATTTAATGCGAAATAAAGTTTCACGTACGAGCGATGAAATGAGAGATCAATATATTGTCTATTTGTTAGTGTTTATATTAGCTTTTGCAGGAGGAAATATTTTTTTCTTTTGATTTATTTTATATGATGTAGATCAAGAAGCCTAGAATATGTATATATAAATACATTATCTGATTGATTAAAATATTTGATTATATTTATGAATAAAGATTTGTAAAGAACACTCAATTTTGATAATGTATATGTTCGTGTTTAATGAGTTATTTTGTATTTGTACTTTATACTTTAATTATATTTAATATTTATACTTTGATGAAAGAAATTCATATTTTATATGAAAATGTAATCTAATTAAATTAGTTTAATTAATATTTAATGCAATAAAATTCTTTGTGAATTCTAGATGCTAATTTCAAATATACAAACCTTTTGTTTGTAGTTTGATTAGTAATAATATGCTGCTGCAATATATTTTGAACATAAAATAATGTAAAAATATTACTAGAAAAACTTCTAAATCACTCTCACATAAACTCTTGCTATCGTATATATATGTATATAAGTGTATGTGTGTGTGTGTGTGTGTGTGTGTGTAAAATTTTTATATAATTATATTGCAATATATTTCCTACTTCTCTGACTCTCTTATAAATACATCATAAAATATTACAAATGTTTAATTACAAATTATGTAATTGAGTAAATTTTTTAATCAAAATCTTTTCTCTGCATATTAATAATAAAATATTTAAATTTTAATGTATTTAACATTATATTGGATCTATTATAAAAACCCTAATATTATTAAATAATATATACTACTGTTAGCAAAAAGTGACACATGCTGTCACTGATTTCACACTAATTGAGATTCTATATAGCAAACTATAATTGAACATAAAACTTTGTACAAAATGTAGTCTTTTTTGATTGCATTATCATTATTGATATATTACAGAAATATCTATTATATTATATTGTATATACTCAGATCTATTTTTATTTTTTAAATAATATATATACATCAGAGCAATAACATCAGTTACCAAAAAGCACTTACTGGTTGATGTCTGTGGCTGCAAACCAGAGGTGGCAGTTGGAAAATGTTGCGAGGCAGATTCGAGATTAGTAGGTTGCGATTCCACAGATTCTTGCAATGGTACATTAGGAGCAATGGATGATTGTATAGTTTGAGCTTGAGGAGATACTTGACTCGTAGGTTGTTGCACTTCAACTTTTGGTTGTTCCATTGGTGCAGTGGATTGTCCACCACTTTGAATAGGAGGTCGATAAGTCTGTCTTTTGGCGTAACCAGTTTCGTTCTTAAAATTCATTACTGCATTACGTAGGAATCGATTTGGAATAAGAGTTTCCGGTGATACATCTTTCTCGTTACAATCGGGACATTCATGTTCCTCAGATTCTAATAAAAATGTACGAATACCTGTAATACAAAAGAAAAATACAGATATAAATATAATGACTCTACATAGATAAGTGTAAGAAAATGCGCGTTAATTGTCTATAATTTTATCTATGTCTATAATGATAGCAGAATTATTGTCTATAATGATAGATGATTTACATTCATCACAAAAGGAATTTCCACAACATGGAATCATCACTGCATCTGTCAGAAGGTCTTTGCAGATATTGCATAACAAATCTTCTGGTATCTCTGGTTTCTCTATCACAGGTTCTGGATCTTGTGAAAATGGTGGGCGTTCTTTCTTGCCTTCCTTGTAAGCTTGACTGAAGATGGAAAAAGTAGCAATAAGTATATACACAATGTGTATTATGTATTTTATAATATATTTAGAGATATTGTAGTATATATTTACAATTAAAACTTACTGATCAATAGCAGGAACAGCATAGTGTCCTGTAGGTGTCATCATAGCACCAGGTACCAAGGGTCCTTCGACTGGTACCATGAAACTTCTGGGAATACCTGTGCTTTTCTTTATTTCAATTGGTTCCTGATTTGTACCCAATGGGCAGTTTTTTATCCAATGTCCAGGCTGATGGCATTTATAACAACGATAATTTGCAGGTACATCACCAGTCTGATTGGCTCCACGAATTTTCATATAACTATTTAAAAATGTAGATATATATTTATATTGTAATAAATAAAGTAACAAACTTATGCTTCCACCTCTCTAAAATAAGATATATAATATTGCATACTTTGAAGGATCATAGTCTTGAGTTGATTGTGTCATCATTGCACGAATTTTATCCTCTTCCGAACCATCTAATCTCGTGAGATCTACTGCCCTGTTCAAATTAGCTTCATCTTTTAAATTACTAAATGGAGGAGTTTCATTTCGGTCCCAAGAACGTTTTTGTTGTACTGTTAATGGAACTCTTGCAACAATAAGACTAGTATTTTTGGCAATTAATGCATTATCATCTGTATAATCTGTGGAAAATAAAATAATTATTGAATATTATTGATTAAATATGCATATTATCAAAATATTTAATTATACAGATTAAAAAATTAATAGATTATCAAATATATTTGTATAATTTTATAAACTGGAAGTAAAATTATTTAATAATAAAATAAGATATTTGCCTTCTTTTGTTTGGGCATTTGTAATTTGTAAATCAAAATCTGTATTTTTGCCGATACGTTTCTGATGAAAAATAGCCTTTTTCAAATCTGCTACTGAAATATGTAGTCCATCAAATGACACAGTGTCAAAGTCCAAAGTAGATTTAAATTTATAATGTACGGACATTGTCACTACTTAAGCCTGAAAAAATATACAAGATTATAATTATCAAGCACTATAATATTACCAAGATAAATAATTACAAAGAGTATTATATAAAAATGTCATTTCATTTATATATATATATATATATATATATATATATCAAAGACAAATACAATATATTTTCAACATGAAAAATTAAACTTTCGTTTATGCATAATCTTTTGTAACAAAAGTACAAGGAGGAGCAATAACAAAAATGTATATAAAAAAAATACATAGACACAGCATTGTATTATACATATGTAAATTAAATAGATAAAAATTCCAGCTAATACATATCGCACATTCTAATATTGCACATTATAACGATACATATCACAATCATACACTTCAAACAAGGTTCGTCTCCATCTTTTTCTCTCTCTCTCTCTCTTTCTCTCCAAACTACCATTATACAACATGCATATATTGTACAAACATACACAACACGTATCTCCTCGAGAGAACGGACGATGATGACTTCAGGTGAACACTGCATACGGAATCAAGTGAACTACGATTCCCGAGGAGAGAGTCTCGAGACGAGGCTCCGTGGAGAGACAGTCGGATTAAGGTTAAACAGATGAATCGGTGACGCTCGGTCACCAGCGCGAGCTCGATGGTAGACCGCGACGAAACGTCAGCAAGAACCACTGCTGTGCGAGTCCGGTGCAAGTGGATTACTCACTGCGAGGATACCCAACGTAGTCTTCGTCTCACGGCGTCGAAGGGCGAGCGGCAACGGCAGCTGCTTTGACGACGTTGCGGGCACGAATCGGCGCAAGTACGGTGTCGAGAGCTCGAGGCTGCGTTCGGAAATCTACTCGCGAAAAGATGGGAGTCCGATCGACCAATCGGGAGATCGGGAGCGAAAGTTTCCAGCGTTCTGATTGGTCGATCGAGCAGTTCCGCTCCGAGAGATTTTCGAACACATTCCGAGTTTCCATGGAGAATACGGAGCTTCCTCGACAGTCGAAACCATGGGTTTTTCTTATAACCTGAACGGCTTGATTTATCACAGATGAAACGATGATATCCGATTCTAGACATAAAATGATTGTCTAATTGAAATAGCGTTATAATAAAGACAGCATTTCTTATAATTTATTCGCTATTTTTTATAATTATTTATTGTCATTTTTTTATGACAATCAATTCGCCATTTTTTATAAATTTGCGCTATTTTTTTTTTTAATATTTACTCAACGTAAATATTTCTTCGTTTCGATTTATTAATTAAAACATTTCCCTTACACTTATATAGCGTCAAAAACAAGTATTAATTGTACGTTTATAGCAGATTATAATTAATGTTCTTCTCCAAAGAAATACTCTTTCATATTCTTTCACATTTATATTTGTCACGTGATTAGAATAAGAAAGAGAATGAAAAATATATTTCAACACATATATCAGAAATAAAAATGTTTATGAAGAAAAAATCTTGATATCGTTAAAAATGTATAATTATATAAAAATAGAAAAAAATACTCGATTTTTTGACAAAATATACAATCGATTATATTCGGTCTCATTAAAAAGCAAATTTTATTATTAAATTAGTTATTTTATTAGTTATGTGGCTGTATGTAGAATCAAAATCAATTTATTATTTTTTATGTGAAATGTACAATTTTAATTATAAATATCTATTATACCAGCACGCAAAGTTTTATATATATATATATATATATATATATATATATATATATATATATATATATAATGTATGTATGTATATGTATATATGTCTATCACTTCGTTCTTATTTATTGGTATCACTGTTTTATTTTAGCATCTTTATTTTTTGACAATGATATTTTTTATTTTTCTTTTTATCAGGCTTGACCTGATTAGGAATTATCACAATGAAAGTCGCCCTATGCGATTTTCTTAATACTAATACTATACTAGTTTAACAATTAAATGGAAGCGTTAAAAAATCATGAGCCACTGCAGTCAGATAATACACATACAGATGAGTATCTAATTTCTTATAAGTAAACAACTGCTTAAATTTAACTTTAAGCATTTGTTCAATTCATAGAAAGCAAGAATATATTAGTAATACATGTGTGCGTCTGCTGAGTAATATATATTTGTATATTTGAAATGTAAAAATTTTAATTGATAGGTAATGCTGACACAGAGGAAATTTTGATTTTAAAATTAATACATATAAATTCATCAGTGTTGTCATCAAAATTTTTTTATATACAAGATTAAATAAATATATCGTTGTAACTTATTTAAAAGAAACTTTGATTATTTAAAAGAGAATAATTAGAAGAATTACCGCATAAAATATAATAAATAAATAAATATTGAACAATAGCGCAATAGATTATTCACTCCACATTTATATGTGTATATATTAAATAATAGTTTTAATTTAAATATATTTATCATATATTGCGCGATATATATTTCACATTAAATCCTCTGCATAAGCATCATTTTAAAATCTAAATCGTACTTTCAAGCCTTGGTATCTATATATTGTACCTGTTGTATCAGGTACTGCGGACAAAAGGACGGTGAACATTTTCAAGCACGATACTTCTGAAAATATCTCGCAGAATGTCGATTCTTTTTCATTCAGGCTCACATTGGGATAGAAAATTATAGAGATAAGATCGCAGTACAAATATATATCTTCTTGTTGAAGCCATCAATATCTTGATTTTCCATTAATTTCTTTCAATACTAATTTGATAGAGATCTCCCTGTTGTTTCAGAAAGACATGGCACTATATACATGTATATAGACAACCTCGTATGCTCGTAAAATGTAAAAAGAGCCTCCATTTTCTCTTAATAATCTACAAATTACTGCATATCATTGTTCACTGTACTAATACTCAACTAACATCCCTCCTTTTCTCAGCACGTTATCAAGGCTTTTTTCCCCTTAAATAAAATTAAAAAACGAATAGAACAATTAAAATTATATTCGTACATCTTCCATTATTTGTAATATTGTAATAAATTGCTAAAGTTGCACCAAAATTTTATAGCAAGTATATTGCATTACATAAATATGCGATAAATATGTTTATGTAAGTTTTTTTGAACAAATTAACGGCATGTACACACCATCCTAATTTTATATATATATATATATATATATATATATATATATATATATATATAATATATGTATTATATAGTCTGAGGAAATTTTTTAAAATCTTTGTATGAGATATTTCATTCTTTTTTACATTTGTTCGTTTTTAACAGTATTTTCAAAAAATGTAAGAAATATTGATGCATTGAAGACTATATACTTATACACATTGTATCACAAATTTGGATTGTGAGAATTCTTTCTAAACTTGTTCTTATGCAAAATTACATTCACTTTTCCCTGCACAAATTCCTTTGAACAGAATCTCCTCAAGATGCTCACCAAAGTTTTTTCGCAAAAAAAATTTAGTTTAAAGATAGAATTTATAACAGAATTGTTATATCTTTAATAAATATTTTCTTTTTATGTGAATATTCACAAAACTATTAGAATAATGTACAGATAATCTTTTAATCTATATATTCTAAATTTTGTATGCTATATACATAAAATTGATATTTTGATAAAAATTCTCTTTTTAGCTGCTTAAAATTTCAAAAAAAGAAACTATAGTAACAAATATATATATTATATTAACAAACTAAAAAAAAATTAATAATGCTACTTATTATTAGATCAATATCATTTTTTTTCATATATTCAGTATTTAACTTTTGTTATTATCTATTAGCAATATTTGTCTGTTTTTAAAGCTGCAATTTTATTACTATATCAAATATTTTGATAATTTTTTTAGATTCTTATGTAAGATGATGATTATGTAAAAAGATATCAATATTTATAACGTAAAAATGCACTATTTCTACATATCACTTGTAAAAGAAAAAAGTAATTTTGTGCAATTATGTATAATAATTGGATTATATTATTGTAAAACAAAATGTAAAAATACAACTTTGTGATAATAAATGTATACTTTGTTCTTACAAAAATGATAATACGCAATTTGCTGCCAGTTAAAATTAACAATACGGAGATTTCTCGCGTATCTTTTATATATATATGTGCGTGTATATATAAACAAGACATAGTTAAATATTACATTAAATAAATTGTCTATATTTACATTAGGAAAGAGAATACCGAATATAAACAAAATAACGCAAATATCAACAAATATAAGATCTTTTAAAAAAGTAATAATCAAGAATATAACTTCTTCGATTGTACTAATAAGAATAAAAAAATCATTCTTAGAGTAATGTCATTTCGACGACGATCCTGTTCAAAGGTCAGATTTAAGACAATATTTTTCTGCTTCACCGTTATTTTCCTTAAAATATGAACATTAAGTTTTATCGATAGAAGTATCTTTCATAATATCATCTTTAGTGATATTTTGGTTCATTTGGTCGTTTTCGTACTCCACAAAGTCATCAAATAAACTTGGCCATGCTTCTGCGTCATCGTAAGCACCAAGATCGTCACCAATGCTTTCGACAAAGTTTAAAAACATATTCCAAGTATCTCTAGGTATCCCGCGAATGTGATGGCATTTGAGGAAGTTAAGCCATCTTGTCAAAAGCGGAGGTTCACGTATTGTAAAGACAAGTCCCCAAAGGCTGATTGCCATGTCAGCAGGTAAAATTCTTTGACCAGACGTCACGTCGAGGCCAAATCGGAATGTGAATCGATAGAGATCTTTGAATAAATCACTATTGACCGTCAATTCCTGAACGATTTCAGGCAATCGTGCTTGTATACCACGTATACTGTCGACCTTCATAGCTTTTAATCCTGTGACAAATTCTTGGCGCGTAAATTGGCACATTTGCTCTGCATTTAACTTCCATGCAAGTACGAGAACTTTAAATTCCTCAGGTGCTAATTGTAAATCATTACAGAGTCTTACCACGCCTTCCATTAATATCATATCTTCATCGTTATCCTTAAAAATAAATAAATAAAATTAGTCATTTATTATAATTTTCTTTTCATAATCTTATAAAATTATTGTATAATTCAAGATTATTATACCAAAACAATTTATTATACTCTACATATAAATGTTTTCTTTATTACATAATATACTCTATATATAAATTAACTATATTTTTGTACCTTATATTGGTCAAAAAGAGCATTTAATTTGCTCTCTGATGGTTCCTTTTGTTGCTTAGGTTCAGTAGCTAAATTAAGACCGGATGATGTACTAGATCGTCCTAATGGCTGTAATCGCGCATAAAATCCTCGCGATAAACGCTGATTACTTTGTACACTGGACACAGATCCACAATTATCTGAGCCTACATTATTAAATGTAGATAGTGTACTTATAGACTTTCTATTTCCATTTATATGTGTTTCAGGCACAAAAGAACCAGATTGTTGGCAAGAATTTGGGAACAAACCTCTGAGTTCCATTGTTTCTGCAAAATGTAATAAAATTTTGATTCTATGGTATTATATAAAAGAGCAATTATACTTTGAAAACTAAACACAATTAAATAATCTATTATTTAGCAGTTTTCAATAAGTGTAGAATATAATTACATAAAAAAATTTTTACAATATTGTCTCTTACACAAATAATAAGCAGCAATCTTGTTCAATGTGTTCAATATAAAGTATGATTATGATAAGTATATAATTAATACAATTGATTGATATTTATAAGACACTGTAGTAGTGTTGAACATACCGTCTTTATGCTCCAATGCAATTGATTGATCGGTATTGGTTGATGGTGGAAGTGGCACCTTGAAGCACGAGAAACAGTTTCCCATTGATGCTGACCGTACTTGACATCAAAGATGATTATCCCATGCATCAGTGATTAGTGCATCAGTCTTTGGCAGTCTTGATGGAAAGCTGAAGAATGACAATATCATATGTCATTGTTATTTTGACAACTCGCAGTCTATATTAAGTTCAATACTTTTACTTCTTATCGTGCTATTAACGGATTCATTTTTCAATAAACAAACAACAGCATAATATTCAGATATTATATCAATACTAATACAAAAAGTCATCATATCATAACGTGGAAGATGGAATAACGAGCAAATGCGGAATTTCGCGATTGAGAAATCGTTCAACTCGTTCATAAATCTAAGAAATCTCGTCAACAATTTCACGCGTCAAGTACCTGTCAAAACAAGATTACATGTGGAAGGGGTAAAAGAATCGTTTCGCGAGAAATCAAATGCCGTCGAGAGTAAGGAATGAGTCATGAAATCGTTAATCAAGAATGGGGGGAAGCAGAAAGCAGGGGATACCTTATTGTTGTTAGAAGACGATTCTTGGACCGATCCGGGCGTCGCGTTGATCTAATCAATCAGTCTCGAACCAAGACCTCGGTCGCATTCGTCGAATCCTCGCAAAGTGAGCGGTGGGAAAGAAGCAGAGGGATGCTCCCGGACGTCGTGTCGCACGTACACGTCTATATATGTATATATATATATATATGTTGCGTGCGTTTGTTTTCTGCAAAAAAAATCGCGAGAATCAACGGGAGGACGCCGCGCTACTCCCGATATCCCCGGACATTTTTCCTGACGACGCGAAGACGAACGCCCGGAGATAGGATTCGACCTAGCAGCCGAGTCTGCGTCATTTGCGACGATGCTGCGAGCCCGGGCAACCGCGCGACGTCGACGACGACGACGGTGACGAGGACGACGACGACGATCTCATTCCAAATGGACAGCGTTCATCCGCGAGTCCCCGATCACAGCAGTCGACACAACACGTTCATCACCATTCACCACCACCACCGCCACCACCGCCGAGCGATCGTCCCGTGAAAACACCGCAGCAAAGACATTCCTCGTGTCTCGGGATGTCACCGACCTGGGGAAAAAACAGCGCCACCCTCAGGCTCCGTTTACACGGATCTAGGATTATTTTGTTTATTGACACTTGTGATTAGTTGCGAGGAGAAAATAAATATGGCGTGATCACAAATACTGACAAATAATTTAGATTCAGTTGAGATCAAGAGCGTATGCACACCAATCAAATTCACGAATTTGATGACAGTTGCTAAACTGCTTTTTCTGATGAACGCAGCCATAGAAAGCGAACTTTACGCGATAACGTTTAACGGCGCATGACAGTTGCGAGAGTGCGTTCAACTGTGGTGTTAGGTTATCCGGTAGTGCTATGGAAAGCACTTTACGAGGAGTTCATTGTTTCTATATTGTTTCGATAATTGACGATCACCGTCTTTGTTACGAAGTCTGTCATTGAAATTCCTTTTCGGTATGTAAATCAATCAAAATGCAATTATTTTACGAATGTATTTCGACGTTCAGAAACTGTAGATCAATGAATAATTGTCGTGCCGTGACATTTATAAGATATATCTTTTTTAAATTTCGAGAAATGATAGATTAATTCATTGTTATATATATATATATATATATTATTAAATATTTCTTTTTATTAAAATGTTATACATGTAAAAACAATATGGCACTTTTTGAAAAACTCCATTTTTTTATAGTATTGCATATATATTGCATTATATCATGTAACACACTATTTTTTTAAAAGATAGTTATATACATCACAGATCTTGCCATAATTGTATGATTCTGTATCTTTGCTAAAATATAATGTCTCTAAAAATAATGTTCTTTAACGTTATTTATTTATAATAATTATTTGTTATTTAGTTATATCTATATTAGTCCAATTTGATATCAGCCAGATAACATATGCAATCTTAGATTAAAATTTGATATCAATTATAGGATTCAAAACTTTTGTAACAAGTATTGTAAATATAATTAAAGTATTAAAAAAAGACCCATATTTTCAAATTTTGATGCAAATTAAAATTTAGATTCATGATCATAATTTTATCTATTTTATATAATTTGATTATCTTCATAACCTACTTATAAAGTATATAATTGTTATAATTGTTTTACACTAATCATAAGAAAACATGACTGATTGAAGGTACAAAGAAGAATCAATTAATCTCTTTTAAAAAAATGTTATATTTATTTATTATTCAAATTTAAATCTATTTAATATCAATTTAAAAACAGATATATATATATATATATATATATAAAATATATGACATGGGTTTATGTATTTATGTGTTTTATATTAAATTAAATTTGATCGGCAGGTACACAATGCCGAAATTAGCGCGTATTACTAGATCCTTGCGCATGTTTACTTCTCTAGAGCGCAGAGAAGGAGCATTAGATCTTGATCCAAATGATTTAATAAGAAAAAGACAAGAAAGACAAGAACGAGCAAAAGAATTAAAAAGGTAAATTAAAAATTGAAAAAAAGATTCTGTATTTGAAAGTAAATTCATAGAAAATTCTGGGATATTCATGATATATAAACTGCATTAAGAGTTTAAATATAAACTTTGTTCCCCCTTCAATTTTAATTTAGTAATGTTTTAATCTGAAAACTAAAACAATTAGTAAAATAAGATTTTAAAATTACCTAGTTTCTCTTTTTTATGCTCTATTTCATATTCATATATTATAGCACTCTTGATTGGCATGACATATGCAAAAGTGCATCTGATAATCTTATAATACACTTACTAGAATTGAAGAATATTGTGCAACAAGTTTTAGGTGAGTATTATATAAATAGTAAAGATGAAACAATTTTATTTTTAACAAATATAATTTTCCGAATTAAGTTTCTGAAATTAATGAAATGATTTTTTTTCACATTTCTATTTTCAATATGTACTTTTAATATGTAATTATAAAATATGAATAACACGTTTAATAACATATTGTATTTAATAGTAATTTTTTATTTTACTAAAATATTTTATTACTAAATAGTAAATACCTTGTAATTTTTATTCATTTTTTTAGTTGCCGCCCCTTCAGATGTTGTAAATGAATTTACAGTTTATGCATTACGTGTATTAATCGACATCGAAGATTTTACGCGAAAAGAATATGATATACTTGGGCAAAAAGCAGGACATCTGACATATCAATCTGCACAGAAAATAATGCGAGTATGTAATCTATTCCTATAATTTATATTGATATGTTATTACTTACAATCTAATCATTTTATACCATTTAATTCCATTCAGATAGTCACAAACATTCAAAAGCAATGTTATGAGGAAGTTATAACATTATTATCAGAAGAATCTAAAGAAAATGTGGACGGTTTCAATCCACGTATTTTTGGTGCAAATATTCCTTATAATCAAGCAAAAGTTTTATGGCCTGACACCAGTGGACTTCACAATATGTCTACACAAGGGATAAATTCAAGTACTGATAAATTTACAATGATGATACATGACACAACATCTTCAATACAGAAGAAATCTGTAGTGAGTGAGATATTGAGATGGATAAATAGATAAATTAATTTTTAATTAATCCTTTTCAACTTCTATTCATTTTGTTGATTTCAGTTTGACAAAGCAACATTTACAAAAGAATTAAAAAATTGTTGCAAAGATGTTGCAATGTCATACCAGGATTTTGCAATGGCAATAGTGGAAAAGTTGAAAAACTCCCAGAATATACAAGCTGAATTATTTGATATGTTAGGCTGCGAACATCTAGAATTTATTGAATACATTATTGAACATGAGAAAGCCATCATATCGACATATCCGTGTTCAAAAATACCCAAGAGACCACAGACAACTGCACAGGGACCCATAATTAGTGGTCAAGTAATTGTACAATCCGAAATGGAAAAGCAGTTATGTAAACAAGTTCGTAAAGAAGAGAAAAAACTAACAAAAATGGCAAACAAACGAGACGTCAAGTCGGAGACTGAGGAAACTGAATTTATTCCACTGCAACTGCGACTTAAGAGACAAGAAGCATTGACAGCTATGCACGCACCGTTGTTTCCTAAAAAATATACACTGGAGAGAGGCATGCAGGAACAATATCCATTTGTATTTGATTCTAAAGCTAATGCTACAGCGGGTTTTGTGTCAGGACAAAAGTTATTGCTAGCGGAAGATGTTAAGAGATGTAGTAGTGACCTCTGCGAGGAAGTGCACATACCAGCACCAAAAAAAGATGATGTTAACATTAACATAGATATTGTATTAACATCTTCTTTGGACGAAATTGGTCAACTGGCTTTTAACGGCATAATGTCATTAAACAAAATTCAAAGTATAGTTTTTAATGCGGCATACAACACCAACGAGAACCTATTAATTTGCGCGCCGACTGGAGCCGGAAAGACAAACGTGGCAATGTTGACTGTGGTGCATCAATTGAAGCAAAATATTCAGGATGGACAATTACAGAAGGGTCAATTCAAAATAATTTATATCGCGCCTATGAAAGCTTTGGCGGCGGAAATGACAGCCAATTTTAACAAGAGACTCGGCCCTCTGGGCGTCTGCGTTCGCGAGTTAACCGGCGATATGCAACTGACGAAACAGGAGATCCAACAGACTCAAATGATAGTGACCACGCCGGAAAAATGGGACGTCGTTACGAGAAAAGGTACGGGCGATATCTCCCTCACCAGTATTGTGAGATTGTTAATCATTGACGAGGTGCATCTGCTGCATGGTGACCGGGGACCCGTGGTGGAAGCCCTGGTCGCGAGAACTCTGCGTCAGGTGGAATCATCGCAAAGCATGATCAGGATAGTCGGCCTGTCAGCCACGTTGCCGAATTATGTGGACGTTGCGCGATTTCTCCGCGTCAATCCTAGGAAAGGACTATTCTACTTTGATTATCGGTTCCGGCCGGTGCCTCTCAGTCAGACTTTTATTGGCGTGAAAGCTGTCAAACCGATGCAACAAATGAACGATATGGATCTCGTGTGTTACAACAATGTTATAGACATGGTACGTCAAGGTCATCAAGTCATGGTATTCGTGCACGCGCGAAACGCCACCGTGAAAACGGCGAATGTTCTAAAAGAACTAGCAATGAAGAACGACACGCTTAAATACTTTCTATCCGATGGACAAGCGAAGCACATGAACAAGGCCTTTGCCAAATCGCCTAACAAATGGCTCGGTGAATTGTTTAACAGCGGATTATCGATACATCACGCCGGCTTGTTGCGCTCGGATAGGAATTTGGTCGAGAAATACTTCGCCGACGGTCTGATTAAAGTGCTGGTATGCACCGCCACGTTGGCGTGGGGCGTAAATCTGCCTGCTCATGCAGTTATTATACGAGGAACCGAAATCTACGATTCGAAGCATGGTTCGTTCGTGGACCTGGGCATACTAGATGTCTTACAGATCTTTGGCCGCGCTGGGAGGCCGCAATTCGACACATCGGGTCATGCTGTCATTATCACGTCGTACAATAAGTTGTCTCACTATCTGTCGCTGTTGACGAATCAAATACCGATCGAGAGCAGCTTTATCACGTACCTGGCCGATAATTTAAACGCCGAGGTAGCGTTAGGGACCATATCGAATGTGCCAGAAGCCGTGGAATGGTTGAGCTATACTTATTTATTCGTACGAATGAAAATAAACTTTCAGACATATGGCATGGTTTATCAAACTCTCTTGGACGATCCCAATCTCGAAAAGAAACGAAAGGAGCTGGTGGATGTCGCCGCGAAGGCGTTGGACAAAGCACAGATGATCAGATACGATTTGCGCACCGGTGACCTCAGCGCGACCGACTTGGGGCGTATCGCGAGCCACTATTACCTCAAGTACGACACGATTGAGATATTTAACGAACTACAAAAAGATATCATGACCGAAGGAGATATTCTGGCAATGATCACGCGCGCTCAGGAATTCAACCAGCTCAAGGTACGGGAAGACGAGATGAAGGAGCTGGACGAGCTGATGGAACGATGCGAAATCGTACCACAAGGCGGCGTGGAGAATGTCCACGGCAAGGTCAATATATTACTGCAGACGTATCTGTCCAGAATTCGCGTGAGCACAGTGTCATTGATATCGGATCAAGCATACGTCACACAAAATACCGTACGAATAACCAGGGCACTATTCGAGATTATGCTCAGACGAAACAATCCGATAATGGCTGGACGACTGCTGGAGATGGCGAAGATGTTCGAGGCTCAACAATGGAATTTCTTGACGCCGTTGCGTCAATTTGACTGCCTGTCTATGGAGGTCATCGACAAGATCGAGCAGCGAAATTTCTTGCTCTATCAATTACAGGAAATGGACGTGAAGGAAGTTGGCAATATCTTGCGAGATCAACGGGCAGCGATACTAGTGAAAAAGTGCTGCGAAGAATTGCCCGCATTGGACATAGAATACAGTTTACAACCTATTACGCGCACCATTCTGAGGATACGGTTAACCCTGATTCCACAGTTTCGTTGGAACGACAAGATTCATGGAAAAAGTTCGCAGGCCTTCTGGATATGGATCGAGGACCCGGATAATAATTTCATTTATCATCACGAGTACTTTATACTGACGAAGAAGATGGTCTGCCAGCATCTCGACCAGGAACTCGTGATCACTATACCGTTGTCCGAGCCACTACCAACTCAGTATCTTGTAAAAGCCACGAGTGATCACTGGCTCAGTTGCGAGATCACAATTCCTTTGTCCTTTCATGATCTCATCTTGCCGGAGACTCATCCGCCGCACACAAATCTATTGAAATTGCAACCATTAGCGATAACTGCTTTGAAGGATTCGAAGTTCGAGAGTCTATACAACTTTACTCACTTCAATCCGATACAAACGCAGATCTTTCATTGTTTGTATCACACCGACAACAACGTTCTACTCGGTGCGCCGACAGGTTCGGGTAAAACAATTGCGGCAGAGATTGCCATGTTCCGTGTCTTCAAGCAATATCCCGATCAGAAAGTCATTTACATTGCGCCTTTGAAAGCTCTGGTTAGAGAACGCATCAATGATTGGAAGGTACGACTGGAGGAACGTCTAGGGAAGAAAGTGGTAGAGTTGACCGGAGATGTGTCGCCCGACATCAAAATCATAGCAGGTGCAAATGTGATTGTCACCACACCTGAGAAGTGGGACGGCATCAGTCGAAGCTGGCAGACGCGCAGCTACGTGAAGAAAGTGGCACTCATAGTGATCGACGAAATCCATCTGCTGGGCGAGGATCGCGGCCCAGTGCTCGAGGTGATCGTCTCTCGGACCAACTTTATATCGTCGCACACGCAGAAAAAGGTCCGAATCGTCGGACTCTCAACTGCGTTGGCCAACGCGATAGACCTGGCCAATTGGCTCGACATCAACGAAATGGGCCTCTACAATTTCCGGCCGTCCGTGAGACCCGTGCCGCTGGAGGTTCATATCAGCGGATTCCCTGGCAAACATTATTGTCCGCGAATGGCGACCATGAATAGACCAACTTTCCAGGCGATCAGGCAACACGCACCCACCAGTCCTTCTCTCGTATTTGTATCTTCTCGCAGACAGACGCGTTTGACCGCTCTGGATCTAATCGCTTATCTTGCAGCGGAGGATAATCCCAAGCAATGGTTGCACATGTTGGAGGAACAGATGAGCAACATTCTGGAGAACATAAAGGACTCGAATCTGAAGTTGACGCTCGCATTCGGAATCGGTCTTCATCATGCCGGTCTTCAAGACAGGGACAAGAGAACTGTGGAGGAGTTATTTGTTAATAATAAGATACAGATACTAATCACCACGGCAACTTTGGCATGGGGCGTTAATTTCCCCGCTCATCTGGTAGTGATAAAGGGCACAGAGTATTACGACGGCAAGCTGAAGCGTTACGTGGACATGCCAATAACGGATGTTCTACAAATGATGGGACGCGCTGGCAGACCGCAGTTCGATGACTCCGGAGTGGCGGTGGTTCTCGTGCATGATTTAAAAAAGAGTTTCTACAAGAAGTTTCTGTACGAACCATTCCCCGTGGAATCTAATCTAATGAAAGTATTGCCCGACCATATTAATGCTGAAATTGTCGCTGGGACTATCAAGAGTAAACAAGAATTTCTCGATTACTTAACGTGGACATACTATTTCCGAAGATTGATGAAGAATCCGAAATATTACGATCTGGATGTCCTAGAACCTGATTGTATCAATGAATATCTCTCAAAGTTGGTAGAGATGACGGTAAAGTCGCTAACGGATTCGCATTGCATTGATTACGACGAGGACGAACACGCTTTAGTCTCATTGCCAATGGGAAAGATAGCGTCGTTTTATTATTTATCATATAATACAATGCTGATGTTTACGCAATCGCTAAATGAAAACTTGACCTTGGATCAATATTTATATATACTTTGCAACTCGTACGAATATAACGAATTACCTGTGAGGCATAATGAGGAATTATTAAATGAGGAATTGGCGAAGCTGTGTCGTTACTCCGTGGATCAGTATACCTATGATTCTCCGCACACAAAAGCGTTTCTTATGTTGCAAGCACACTTCTCAAGGTTGCCATTACCGTGTACGGATTATAACACTGATTTGAAATCAGTGCTCGATCAAGCAATCAGAATAATACAGGCGATGATCGACACGGTCGCGGAACGTGGCTGGTTAACGAGCACTTTGAGGATAATACAACTATTTCAAATGATCATTCAGGCACGATGGATAGACGAGTCTGCAATCACGACGTTACCACATATAAGGAAGGAAGACTTGCAATTGTTTTCATCATTATCAATGGCTCTCCCCAAGTTGTGCTCTATCACGTATAATAATTATGACAGACTCGCAAAGGTTTTGCGCAGAGAATATTCGGAAGAACAAATACGCGAGGTAATAGAATTATAGTTGTAGAAAGATATCAATTTCCTCACTGTCTGTTATATATAAAAGACATTATTATTACTTTCATACTACAAAATCAATATCATGAGGTTTTTCTAGATACATCAAGTAATTAAAGATATGCCGATGATATCCGTTGATTTGATGCTGGAAAGTCCTTGGGATAACGACACTGAAAAACAAAAGATAATATTGAAGCAGAATAATGTCGATCCTGTTATTGTTCGACCGAATGAAGAATATACGTTAATCGTTGGACTAAAAAGGATAAATAATTCCAAAACTTTGAAAGCGCACTGTCCAATGTTTTTAAAGGGAAAGGACGAAAGTTGGTTTTTGGTATTAGGCGATATTCAGAACAAAGAATTGTGGGCTCTAAAGAGAGTATCTGGAATAAATAGTCAGCAAAGATATCACCAATTACAATTTACTGCACCTAATAATTTGGGTAAACTTGTCAATTTTTTTATATTTATAATTTCATATTTTTCTTCTCGAATTTTTTGTTAAATGAAAAATTGAAATTCTTTTTTCAGGAATAACGAAACTAACTTTCTACTTGATTTCTGATTGTTACATGGGATTGGATGAACAATACAATATTTATTTAAACGTAACATGCTAAAAATTTAATAATAATCGAACACTTAAGACTGAACAAAACACGGGTGATATTGTGTTCAATTATTACAAATCTTTTTATATTGATAATATAAGGACATAGAATGAAGAAAAAAATATAAAACTTTGTTAATATGTATATTGAAGTAGCGTGAAAAGGGTAAGCTGTAGGTATGTGCAAAATGTAATTAAGGCATATATTTAAGCAAGTTATGTATTTAGAAACACGTGTATATTTTTTCTTGCATAATTTTATTACACGTCTATGAAACAATATATAGGTATAGATTATATTCTACTTTTTTTCATACAAATATAAACCTTATTACCTCAGTATATAAAGATAGAAAAAGCAACATGTGCAAGATCAGTTGTACAATTTCATACAATCTTTTTTTCTTTTCTTTTTTTTTGCATTACGAACAAGTTACTTTACTGCAAAACGTAAATTATTGTATATCATTCATTTTATATTCAATCGAAATAGGATTCTGTACGAATCATTTACAATTTTGAAAAGTAATATATTGTTTGATATAGGAATTTGCGAATGTGTAAAAAAAAAAAAATAAACATGTTATGAATTTGAAGACTCACACGCGTATACATTTCAGTTATATATACTGACCTCATTTCAGACTTACACCATTGTTACAATAATACAATATAGATTATTCGATTTAATCTCCTATGCTTAGGTAACAATAGATTATAGAATAGGAAGGATATGAGATCATTCCATTGCTTTGTATAAAAGAAAAAAAGAGAACATAAATATATATTTTAAGTCCTAGCTCTTGTATTGATATATCGATATTACAATACAAATTGATACAAGTTGTTCATGCTAAGGACACAAAAGAGACTACAAAACATTCACGAGTTTATTCGCAATTTAACACAATTTAGGACTTCACAGTGAAATAAAATAATGCAAGCAACTCTTATTATCATATAAACTTGATTTTATCAAGAAAACTGAAAAATTAATCTTCATTTTTATAAATTATATAACTTTAAAAAGTAACATTACTTTAATATTCTTCAATATATACGTTATTTTTAATATATAAATATAATGGATACTAAGAATAATTTAAATTATAAAAATTAACATGAGAAACTAACAATTTTGATTTATTTTTAATTAGTCTTATTTATAAACAACACAACAATATTCTCTTTTGTGCCAATAGTTTGAAATTTACTCTTTCAAACACATGCGCATGAGAAACACATTTTACTACTATAACATTTACCATATATGTAGCTGTGTCAATAACCAAAGCAAAGAAGTATTTAAGCTCCTTCCTATATATTGAAATCTGGAAGTACTGAATATTTCTTGTAAGTAATAAACCGAAATGCATTTATACAAATGGTTTCGATAATGATACACTTTCCATCTGTTACATATAACATAACGCAAGAATCAACACTTGCCCCAACACCTGTTGTGTGTGTAATAGCCACATAATACAAATAATAATATTACAAATTACAGCAGAGTGTTAACATCAGTGTTCCCCTATCTTTCTTCTGCATTACAAAATCTTTCAACGTTCTGTGCCTCTAATTTCTTTTAATAATTTATAGAATCTTATTGTGTGTCAACCCACTTTAAGAAAATTGTTTATATTCAAACTGGTCAATGGACCACGCTCAAATTGTATATTTTTATCACTCGAGAACTAGGGAAGCACTAGCATAACTGACAGAACTGTCATTCATATTGTTACATTGACTACTTTGAGCATATTTCAAAAACTTCAAATTCATTCTTTGACCATTTGTATTTGCCTTGAGACTGTGAATGGCCTGTAAAGATAAAATATAATATTAAATATATTGTATTAATAATCATAATTTAATAAAATTAAACGTATTAGAATTTTTATATAGATATTTAATGTAAACCATTTTTATACCTGCAATAAAACACCAATCGGATGTCGGCCGCATATAGTGTTACCATATTTCTTAAGATATTCAGTGAACATTGCAGGATTCAATGTTTCTATAATGTCCATACCCTGATAAAAACATACAAATTTAATAAGCGCATATGGAATAAGAAACGTGTTGATATTCTTAAATTATAATAAAAAAGAGAGATTGTATTCTCTCTCCTTCAAAAAAATAAATTTAAAAATATATACCATTTTATCAAGGTTTTGAATAGATCTGTGTATAGGCCCACATGATCTATCATAGTAAGTATAGCGAAAACGTTGTCCCCAATGGCAGAAATCAGAAGAGATGACAAATAATGTTTGCGGATCAGCCATGTAGGGTGCTAACAGTCTCCCGTAAAGCGCTTCCCTCTCCGGGCTTAAGGATCCCACCAAAATTGGAATTATGGTAAACGAATCCTTAAATCTGTGCATATACAAGACAAATCCATATAAATAATGTGCTCATTTATATTTGTGAGAAATAGAAACATTTGACAACTATCACTTACTCTGCATTATTTCTCATGAATATAATTTTCTATATTCCGACTATATAATCGGGAATTAATTTATTTCTAAACGTACCCTTCCATAACTTTGGCGATGAACGGCAACTGCATCTCAATGCTATGTTCTTCTTCATCTGTGTTCAGATCCATGCATTCGAAATGACCAGTTTCTTCAAGTTCTCTTCTCACTGTACATATAAGTTAAACTTTATAAAGATTTTATTTGTTTAAGAAGCGCTCATATACATAACATAGGTAATATTTTTGTCACATGAGTTAAGCATATATCTTGCTTTAATAAGTAAACAGCATTGATGCAGAAAAAAAAATAAAATCTGTATTTTTGCACCTTGTTGATCAATATGTAGATCATATAACGGTGTTCGGTAAATGGAAGTCGAAGATAGGGCACAGCCTGGTAATCTCACATGATGAGAAGGCCCTAGAATAAATATCCTACGGCTGCATAACAGCACGTTGCACGTTTCATTTGACTGAGAAATTTGAAAAATTACAAACTAAACTATATATTATAAGGGCTACCGTACATTAATAAAATTTACATTAATGCAGCATAATCATATCTTTACTGGCCTACTGTAATTAATCTAACAAGAGACTTTGATATTTTGCATAAAACATCGTTATAAAAATATATATATATATATATATATATATATATATATATATATAATAAAGACTATATTATATTATAAGATCACACTTGAATTTTATCTTTTTCTCATATATTTATAAACATTAATAAATTGTTTGCAAATTAAAATAATTCAATTAATCAGTATAATATACTTACACAACTACAGGACTAATTTGCCGGTAAGCAAACCCAGCACATGCCCCGCAATAACTATACCCTGCATGCCTGCAAAATTAATTATGTGATTAGATAATCATATTTACGTATTTGTGCATCATATATCTCGACAAGTTTAAAAATATTTTGCAATGATTACTAACGGGGCAATGATTGCTCTCGCAGGTCCATGAGATAAATCGGCTGCACCCAACCAACCTTCTAGTTGTTTACTCAATTCTGAACCTATAGTAAAGTTATAATTTTAATATCACATAAATATAATAGAAATTTTTATGGTGCACATACCGGTAAAAAAATTTTTAAACAAAAATGTATATATTTTTATATGTATTGTGCATAAAACAAAAATAAAAAATACAATTTATTGATTTGTAATATATTGCATTTCTACAGATTTTCAGATCCAATTTTAACTTTTTTGGATGACAAGTACATTCTATTATTAGTAATCTATTTTTATTTTGTGCACGTTAAATTAATAAATTGCTTGAAATTCAAATACTAACATTTTCTGCGAATCCATCCATCGATACCTCTCCATCGAGCAAACAAAATTGCCGATATATACGAACAATAAGCGAAAAAAGTGAAGTAGATTTTTCACATTTCTTACCATTGTTCGAGTACCAACTACCAGCGTGAGAGGCTCTCCTAATTAATGCCATTTTTCGACCGAACGCGCTTGCCTTTTCCCTGGGAGCGTGTCTTTTCCTTGGAGTTTAACGTTTAATGGCACTTCATCTAATGTGAACGAAACCTCGGCGAGATCAGGCGTGATAAAAGTGACTTATATTTTAGCCGAGAGTGTGTAAAATGTTTATAAAACGCTATCACAAAACCTTGGCTATTGTCCTTCCATAGATTATTCAGTAAATACTCCAAGTTGACCCACCGATACGCGTCGACTCGCAAAAACAAAGAAGTGGAACACGGAGATAGATTCGTAATCTCTCTTCCGGATCGGGATCCGCGATGCGGATCCGCCTTAATTAAATGTCATCGCGTGAGACCTTTGGTGAGTTCGATCCGACCAATCAGAGCGAGGGAACTTTTTGTCCACTTCGTTCCGATTGGTCGCTCGGAACACGGGAGAAACGCGCAACAGTGACCGAGAAAATAACCCTAGACTCGCGGCGAGGAGGTTATTGCGCATCCTTAGTCAAGTTCGAGACTGTTGTGTTTTAGCCCAGGCGACGACGTACGCGAGCGAACCTTTCCACGACGTGCGGACGCACGATTGACGCGGAAATATCGTCCGTGGATTTATTATCTCCCAAACGTCAACCAGATATCGGGACTTCGCTGATCGATTCGACTCTCGCTCGAGCAACGACGTAGAAATTGTTAATATGGCAGACGGTTCGTGCCTCTAGTGTTGTTTAAGTTCGTGAAACTACGAGTGACAAAACAGTAGGTCCTGTTAACTGAAGGGCACTGTGATGTGTATGAAATCCTGATCGCCGCGTGCCCCAACGTCCACGTGCGTGTTCGCAGTTTGACGCGACCAAGTGACAGTTCGAGTTCGGCCGTTTCGTGTTCTCCGGAGTCCCGCGAAGACCCCCTCGCCGAGAGTCCAGAGAGGCCACCGACAGACACCACCAGCCACCAACCATCATCAGCATCATCATCATCAGCAGAAGCAGCAGCAGCCACTGCCAAGAACCTCGTGCAAGAGAGAGAGAGAATCGACGACGTTCTCGCGCTCGTGCGTGCGTGTGTGTATTTTTTTTCATTTTTTTCTCCCTCCTCAACATTCGTCCGCTCTTCGTTCGCGAGTACACGATGGGACTCGTCGCGTCGTGATACGCAGCTGGTGGCTATCTCGTCCCAGGTAGTGTCGCGGCGCGCGCCGCTCTCGCTGTTTTTTTCACGCTTTACGCACCACTTTTATAACCTTTCGTCCCTTTCTGCGCCTCGTCTACCCGTCCAGATAGTGTCAACAGAGTCGTTGATCGGCCCGTGTTTACTTCTTGGTACGCGCGGCTTTTATTCGCGGACGGATCTTTGGTCTCTCTTTCTCTCTTTTCGCGCTTTTTCAGAGAAATGCGCGGAAAAGCAGTACGCCAAGCGCACTATTATACGCTCCTTTTGCAAGACAGAATTGATGAATTAATGAGAGAGACCAAGCTTATACATGTGTCTAATGTAGAATTTATGAATCCTATGATCTTAATCTAACGTGTGTCAGGAAGAACACGAGGGCAGAATTAGATCTGGCATCGTTAAATGTATGTCAAGATTTTAGATTAAAACTTTAGAATCTAGAATTGGATTAGAATGTTTTATTTTAAAATCCTTAATATAATACTTGTTAAAATATAAAGGCTAAGTTATCGCAGTTGTAGTGAATTTAAAAAAATCTGTGTTTACAGTAGAATTGACATATATTTAATAAGCAGAATGAATTTTAAGAATTGAAATTCTCCACCATAGATGTATGTTTAATTTTAGTTAAGTGTAAGAAGTATATATATAAAATACTTTTCTATATTAAATCAATGGTCTCATATAAATGTATTGTTTGTTATTACAGGTGTGTACTTTCTTATCTCGGTGCTGCATTTTAATGTAACTGTCACTGAGGGGGCTGTGACAAGAGGAGGAGGTAAAACAATAATGTACATTTTAATAATGGCTCAATTATCGATAGAGAATTAATTGCTTTCTTGTTTCAGGTCACAAATTTTTGTCATGGATCATCGGCGATCCCATATAATCGAAGAGCTTTTGAGTGTTGTATTAGAAAAAGAAAAGTGGATGTGCTAACCAAGTTTTGGGGAAACAAGAGTGCTCGGTGGTGTGCCTGTTTTCGGGCAAAAACATTTTCATTAACAGTCGTGCCATCGGGCTATGGCCAATCTGAACTTTGAACAACCGCCACGCAGTATTGCGAACGCAAGTCTCACTTCACGGGCAGCCGGAGGCGGGGGGGTTTAAACACGTCGACCCTCGCGGGTCATGTCACGCCTACCTCGGGCATGTTCTCAGGGTCATCTGCAAGCACCTCGAGTACAGCCAATTCAGCGATAGTTGCCACTAACGTTTATCCCGGAGCATCGGGCTCTGGTGGTGGACAGAATAGCCATCAGCAACAGCAGCAACTCTCTCCTATGGGCAGTAGAGGACTGTTTGGGCAGAGAGCTTTTACAGATAGACGTACGATGCCTGCTCTTGGGTTAGTTCTCTTCTGTATAATAAAATCTTATAATCTTTGTTATGATCTGCATTGTTTTTTTTTTATATTGCACTATGAATGAATAAATTAGAGCATAATCGAGCATAATAATGTAAAGCCCATAGTTTTTCTCTTTTGATTTTTTCTTTTTTTCTCTCTCTGCAATCATCTCCATCTATATTGCAGAGCTTCAAATCCAATGGGTAGTATGGGCAGTTTCGGAATTCCTCCAAGTCGTAATTACGGATCTCAAGGTGCGGTTAACAATTTCCACTCTGTTTTTGGGAGTGGAGGCGGCGGAGATACAAATACTCCCCCTCTGTTAGATCTCTCGGAGTTTCCCTCCCTAACGAATAGAGGTCAAGGTGATTCTATGCCGCAACCTAGTCCCATGCCAGGGAAACAGCCTTATGGTTAGTGTCTAGAAGAATGCAAAAATGCGGGAGCCAATTATATTTTTATATACACTGTAAAACATTCATATTTATAATGCACTTACTGATTTGAGTATTAGTCTTCTTTTTTTTTCTTTTTTTTTTTTTAGAAAGACTTACATGCTTTTATTAAAATTTATTATATTTTTAATTTTCTCATGTTTGGAATAATATAACCGCACTCGGTATTGAGATATTGAAATTTCAAAATAGTATAACGCGACTTACATATGTATATGCGAAATTTACATACGCTTAACATAAATATAAGTAATTTATGTCGCTAATGTAATTGTCAATACAATTCATGTAATTGTGTGTTACAGTTGGGATGGTCAAACAACCGACATCCGAATCGAGCGAGTTTACTATGAGCTCGGAAGATTTTCCCGCATTACCAGGTACACAGAATCGAGAAGGTCCATCACCCGGTGGCAGTGTGTCTGGTGATAAAAATATACCTGTAGGGCTCGGTCCAGAAATTGGACAAGACGTATTGCAGGCAAACAGAGCCCCTGGATCTGAAAAATCTCAGTCTTCTAAAAGAGGCATCCAAACATCGCCCGATGGTAACTAAAGATTCGTTGGATCAGTATGCATTATCTTAAACGAAATAATAATTGTATTAATTCGTTTAATCATACAATTGTCGCATGCAGGTAAGGTGACAAACATACCCGCAAGTATGGTGAAGGATCAATTCGGTATGGTTGGGCTTTTGACGTTTATTAGAGCGGCGGAGACGGATCCAAACCTAGTGTCACTGGCATTAGGTCAAGATCTTACGGCATTAGGATTGAATTTGAATTCGCCGGAAAATCTTTATCAGAATTTTGGTGGTCCCTGGGCGGAAACACCTTGTAGACCACAAGATATAGATTTTCACGTACCACCGGAATATCTTATAAATGCCGCGATCAGGTACAGATTGTTTTACTATGCATTATTGTTATATCCAGGATTATAATAAAAACAATACTTAAGTATCTTTTAATTGCATATTATCATATAAATTGTTGAGAGATGCTTTCTTTTTTTTATCTAAAAGAATATATATATTAATCTAAAAGATAGATGGAAATTATATTATTTATACTGAAATATGTGAATACAATTTGAAACGAAAACAATATAGATATAATATTGACTTTGCATCGAGACAAATAATTATTTTATCACTAAAATTAACTTTCCATGTTTCAGGGATAAGCTAGCACCAGTTAAACTAAATCGATATAAAGATGATCTACTGTTTTATATGTTTTATACAAATGTTGGGGATGTATTGCAATTAGCTGCGGCGGCAGAATTGTAAGCACAATTGATTCTCATACTCGAAAATATTTGCAAACTCGTTATTCATCTAATTCTATGTATGTGACACAAAGGTACAGCAGAGAATGGCGATATCATATGGAAGAAAAAGTTTGGATAACGCAGGCACCAGGTTTGGGAATTGTAGAAAAGACGTCGACATATGAACGTGGTACTTATTATTATTTTGATGCGCAAAACTGGAGAAAGGTAGCTAAGGAATTCCATTTGGATTACACAAAACTAGAAAGTAGACCTCATCTTCCCGCGAACTTTCACCAAACTCAGCCTTGACTACAGGTATGTACTTTAATTTTATTTATTTATTTATATATATGTATATACATATATAAATTTATAGAAAATGTATATAATTAAATAGAAATATTAAGACAAGAAATTATATGTGTAAATTTAATGATTTCAATTTATATCAAATTTAATGGCACTTTTCAATTGTCTCCCCATGCTCTTCTTTGATTCTCTTTGATTTTCTGTAAAAAACAGACAATTTTTTGAATTATAATCGAAATTTTATGTTATTTGTTCTAGACTTGTCTGCAGACCATTGTGCTGTCTTTAAGCTGGAAACGAATCAGCTATTGTATAAATGAACAAATTTAATAATCTTTAATAAAAACATAAAATTTGAAGAGTAATAAAGAGAATTTTTTATCAATAACTTAGGCACCTTCACCTTAGTTCAGTTATATGATTCATTATCAGTATCATTATCTTACCATATTCTTTTGCCCTTAGATATGTATGTAGATATTTGTTATATTTTTTTCATGATTCTTTTATATTATATCACAGTTTATATTGTAAGTAACTCTTAATTTTTCTGCTTGTGTGGCAATATTAATTATATTTTCAGAAGCATTTATGACAAAATGTTCAATGTAATTTCGACTGTTTTTCTCACATTCTTCTAAGAAATATCTAGGAATATAGTAATAATGAGATTATATATTTTTAGTTTTTTTTTAGAAACTAAAGTCAATGAAATGTATACCTATAGTTAACCATTATACCACAACTATTTGCTACTCCACGTGGTGAAGGATCAGCCATCCAATTTATTCGCCACATCATAGCTCCATTACGTAAATGAAAATTAGCTATAAGATATAATATATACATTTATATATAAATTATTAAGAAAAAAATTATATTTTTTGCATACAATACTAATTATGTACTATTCACTTAATTTTATTAATTCTTTTTATCTGAGAAATATAATTTGTGCACTTATTGATTATAAAAGTAGAAAAAAAATTACATAGAACATACCTACACTATTTAAAGCATAACCACGTCGTTTTTCCTTATATAAATACCATGTGCATGCTCGAAGTAGTGGTTCTTTTAAAGATTCTGACAATTGCTTATCATTTGTCCACAATGAAGTGCTCAAGACTTTTTTCAAGGATGATACCAAGTCTTTTGTTTTTAAGATATCTTTTATAATTTCATGTTCTTGCACGGTAAATATGAATGCTACATCTGTAAGATAAATTATGTAATCATTATTTAATTTTTAAAAATTGTTATTTACCTTTTTTTATTTTGTCAAATAACCAAGTTTTGAAGTTTGGTATTGGTGATAAACTCGACAATTGCTGCACAGCTGGAAATTCAGTTATAATTTCACTGGCTACCTCTTTTATTAGATAATTACCAAGCTCAATGCCCTGTACAAAATCATTTATTTATAGTTGTATATAATTTTTTATTTGTACAATATAAAGTATATATACATATAACTTTTGTTAATTTGTGATATTCTGAATTTAAATTTGACATTCTAATTAAAACTTTTGTCACAAACCAACTACCTGCAATCCTTTTTGTGTAGATGTTATAGAATAAAATATTGCTGCTTTTATTTTTGATTTATCTTCTTCTAAAAATGTTATATGTCTTTTTGCATTTCCTAGAATTCTAGATTCAGCTTCCTGTATACCCTTCACAGAATCTATAAATCAAAGATATGAAGATTACTGCTAAAGATTAGTTGTGTTAGTCTCTTCTCTTTCTATAAAACAATTTCAATTAAAAATTGAAAAACAGATTTTTTACATATATTTAATCTTTTTCAGATATATTTGACCTGGTATAATATCACATAATGCTGTATGCAATACAACAAGAGGCTCTCTTGGCATGGATGGATGTGTAAATATGTAACATCTTCTATATGGTCCAACTCTGCGTTTTAAGTCCAACCAATTTCTCATAGGATGTATGGCTTCATAATCAGAAACCTTCAAATTTACAAATAAAGAATCGGATGTTAAAATCGAAAATTTACATTAATGAAGTAATAACAGAAGAGATTAAAGGTATTGTTACCTTTTGCAATATATCACATGCACTTTCCCAAGTTATTCTCTCCATGTGTAAAAAACCTATTGAAAACCAGAGCAAAAGCAAATCTCGCAAGGTATGATTTAGCTGTTGTATTATTATACTTTCATCCATATCTTTTGCCTCTGACATTAGTTCCTAACAAAAGTATCTCAATGGAAATAAAAATCTAACTTGAGCAAAGATTTATATTTTATAAGAATTAGATTGTAACATTGTCACTTGCAAGTAAATTATTTGTAATATAAACTTTTTTGATATTTATTTACCAAGACATCAGTCCTTAAATCGACTAAAAATTTCACACCATGCTGTAATCTTCCTATGATAAAAAATAACCAATAATAAGCAGGTGTAAGAATGTTCTTCAGAGTTCTCTCATGGACAATCATTTGCCTCTCATTTTCAGGCTAAAACAAAATAAAAATATTAGCCATCTTACAACTTTAATTATAATTATCTTACAACTTGTACTTATAATTATATTTTCCAAGAAAGAATGTTATATTTATGTGATAAGTATATATAAATTTTCACAAAGTATTAGTATAAATATAAAAGAAATACTTGAAATAAGATTTAATGTATCTTGAATGATATTTGATTAAGGTATCGCATAAAACTCCTATAATAATATACCTCAGTAGAGACCAACTTCTTTGCCACTTGGCATATATCGTTATGTTGCACAGCATATTGTAAAGCCAAAGTGCGTAAAATCTGTTGACGATTTTCTCTGTTGCTTTCAGTATATCTAATACATAGTGCACGTACTTTGTTCTGTAAATATTTTTCAATGGAAAAATTTCCAATAGGAAAAATTGTGTTTTATTAGAATTAGAATTAAGAAATATATAGCAACCTCTATAATCCAGTTACTAATCTTGGTGTGTTTGAGTTTAAAAATTTCTTGCAGTTCTTCGTCCACAGACAAACCACTGTTTGTTTCAACATGTAACGAAGTGGATGAACTTCTATATTCACCTTTAACATTCCACTTCAATGTATTGACAAAATTTATTTTTTTCATAAATCTATAATGTCGGAAAATCGGTAAAAAGTCGGAGAAAAATGTTCTTGGCATCGTAATCTTCTTTTTTTATATGAAATTTATTTTGATTGTAGTTTTTTAAGATAACGTCAACGTCTTTTTGTAAGAAATACGAACTTTGTAAGGAAATCTTTAAAGTTTTAATTAAATTATTCTATCTATTTAATTATTCTTTTATCTTAATGCAACAAAAGGCAATCATAATTTAAAATTAGATTCTAATGAAAAATAAATTAAACTTTCAAAACAGGTACTTTATTTTCAACAGGTGTCACGTGTCACATAGCTGTTTCAATGATCAGCTGTTGTCGATTTTTGCGTTGTGTAGATAAAAACGTAATCATTTTTATCTGCCCTAGATAAGGTCATTGTTTAGGAAAAATTTTATTTTATCGATACAGTTGCAATATTCAGTTGGCACTAATCGTTATTGTTGGCAGACGTGACACGTGCTCCATTTGACACTATCTTCACTTCGAAGTGCTTGATGGACTCTGATCGGGGTAGCTCTTATGTATTCTTATGTATTCGGAAATGTTTTCGATTGGAATAAATTCGTTTTTTGTTATTTTTCTATTCTGAATATTCAGATAAATTCCTAATGTAAATGTTCATAATAGGAATATGACGAAAAATGAAATTATTCCGATCGGAAACGTTTTCGAATGGATGCATAATAGTTGCCCGGCACGAAGAATTTTGCGCTTTGAAGCGAAGGTAGTGTCAAGTGGAATGTATTTATCCGAATCAGGCAAAATGGCGATTCAGTGAAGAGCCGTCAAGGATATAGTTGCCGATGTTCTCGATGAGCATCAAAGTAATTTGAAAACAATCGCGAATGTGACGCGTTCTAACAACGTACAGAATGCAAACAGCGCGTTTTTATTGCCATCTTGTTTGGAGTGTTTGGTGTTTATTACAAGGTAATAATACATGATAAATTAAAGAAGAATCACTTAAAAATATTTTTTGTTCTGTCACCGTTACAAGGATATTTTTCTCATTCTTTTTATATTTATTGCGTCGTTTTTTTTTCTTATCGTTGCATATAATTGTGATAAGTTACATGGTTTACTTCATAGTTTTTAATCACTTTGCAGTTACTGCCAAGGACTATGTCCAACTGTCACACGATGGACCAGCTATTTTGGGTGCTACAATCAATTTGAGAGCAGATTTGTACACAGAAGAAAACACGCGACCATATGGGACCTACAAATATAAATGGACCGACAATTCAATGGATAGACATGAATATGAGGTTGGAAAGTTATAATGTATATTTTTCATATTTGATAATCAAGTTGCTTGAAACTATAAATTGTCAGGTTTTAGTCTTTGACAGAAGATTGTTAAAATTAGGAGGCAATATTAACATCTAATTACGTTTAAATTTGTGGATATTCTCTTTAGTTATTGATTTAATTACTATATTTGATATATATTTTAATATTAGTATTTTCCATTATTTTGTTTAGAAGAGAGTTATTAATTTTATCAATTTTATATATTATTACTTTTTAGATCGTTGGTACATCAAATACAACAACATTTTGGAATGTAACTTATTCACGGGAAAATAACACACCTGGAACCTACATGGTAGACATAGAAGTCAGCTATCATACTTGGGGAATTATATGGACATTTGATACAAGTGCTCGTATTGAGTTTGAGATTACTGGTAAAACATTTGTTAAAACATTTCTTTCACTACTTTTCTTTCTTATAAACATATATTATTATTTATACTCATTAACTGTTTTAATTTTAGAATATCTTAATGGTAATATAACTGCAAAACAAACTAATAAAACTATAGTAGGAGATTATATCTCTTCAGTAAATGAAACAAACCTAACAATAGATATACGCAAAGGAGATTATGATTTTATAATGCAGAAGGCAACAGCAATATCGACATATTGGTTTATTGATTGCAAGTATTATGGTCATACGGATAATTTCGCTTTTACATATAATTTTACGAGTCCTGGCATGACACATGAAATAGGAGCTTTGGTGATTGCTTCGTACGATCCACCTACAACCACGACCATTTTGCCATCTACAACTACGACCGCGCCTATTAATGTGACGACAGTTTCACCAAATGCTACTACAGCAAATCCAAATGGAACTCGTATCACAGATGTAACAACAATTATGTTGTCAACAACTGTTGCAAGTGTAGATCCATCGATAAAGCCTGTGACGACTGCATCTCCGATCACTACTATAAGCACGATAGATGCTGCCAATATGTCTTTGCCTTACATTTGTTCAAACACTTCTCTCATTCCGCCGGATCCTAACAAAACATATGGATACTTTTACAGGAAGATTCACGTTCGTGGTTAGTAGAATATGCATCTAATATTTTACAAACTTTGTACATAGATAAATTTATCTACAAATTAATATTAATTTATTTTATAACTTCTTTTGAATAAATGTTTTTAGCTCCTGTGTCAAACATCTCAGTGGAAGGTACAAACTGGATCCAACCATGGGATATGCTGTCTCTGAATGTAACCTGTAAGGGATCGGGGCCCTTCTGCAAGTGTCTTCAATTCCACCATGGAAAATACAATATAACGGGAAACGAAACATGCGATGATGTAGAACAGTTGCACTCATGCAATTTCTCTATTCTCCATTATTTCCTCGAGCCTAGTGTCTACACAATATTGATCATATTGAACAACGAAGTCAGTAAACAAGTTTATCCATTAACAATAAACATTTACAAAGGTAAGTTTTAATTTAACAAAATATCTAAATAAGTATCATCGTCCCTTCAATTTGTTGACACAATTGCATAATAATATAATAACGTTTTTACAGTTACAACAAAACCGCAATTGTCGGTAATCGTAGTACCAGTCTCTTGTTCGCTCGTTGCCGTGGTACTAATAGTATTCGGTGTGGCGTATTATATTCAAAGCAGAGCAAGATTTACAGTAGAAGTCGCAGACTTCGACTTTGGGCAAAGTAACCCAGAAATGGAATACAAAACATTTACAGAACGTTTGCGCGACTCATTTAATAACACTGTAAGACCTGGAAACGAACGGCTAAATGTACGCTATTATGGCAGCATGAATCACTGAAAAGGCTATGCGAACTATGTGACTTCTCTATTGCCGTCTAATTTTTCTATTATTTTCGAATGCAGTATGATCTATTTCTTTCCGTTTTGTTTTTTCCATTATTTTCTGTCAATTAGTCTTTATTCGCTTATTCCAAATTTAATATGATCAAATTGAAATAGCGATTAAAACAGCTATAAAAATTTTTTGCATTTTTTGTCGAGAAAAATTAATGCTAGTCGCTGCCACTAACATATAAATTGTTTATTACAGGGATATAAACCACTTAGCAATCCGCAAACACTTCAGTGATGTATGCATAAACAAGAAGCAACTTTCCAGAAAACGACGTTAACTTATAACAAATGTTTTTGCGAAGAGTGAGCGGAGAGATTCATCAGGTAAAATATTCAACAAATTCAACGATATTGGTGAAAAGGTTCGTCGGATTTTGTTATTGCGATAATAGACATTAAGCGATTTCGCTTAAAGATCGTGCGATACTAGTTAACAAGAAAGAGGGAAATATAAGATTGCGCGATTGTTTCCAACAATTTGCAAATGATCAAATCGAAAATGTATATAGAGATAAGGAAGGATGTATATATAGGCTGTGAATATAGTATGCAACAATGTATTAGAACCGCTCTTAATACGATAAATGAAAAATTTGATATTTTTTTAAGGTTGCAAATATGAGAATGATCAATTTATGGTCCTTTTTATGATTTATATTGATTTACTAATGATCGTACATGTTTCACATTATATGGAATATTATAGTAATGAGTAAATAATTCTATACTTTATTTATATATGTACACATGTGTATAGAAAAATTACTAATATATGAAAAGGCTTTATTGAGAGATAGAATTGAGTCACACTCGTATTAAGAAATCTTTTTGTGTACGTGTCATTTTATACTTATTGTTAGTATAATTTGTTATTAAGTAGATTTTTTAAAAGATTTTGGTCTAAATAGAATTATTTTAGATTAAATTCAAAGAATAAAGTAGACTTTAGATAAAATTTAAAAGATGAGATAACAAATCTATGCAAAATATTAAGCTAGATGAATTATTTAATTCCAGAAACATAATTATCACGTGATATTGTGTGACGTAAGAGTATTTATCTGTATCTTTAATTAAAAAATGAAGGGTTAACACGGGAATGTGATTTCTCATATTATTGTCATTCGATCGATCGTTATACTATCGATACAATAGATCTGTCTTGTCGCAATGTGTAACACTTATTAAAATATTATTGTAATATAATATTGTAATATTTTTCATTAAAAATAGTTTTAACTATGAGATATAAAATATATATAATATATATAATTTACTAGAATTTTAATTCAGCATAATTAATATAATAAGTTGAAAATATGAAATTATATAGAAATTATAGATATATATAGGTAGATTATAGATATTATATATTTTTTAATATAAATTTATGAATGTGTGTGTGTGTGGTGTGACATGTAAAAATTTTCATAAAATGTTATATAATTTTTTTTTGTTTACAAATGTACAGTTCATTATTGTGAGAAAAAGCATAAATGTGCAAATCTGGTTGCATCAAGCAGCTGCAATAAACGAAATGGATAATTTATTTTTCAACATTGGCAGCCCTGACTGCAGAACTTCATGTTTTCATCGTGCGAGGTCTTCATGGTCGATCCGACTGACGAGAGTGTTGAATAACGTCAAGAATCCGTGCTTTTATACAGGATGCGAGCCGGGTAAATAAAAGAACGAGGTACACAGTACAAAACTATATGTCATGCAGCTTTTTTCTAGTGCGATGAGTAACGCACAATTGCGCAATATTTTCTCACGATAGTGGCCCGTGTCTCGTCGTTCTATCGTCACGAAACATCGTCACTTCGTCGCAACCGTCAACCGTCAGGCATCAGCTGGCACTATGGCATGGCTCGGCACAATCGCGAATAATGTACTGCGAAAATTCTCGGATGTGCCGCCGAACATCGTCCAGGAAGTTCGACCGGAACAGTATACTAATCGACGTATACATTCCCGCGAGGATGGCATCGTTCTCTACGGACCTGGGGACAATAAAAATCAAGATAAATACGAGATTGTGTTACACAGACCCTGCACTGAAACCCTGCATCAGGCGTACAGGTATATTTCATCACCGTTGTTATTTCGTTGACAAAATATATGCAGAATGATTTACATTTTAATTTATAAATCTCTATTTTGGGTTTGGGACTTGTGTTGAATTGAAAAATGTCCTTTTAGAAGACAGGAGGACATTAAAAAATGTGGGGAAAAATTTGCTAAATAAAGTCAAGAAAATTGAAGGTCAAATGCATTTTTTAGATTGCAATATATGTAACTACCTTTTGTGATAAAATTTAATAGTTTCCAAGATGTATAATTTTTAATTCATATTCAGGTAATATTACTTGTTCTGTTATGTGTTGAGCTTGTTAGCAAAAATAAACTCGAGAAGAAACAAATAAAAAACACAAAAAGAAGCAACAAATAAAACACGCAGATTGCTTAACTAGATTATTTAAATTTTATTGCGTGAATGCTATTTTATAGGCTATTGTAGTCTTTAATGCTACAGTGAAAGGTAAATATACATGTCATTGGTCAATTTCTTATTCTTACGTCAAATGTTATTAATAACAATTAATGAGATGGGTATTTGATTAGAAAAATAATAAATATATAAAAATTAGTCATTTTATTCAGAAAGATGCATTTAACCTTTAAATTTCTTTGATGGCTTCACTCAACAAACTTTCACAAATTCCATCTTTTTCCTCAAAATTCTTAATTCTTTAGAAAAATATTTTTCAAATCGACATAATTTGAAATATAAATATATATAAATTGAAGTAGATCATCCTGTATAATTTGATTATGAAAGAAAATAATAGTTATATGATCATATAAATAGTTTGTATAATTTATATATAATTATAATAATATTATAATTAATAATATATGACATTTGTGTATAAATTTGTCTATTGATAGCAGTATCTCCGCATTTTTCAACTTATATGATTAGCTTTCTATAACATTATATTTTTATTAATTTTTTTGTGAGTATTGAATATTTTTCAACATTGTTTTAAATGATTTTGTTTTCAGTTTGTTCCGATCGGAAACTCTGGAAGGTGGGGAAACACGGTTCTTAATATACAAAGACAAAGTTCCCGTACTCGTACAAATAGTACGCGAGGTATGTTTTTTAAATGTTTTTTTAAATTTTAAATACGTTTATGTTTATCTTTAAAAATGAATGTTTAAGTACATCTTAAATAGAAACAAGTTTTATTTTAGGTATACCTCTGCTGTATCTTTTACATATAAATTAGAATATATTTGATGATTAAATATTGATTTATATCATCTTTTTCAGATGTGCAATGTTGGGAAAATTCAAAAGCTTTGTGATACTTTGGTAGAACATCCGACTTGGACTCTGGCACATCTAGCGGCCTATTTCGCGCTTCACGATGCTTTCATGCATGCCGTTGTTAACAGTCAACTCAACAGCGGTGATTTGGAGACCGGAATTTCACCTTTACAAGTCGCCATACAGACCAACAACTTACGCACCGTCGAAATGCTAATAGCGGCGAAAAGTTCGCTGGAGCATCTGGATCATAACGCGAATACGGTCTATCATTACGCTGCTACGTCCACTAAGGAGATCATTCTCGCTCTGGGTTCGGGTCTTCCAAACAGTCTAAACAGCCGTAACAGCAACGGTCATACTCCCATCCATGTGGCGTGTCAAAATGATAAGCCCGAGTGTGTCAAAGCACTCTTGCTAATCGGCGCCGATGTAAACATACCTGCTACCGAAGGCCAGCCCTCCAGTCCCGGCTACGTCGGCGATTTTCTCCACGACAAGCCGAACGTGCTTCACGTGGAAGACATGAAGTTTGGCGGCACTCCATTACATTGGTCGCGCAGCCGAGAGGTGATCACGGCGTTGATCGACACCAACTGCGACATCGATGCGCTCAACTTTGACGGGCGCACCGCATTACACGTGATGGTGATGCGCAAAAGGCTGCCCTGCGTGGTTGCCTTGTTAGGTCATATGGCGTCCATTAACATTGTCGACAATGATGGTAACACACCTCTACATCTCGCAGTCGAGGCGGAGACTCCGGCTATCGTGCAGACGCTCATTGGCTTTGGCGCCGATATCGACGCGCGGAATTGGAAATCGGAAACACCCAGACACAAGGCAAACATCGATACCACTGAGGGTAACAAGATAATCTATTTGCTGCATGCGGTAGGCGCGGAAAGATGTCCGGCAGAGATGACAAACTGCCATCTTGGTTGTAAATACGGCGAAAACTATACTGGCATCGCGCCATCGGAACCGCCGCATTATGTGCCGCGTACAATTCTCGATCAGATGCTTCACGTATCGAGCATGGAGAAGATGGCCGAGCATGGACGTAATAAGCGAATCAGGGGCGGCAGACTGCTCTGTCTTGACGGCGGTGGTATTCGTGGACTGGTGCTCGTGCAGACGTTGCTGGAGATTGAATCGGTGCTGCAGAAACCGGTGGTGCACTGCTTCGACTGGATCGCTGGAACTTCCACTGGCGGCATCCTAGCGCTCGGTCTTGCTGCGGGCAAGTCCTTACGGGAATGCCAGGCGCTCTACTTCCGCATCAAGGAAGATGCCTTCGTAGGCTCGCGACCTTATAGCAGCGAGGGTCTCGAGAGAGTGCTAAAGGAATGCCTCGGTTCGAATACAGTCATGGCGAACATTGAGAAACCAAAGATAATGATCACGGGCGTGCTCGCCGACCGGAAGCCCGTGGATCTTCATTTGTTCCGTAACTACGTGTCGCCCAGTGCCCTGTTGAAAGTACCGGAGAATAAGATGTTCAAGTCGACGTTATTACCGCAGGACCAACTCCTTTGGAAGGCAGCAAGAGCGACCGGTGCGGCGCCGTCGTACTTTCGAGCGTTCGGCCGGTTCCTGGACGGTGGTCTGATTGCTAATAATCCCACCCTAGACGCCATGACGGAGATTCACGAGTACAATCTGGCGCTGAAAGCCACCGATCGTGAAAAGGAGGCAATACCGCTGTCGCTGGTGGTTTCTATCGGCACAGGAATCGTGCCGACCACTGCTACGCTGAACGAGATCGACGTTTATCGACCTGATAGTCTCTGGGATACCGCCAAGCTCGCATTCGGTATCTCGGCGCTGGGTACGCTACTGGTGGATCAAGCAACAGCCAGTGACGGCCGGGTAGTAGATCGCGCCCGCACCTGGTGCTCTATGATCGGAGTACCGTACTACAGATTCAATCCGCAATTGACAGCGGACGTCGCTATGGACGAGAAGAGCGACGAGGTTCTGGCAAGCATGATTTGGACCGCGAAGGCGTTCATGCATGCGAATCGAGATCAAGTGAAAGAACTGGCAGCTATCATCGATCGCGATACTAATTTGGATAGTGACTGAGAAGTGCAGCGTTGTCTTATCGTGGAAAAGTACCTGGTTGTAGAAGTATGTTACATATATTATTATATCTTGACGATTTACCGCTGGTTCGGTTGATAATTATGTAATTATGTAATTAGTCTAGCAAATGTCTCATCACGTAGGTAGCAAGTGTATTAGAACCAATATTTTACTATCGTCGATTTCTCGACGAGTGTAATATATATTACATTGGTTTCTTTTCACTTATGTAGGCAATGCAATTTGCGAGACGTTTGTATATAAACGTTCGCGTTTTTTTCTGTCTTTCAATGTCGATTGTTGATAGTCTAGTTAAATTAAATTTTTTTCTCAGCAATTAGGAATCTCATAAAACGAGATATACAATTTAATATACATATCATTTTTTATGTAACTGATGAGTTCAATTGTAAATTCCGTGTTTACATCTTTTTTTTTTTTTTTTTGTATAATTGCAGATAGTCTCGAAGAATATAAATGTCACATGTTGAATCACAAATTAAGAAGATAATAGATCTAATTTATTTGCATTGGCACAGAGTTTACAAAGAAAAATAAATAAAAAAAGAGATTACAAAGCAATCGGATATATATATATATATATATATATATATCTTATTTTATAGAATAAGTTTATCAATTTCGTCATTAAGTACAAGTCATTAAGTACACACTCGCTATTGTTTAAATACTTTACAAAATTTTGATTACGCACACAATATTCGATTGATTTAAATCTCTAGAGATCGCTAATGAACGATCGTTTACGTTCAAAGTTTATTAAGTGGTAGGACAATATTCACATGTATTATATATATATATATATATATATATATATATATATATATATATATATATATATATCAAGACTCAAATGAGACATAAATTGATGCGATCTTGCCTTCATTATATTCGCAAAAACACTGTCCCAATTGATCTCTATGTATGTCCGTAAATTATATTAGTAACTCCCTGTTCGGCTGATAATCAATAATTATTTATTTATTTATTAATTAATTAATATATGTCACGTGCGAAGAGAAAGTCTAATTTTTCGACTGTAACTGTAAGAATAGGTATAGCTTTGTATAGACTCGCGAATCTATCGCGGCCCCATGTAATAAGGCGGTTGCGTCATGGATGCCGCCGATATGTACGGATAAAAGGAAGGATGCGATGAGACATTCTGTGGCTGATAGTCGTTTTCCTCTCCGTGGACCGTGTATCCCTCCGTAGGATAATATTGTCCGTGTACACAAGCGTAAGGCGCCTTAACGGCGGCGGCGGCGCCGCTCATCTCCGCGGGATACTTCAGACCATCCGGATATCCTTTGGTCTCCGGATATTTGGGCAGGTCGTAAGATTTGGCCTGAAGATCCGGATACTTGGTGGTAACTGCTGGCTCGTGATGATGGTGATACTTGGTGCCAGTCATCTCGTGATGATACTTGGCTACCTCGTGACACTTCACCTCGGCGTAGCTCCTCGACGTTGTCTCGTACGTCGACTTGCCGAGATGATCAGCAGCGGGATACTTGGCGACCGTCTCGTTGACCCAGACCGGTCTGGCCAGGTCGTAGGACTTGGCCGGGTCGTGATAGGTCGCCGGTCGCTCGTACGCTTTCACGCCAGCATCCGGATACAGACGGGTGTAGGTGCAGTCCGAGGAACCGACAGAGGAGTCCAGGGAGGTCCCCGACGACGCAAGTCCACCTCGGTGAACGATGATACCCATCTGATCGTCCGACTTCGGCTTCCTCCGACGCGGCTGATACTACGAAAGGTAAAGGTAACACGCTCGAAAATCATCCTTAAATTTTTTAATTTATCTTGAAATTTTTCATTCTTCACTGCAGTTATAATTAAGAAATAAAAATGTCTTTTTCGCACTTGAAACTTTTTCTCTCCGGTGAGTTATAAAAAATTCGATATGACTGCAGCGAAGGATCATCTGAGAAAAATAAATGAATGAGTGAAGATTGGACGAAAGATTTGCTCAGGAAAATTGTATTAATTACAAAAATTAAGCGCTGTTGTCTAATGATATTGCAAGAGCGAAGTTCAATCAAGTATAATTGCTCTTAATAAAATTGATGAAAACTTTTTTTTACAATCTATATCTCGTCTAACACGCCGCAGCTCGACTTTTTCACTCGCATAGAGCGGCGACACGGATGGCTTCATCGGGGAATCCATTTCCTCTTCTCGTAAATCATCGTCGGCACGGCGCGGTGGGATTTAAATCGCGGCTCCGACGATCGGGCCTCGATTAACCACTCGTGCGCTTTGAAATGAATTGCATATTGCACGCGCTAATTCGTTTTACTGTCCCGCGCGAATCAAGATGGATCTTGCGTAATTTCGTAACACGCGTGAAACATTTCTCATCATTTTTAATGGCAATATATACGTACATGTATATGTATAATGTACATATTATTCGTATCACGAAAAAAAAATTAGCAATCATAGCTAAATTTTAGCTGTTCCTATATATATTACACATGAAATTTAATTATGTGTCTAAATTTTAACTATGATAGCTAATATTTTTTAGCTATGAAATTTCTATATAAACTATAGCTAAAGAATATTAGTTACTATAACTGGACAGGTGATAACTAATTTTCAGTAATAGAGGCAGCTAAAATTTAGCTATTGTGGCTAATTTTTTTCTGTGAACACGTGCTCATTTCCCATTATCTCAATGCTAATTAATTAATTAAATTACCTTGTAATGCGGATGCTGCTTTTTATGCGCGTTCCGCAGTCTCTCGGCTTCCTCGATAAATGGTTGCTTTTCGCCATCGCTCAAAATCCTGCGATAAAGAATCGTAATTTTCGATTAACATCGCTGATGGTTAAAAAATATTTAAAAGTAATTATATTGAATGCAACTTTATCGAGTTTTATATAAAGATTGTTGACATCGTTTTTTTTTCTGGGTGTGCTATTTTATTAATGTTGTCATTATTGCTGATAGATGTTTTTTAATATTAAATATTTTTAGCATCGATATTCTTCGATGTTTTTTTTAATCGATTTAATTATTAGCCGCAAAACATTAGTTTTCTTGCAACGAAAATAATTATTTAATGCTTTGAAAGTCAATACGACTTTTCCTTATTCAAATTAATTAATATGTAATCTCGGTCGAAAAAATTCGATATCTGCTTATACATTTATATATTTATTTAGCCGAAGCTAGAGTACCTCCACAATTTTCCTAGCGTCTTCGACAACTCGGCATTGTGCAATTGCGGATATTGGTCGGCGAGTCTTCGCCTTGCTGCCTGCGCCCACACCATAAAAGCGTTCATGGGACGCTTCACGTGAGCGCTTCTTCGTCCGCCGGCGCGCGAAGTCACCGGAAGTAGCGTCCAATCGTAGCCTATAATATAAATGATAAGATTCATTAATCTTTTTATAAAAATACTAAGGCATATATATATCAACACGCATGTCAAGAACAAAAAGCTTTGCTCCTTCTGGTCTAGTTCTAACTTTAAAAAATTATTTATAACGCATGGAACTCCAGAAACTTTTAGTTTTCTCAGTGAAAAAAAACACTGCCTCCTTCGAGCAATGATTATATAAGATCAGTCATTAATCTGTGCTCGAAAGAAAATGAAAAAGAAATCATCTGCATGTGTCGATTATTCGAATGTTATAAATATGTTTTTCGATCGAAATTCAATATTGATTCTTTGTACAAGAAAAAGTCATTTTTGTTGCGGTACATTTATATTTTTCTCTCATATATTTTATCTTTAAAAATTTAATAAAATCTTAGAATGTATTAGACATGACATATCTATATGCCAATAGACCTGATATTGAAATTTATTGCAAAGTAACTTTACGTTTTTTTTTATGATCGCACAGTCGAAATGTTAAATGACGTAAATGCTTCGAATTACCAAAAATTCCGCGCCGCTTAATAAGGATTCGGCTCCGGATGTATTCCTACATTTCATTTCGTGGGAAAAGAGCCCTATGAGCCAACCGCGGTCGTAAAACTTTGTCTCCCTTTGAACAAATGTATACCGACTTATGTAAATCTGTCCTGTCGCACTCTACCGCGATCTCCTAAATCTTAATTCCTTGGCCCAAGAACGGTCCGGGGGAGGAAGATTTGGAGGAACGAGGAAGAGATAGAAATGTGCAGATGCGTAACTTGGGAAGGCTTGGAAAATTAATAGTGTTCCATGTGCAAGATTGACGAAACTCGCTGATGACGGTATAAATTCATCCCCTCGATTTAAATAGGGTTCTATTTTTACAGTAATATTTATTTTATTTGTACGACCAGACTTTTTAGATCTACACTAAAAAAATTGTTAACTTGACTAAACTTTTCAACTAAATTACTATTTTGTTAATTGAATATATAATATATTAGTATTTAAGTCAACACATGTTTTGTCGATTTAATATGGTATATTTAATTTAAATATTTTTATATATTTAATTAACAAAATATTATTTAATTAAAAGGTTTAATCAAGTTAACAATTTCTTTCAGTGTAGTCAGAATAGTAAAACAAAGAGTCGTCTTATGTGTTCGCACTTAAAATATGTCATTTTATATAAATCATTCAAAATATCAGCATGTACTTAAAAGTATTTTCTATATAAACCGAAGGCTAATGTGTAATATTCATTTTCATTATGTCTTTTTTAAATATCTTAATCTAATTATATACGCACGGAGAGAATTTTTTCTGTGAAGTTAGCTTGAAATGGTAATCGTATGGTATTGGAAGAATTTTATAAGAGTTTCTCTGATTAATATTTACCACAATAAAATTAATATGTATACATTGTAAAATTAATCGAACATATTTTTTATATCTTATTGTAGTAGATATTAATATTTTTTTTACCACATATTGTCCCACAATTACAATGATTTTCAGGATATAAATTCTAAGAAAAAATTCTCTCTGTGTATTGCTGTCAAAAAAAAAGTCGATTTGACTTACATAAAATTAAGTTAAGACACTTAAAAAATATGTTCATGTTTCTAATTGCCATCGATCGTTAGGGGAGGAGAGAGAGGGAGAGGGAGAGGGGTATGGGCGAGACTTCGGGAGGGACGATACACGTGAAGAAGTGTCAAGCCGGAGTTCGGAAAGCTGGTGGGAGCTAATTACCGTGGGTCCATGGTCCACTGGCGCGGCACTTGTGTCGGCGTCTTTTAGCGTCCGGGGGAGGTCCTTCGTCGACGCCTGCGCCGATAGCCGCGACGTCGAAATATAATTTTACACGGAAACGCGGAAGGGCTTTGCGGAGAACGCGACAGGAATAGAGAAACTTTCGCGCGAATCGGGCGAAACACGACCCTCCGTGGTCAATTAGGCATGCAAAGAACATCGGACCCTTTTCTAGGGAGCAGTTTGTATGGTCGGACTTTTTTTAGGGCCCAATGATACACCGACATGTAGAGGATTTAATTACAAAAATTAGAACAGCTAAAAGAAGTATTTTTGTGCATAATTTTTTAGAATAATTTTATACGAAAAATGAAAATATTTTAGAGAAATAGGAACGTAACTTTGTTGTAATATGTAAAATGTAAAATGAACCGGCGATTAGCGACGTAAAACCCCGAAGATTTATCTTTAAAGAACAATGATGCACCTGTTCGTGCACTATTTAATCTTTGACGATTAAATAATAAATTCACATGAGTTGCAATTTGCCAAATGGCGTTTAATCTTAGATTATATCCGCGCTCTTATCTGTTTCGATTTGATTAATTACGCCCGACGACCTGGCGAATCTGTGAATTGGCGGCACACGCGAGTGACCGAGAAATTTTTCCAGGATTGTGAATGGCTTTTGAGTGGAGATCAGGGCCGTAGTTAGCGCATCCGTGCCGGGCTACAATAGGCGGGTTGTGTGGTCTGGTGAATGAACCGGTGTGCTCGGCCGTCAATGGCGACCTGTCGAGCCTCTTGCTACATTAACTCCTTTACAAATCCGCCTGTTACAAATCCCCCCAGCCTTTAACGAGGCCCTCTTTAACGCTTCGACACCTTGTCCCGTCGATGTTTGACATTACGTAGCCCCGTCGCCACGTGCTCGATGATTCTTCGACTCGCACCGTCTCCGGTCTCGAGTGAAGATACGGGGCGAGAATTTATCTTTATTCGATATTTAATACAGATTGGTGAAGCGAATGTGTTCGCGGAATTAAATTGAAGACAATTAGACCTTAAACATTGAATAAGTTTTTTATACAAAAAAATTCCATGGAATAAGAAAATAATATACGCATTTATTTAGGATCCTGTATAGATACGGGACGAGAATTTATCTTCGTTCGGTAATTAATACAGATTGATGAAGCGAATGCGTTCGCGGAATTAAATTGAAGACAATTAGACCTTAAACATTGAATTATATAGTTTTATACAAAATAATTCCACGGTATTAGAAAATAATATATGCATTTATTTAGGATCCTGTATAGATACGAGTAAAGATACGGGGCGAGAATTTATCTTCGTTCGATATTTAATACAGATTGATGAAGCGAATGCGTTCGCGGAATTAAATTAAAGACAATTAGACCTTAAACATTGAATTAGTTTTATACAAAATAATTCCACGGTATTAGAAAATAATATACGCATTTATTTAGGATCTTGTATAGATATATCGAGGACCACCTGTATTTTCATCGCGTCGATATTTTGTAACGAAATGCGTATCGCTTAGCGCCTCTGGAGCAAATATTTACTCGACGTAGACGTGCATCAGACTTGTCTCTCTCTCTTCTTGAGCGATAAACCATTTGGATTATACATTCCTGCGGTCGACCTACGAGCATCTCGCGCGTGCCATTGGTTTTTAAACTGATCACCAACGAATTCAAGTGTCCATCACTCCGCTGTCGCCCCTGACGTAGTATTGCATCGTACAGATAAATATTTCTACTTGAATTTAACTTTAAGTTAGAAACAAGTCCCGTGATTCGATAGTATATGATATTTTGAGAGTGATTTAATTGTCGCCAAAAATATGTAAGCTGTATATATAAAATAACAGAAAGGAGCCTGCATCAAATACATAAGATTTTGGCTTTCGGTGGAATTAACTGTTTTTTTTTCATTTGTTGTAGTTAATGATTTGCTGAGCAATAATAGCCTTAAAGCAAAATATTCGATAGTTATTGAGTTACAGCCAGTCAAATAATTTGCAAAGTCCTAATTTTTCGTATTTAATTGGCTGTAAATGAGTAACCATCTATTATTTAGCTTTGAGTCTGTTACATTTTTTGTTCAGCAAGTCATAATATGTGAGAAAATCAGTTAATTTTACCGTGGGATTCAATTTCACTTATGATTTTATATAGGTTCAAAAATCCCGTACTAATCATATAAAATGAAATCATGGTCAGATCAGCTGATTTTCTCATGTGTTGTAGTTTATAACCTGTTGAACAAACAATGTAATAGACTCAAAGCTAAATAATAGATATTTATACTGATTTAGCAGCCAGTCAAATACGAAAAACTTGGGCTCTACGAGTTGTTTGACTGATTATAACTCAACAATTATCCAATATTTAGCTTTAAGGCTATTACATCTTTTGTTCAGCAGGACATTAATCTACAACATATGAAAAAAGCGCAGACAATTCCACCGAAAGCCAAAATCCCATGTATTTGGTTGCGGGGTTTTTTATGAAAATCATGAAAGGGCATACTTAGCGAGGGAGATGCTACTTGCATCTAGATTTCCCTAGAATATCCAGCCTAGACACGAAGAGAGTGATGACATAGTCCGCGACTCTTCCTTGTAATCCACAGCATCGACTAGACCTCATCAATCCTTGTAATTATTCGCGTCTCGATTGTCTAATATTTAAACGCGGAGATAAAATTAGTCCGACTAGAGATATCATCCCTCCCGACGATTTCCACCTGTCCATCGTCGCCCGTACATTGTCGCTCCCCGACGACGATGTTGTACGTATCTCTGGCGAAATTACGTCGTCGCGAAGACTTAGTCTCGACGCGCTTCATAAATCACGTCTTGCGGCCGCACGTATCGCTTCCCTGCCTCTCTCTCCTTTTCTTCCGCGCGGCGATCTTTCAGATTTAATTCGGTACTAGCATAATTAGTGGCGGTGGCAGGCGGCAGCGTTCGCCTCGTCTCGCTCTGTTCGCAGCACCTGCCGTGCTCTCGAATTTTCCTCGGAGGAATCGTCGTCTCTCTTCGCGAAGCGATCTCCTCAGCTATATTTCTCCGGCTCGTCGCGATGACTCCGTCGCTTCGTCTTTTTCTCTCCCTTTCGCGAGTTCTACCCCTTTCTACGCTCCTGCGAGTATCGTCCGGATAAATCTGCGAGCGGCCAAATGGAGAAAAGAGCGATGTGGCCGACGACGCGGGCTTTCAGCGCCAATTACCAGTATATGCCTTCCTTCTCTCTTCGTCCCTTTTCCTGCCTTTCCCTCTTTAACGACTCGATAATGAGTGAAAAAGAACGAACAGCGAATGAACACACGCGTCTCGCGTGCTATTTCGGGAAATTCATATTTTTCGCCGGCCAATTTCGATTTAAATGTCTCATCAATGTGGCAAATCGCGTTCGAGATGCTAATTATTTTATAAATATTAAAAAAAATTTGTTTAACGTTTTTTCTTCTCTCTCTTCCTTCCTCTTCTCGAGGAAAATAATATCTTGTAAAAGCTAATAATAATACTAATAATAAAATCGTAATAATAAGTCAAAGCTTGGAAAGCAAGAACTCGATTACATAAATGTTCAAGATATGCATTAATTTTCAGTCTAGCATCCACTATTTTTAAAGCTTTCGGTATTATTTATTTTTATCTCTTGCTATAAATTTTTTTTTTATAATTGATTGAAATTGTCTTTCTCCGAAAATAAGAAAACACATAATTATTAAGTTCGCTTACCCTAATTTTCAAACACAATTGCGCACTGTAGTATTTATCTTGATTTTTTTCATTTTTTCCTAACAGATATAATATGTTTTCAAAAATTATATACACATACCTTGCAATAGCTTGCCCACAGCATCGTCCAAAGAATTATTGCCAACGTGTTCGTTGCTCGACGAGCTTGCTTTACTTTCCATCGAGGACAAATCGTTATTATTGTGATGGACATCCATTTTTTTATTCTCGTTAAATTCACGTCGCGAAACACTTTTCACTAACGATCAATGTTTACACAATCACTAAAAACTATAGATGTCAAAAATTCGCGAACTCAAAAAAAATGTTCAACATATAAATATCGAAAGTATCACTCAAATAATGTCACATAATCGATGATAAATAGAATGGTGAATTTCGTCGGGAGATTAAATCGCATCTCGTGGATTTTTTGTCGCAAGTAAGCGAGATTCTCGGTAAGAGATTTCCGTCGTAGGAAGAGAGAGATTCGATAATTAATCGAGGGTTATCAGGACGCAATTTAGCGGGTCGGATAGGTCGCCGAATCTTCTTTATGGCTACTTAGCCGACCCTGCGCCGACCTTATCCGCATCAGATATTTTTTATCTCCTTATTAAACCGATTTCTATGAACTCGTAGATCATCCGGAGATTCACTTCGTTATCGGCTCCGGGAAATATTAGAGAGAAATCGATGCGATGCGTTGAGAGAAGAGGTACGACTTGTCTCTCATCGAACGATCCGTTTTCGAGAGTATATCGATTTTACGTTCTTCTCGTATTCCATATACGCGAGACGTCTCGAGGGCCAAATTGTGTGGCACTTTATTTCGAAGTGCCAAGTCGAACGAAAACAGATTCGTCCTGCTCGACCTCGAGATCATCGAGTCGTGTCATAGTTACGACGTCTCGTGTGCCTGGCGGAAGGTCCTTGTGATTGTTTTTTTCTTCTCTCCCTTTATTTCCCTCTTTCGTTATCGATTATCGAAAATCGAAAGTGTAAACACTGTATCATAGGATTGTAATCGCGTCATCGATAGATCGAGAGACGTAACGGCACGAAACAGCGGTGCTGGCGAATCAGGTAAACTCCGATGGCCGACTGATCGGCCGAGAGGAGAGACGCGACGATGGACCCGATGGACTCGAGGAGGCGAAGGAACCAACCGTCCGCACGGTTCAACCGCACAGGTTGGTCCACACGGGTGGAAGAGGCTGAGGCGAAACGAGACGAAACACACGTCTGGCACACGCACCAAAACCGTCAGGCGGATGGCAGACCATCCGCGGAGGCGGTTCCGTGGACCACCTACCTCTGGTGGGGAGACACGTAGAATCTTCCTTTCTCTTCTTCATTCTCTTTCATCTCCTCTCTTCCTCTTTCGTCGGCTTCATCTCCTTTCGTCATTTCCTCGCGCCCGTGCCAAAGTCGACCCCTGCATATCCTGCATGAGCGATATCCTCCCTTGCATCCTTAAGACGAGAATCTCGAATAGCCCTTTCGAGGAAAGTTGCGAAACCTACGTGCTGAGATTTTAGATATCACGAAGTTGGACTCGTAATTTTTTCCTTTTTTCGGTTTTGTTAAAAAAATTATTAAATTAATAAATATTTATTTCAATACTGCCTAACAAATTATTGATTTGAAACAAATAAATATATTTATCTGTTTTGAAAAGGATTTTCTTATATCAAATAAATATTTTTTACATCAAATCAATATTATTAGTTTCAAATAAATGATTTATTAAGTAGTATTGAAATGAATGTTTATTGGAATTCAATACGTCTTGTTTCAGTGTAGAGAATTTAAAAAATGTGACGTTTTGAAATTAAACTCTTCTCAAAAAGACCGAGTGTATTCTTTAAAAAATTCTTTACTTTAAATCTGATAGCGAGAAATATTAAAGGATTAATAATTTTAAAATAAATGATTGAGGGAAAAAAGAGATGAGAAGAAATAGAAGACTGTTTCGCAAAATAAATTTTAAAGTAAATGATGAAGTTACATTTTTTTAAATATTTGTTTATGGAATTTTAATAAATTTAAGAGAGGCTTAAAATCATAGCTTATAAAAAAATACAATGCTATTTATAAAAAATATTTCTTGACTTTGTATATTAATTAGTAATAGCAATGTAGAGGATCTAAAGATCACACAGATAACATGCACGTACATCCTGCTTATGATACTCATTTCGCGAGTTATTCGCGACGAAGCATCGACTAATTATCGTCCGTTTGTTGTCGCGCACATGTGTTTTGTACGTGAAAGGTCGCTGGAAAGTAGACCTAGGAATTTATTGATCGTGTCTGCGAATAAATGATTAATGACAAGCACCCGCGAAAGATAAAGATATATCGCGCCCGCATTGAACACGACTAAAAAAAGTATTAGATGGTGTGATTGATATAATCTTTAGTTATGTTATACCTCTATTTAGATTTCCAGATGTAGCTCTTACGTAGCGAGACCATTCCGTTTCTGCCGAGACAAAGTGCGATTTTTTAACTCCCTTCAAGTATTTATCCTTGTAACATTTTTGTTCGGTATATCTAGAATCTAGAACATAAATTTAAATAATATTCGCGCCTGTCTCGCTCGTCGTCGCGCGATTGGAATGCGAAAAAAAGTATATGCGCGACAAAATAGAGCAGTGTGTTTTTACGCATGGGGAGAAAAGCACCACCAGGTCCTGAAGCTGTTCCCTCTTTCGTTCCGGCGAGCCTAATTATACAACGAATTTAATGAATGAGTGAGCTAGCAAATACAGTGGCTCATACAAACCGCAGGCGTATATAAACCACGGTCAATGCCGTGTAGCGGCTTTTGTGGAAAGATCAAAGAGAGCATCTTGCTCGCACTTTGCGGGATTAACTTGCGTTGCCGGCGCGTAAACGCACGAGTGCATGACATTTTCGGGATCCTCGCGGATTAAAAATTACGTTTTTATGCGAATTTCTACGCCAACAGCGTTCAACCTCTTTCTAACGAGAGTCATTCCTAATTTTTTTTATCTTTCGTATAAAGTATGAGTGATCTATGTTGAAACTGTTTGAAATTTCGTCAACTTAAACCTCATTAACTTGGAATTATTATTTTCTTACTAAAAATTTATGATTTAAGTGCTATATTTAAGTGGAAGATGTATTTTCTTCCGCTAGATACATCAAATCCGAACTGCAATCTTATTAACGCATATTCTATATTGTTTGTTTCATCTCTGTATAAAAATGCAATCAAAATTTGTTTAAGATTTCTAATTTAATAGAGACGAAAAATAATCGAATTTATTACACATGAAAAATATGGAGACTGTAAATATTTTTTGCGATCTCAGTTCAGAGGTGATACGGTTAATTATTTATTACATTTACGACGAGATGGGGAAAATCCCATCAGAATAATCTATCTTATCGTATATCAAATAAATATGATAAGATGCACTTTTAATTATTTGTAGATAATTTGCCTTTAAAAAATTCATGGAAAAAATTAGCCATAGTTTCTTAGGTGTCTCTATATTATACATAAAATTTAGTTATCATGTCTAAATTTTACCTATGATAGCTAATAGCTTTTTAGCTATAGAATTCTTTGTTAAACTATAGCTAAAATTTAGACATGATAACTACATTTCAGGTTGCAATCTAGGGTAGACAGTTAAAAGTTTTTAGGTATAGTGGCTAATTTTTTTCTGCAATTGTAATGCAGGCTTGATAAAATAAATTAATCCGACGAGACTTACAAACGAAAGTAATAAAACAAATCGATCGACCGCGATAAATACGTCTCATCATTGTTCGAAGATATTTCGTTCGTCCGCAGATTCTCCAAATGTCTGTGCAGGCGTACGCTCGCATTATGCGGCGGCCGGGATGCGCCGGCAATGCAAATTTAGCCCGACGGGAACAATAATATTGATTTCACGAAGCCGGAATTTTGCTCTTGCCGGGATAAACATCCCGGCGCGCGCGCACGTGGCGTCAATATGCGTCTTTCGTTTCTCGGTGTTGTACGTAAGCGAGAATTCGTTTCAGGGCCGTTCCTGAGACGCAGCCTCGACGTTTCCTCGAGAGGAAACGCTTCGCGTTTGCGTTTCTTCATTTCGAGACGATTAGTGCATCCCTTTAAATAAATATATTCGCGAGATCAAGTTAATCGACGACCAAAAGAATTTTAAGAAATATCATTCTTTTAGAAAAAAAACATCTTGCAGATGAGCATGGGCGTCCGCAGGAATTTTTTCCAGGGAGGAGCATGATTAAACTTTTTATTTTAATATTTTATTATTTTATTTTAATATTTTTATCCCTAAGAGCACACGTATCCCGAAGGCGGTCAGAGAACCTGAGGATGTTCGAATGTCCTCTGGATATCCTTTGAATATCCTCTGAATATCTTTCGAATGTGTTGTGCTGTGCTATTAGGGATATTAAATAAAATTGCAGATAAATTCCAGTGTTTATTCACAAGGAGAGTAAATGCTTAATTTTTTTACTGATTCCTAGGAGGGAGCAAATGCCCTCTCTGCGAACGCCCATGCAGATGAGACAAGATATCGAATAAAATCACTTAAAACTCGAAAAAATTGGAGAATATTTCTCTTATGTATACGATTATTAAATATTAATTAAATACCGTTATTAATCCAGTATATATATGTAATGCTATATAAATCGACGATGGATTTCTGTTGAGAGAATCGAATGAGGACGTATCGAAACGGGCGATTCTCGCGCGCGGTTCGTCGCGATAAAATAATAATTCCAGCAATTCTTGGGGGTCGGCGGCAGGCACTTGAAAGGATTCCGAAGGCGGGGGAAGGGGGGCCCATCGAACCGGGTACCCGACACATGTAGCCCCCCAGGGTGGCGAGTACCGCGACTCGCGCACGGACCCCCAACGGAGACACGAGCTTCGACACATTCTGCATCGTCATCATCGCATCCCGGCAATGTCATTGCGTAGTACACGAAGCCGATAACTATACACGTGTACGAATGCGTACGCAAAGTCCACTCTATTTCTCGCGAATCGCGATTAAATCATCTCTGCAAGAATGTTGCTTTCAATAATTGACTCACGAAATGACAATAGAATAATTGATATATGGCTCCTTAAAGTAATAATTTTATAATTGCAACTGATTTTATATTGCATAATAGAAAAATCTCCAATGTAGATCTGTCTCAAGTTTTGTCTTCAAATTGAAAAAAACAAGTTTCAAGCTGCAATTTAAAATTTGATTTTATCTCCGGATTCTTGAAAGATGATTCAAGTATTATTGCATTCTCAATTATAATGCGCAAAGTCTGCACCAGTCATTAAAATGGTACATTTGCATAATTAAATACCTAATAGGTTATCAATGATTTATTTGAATGATAATTTGCACGCAAACACATACAATAAATCTATTCTTTTTCGAGAAATATTGAGTATAACGCAAATCTTTATGAGAGATATTGAATTAATTGATTAAACTTATCGATTATCTTTTTTCAGAATGTTTTATGTAATGCAGTGTCAATAGTTCAGATATGCGAATTATGATTTACAAGAGTCAAATTATTATCATTAAATTTTAATAAATGCAAATGTATGTATATCATTTAACATAAAATATAATAAAAGAAAATATGGCCGAATTTAAAAAATAATTAAAAAGATGAGTTTGTACTTAGTTTTGTGTGTCAGAAGATGCTTTTTACTGGCTTCTATCATTATTCTATCACTATTTATAGAACAATGATCTTTAAATAAGTAAATTAATATAAATTAATTTGCTGCAATTTTTTTATAAAGATTCTCTTTGTATTCTAAAATTTATAAGGTAGGAAATTAATTTATCCTAGAATACAAAAAGATCTTATGAGCTTTATTTATGAAAATCAATCATATCTAGAAATGCAGTTTTGTTCTCCTTATTCGTGAATCTTCCTCATTTCTACTCTTAATTTTCATTGCGAAACTCAATTCCTATAACTTTCTGATTAATTCACTCGCAGTGAAGCTTACGAAATCGTTAATTACAATCGACATGATTAATGATTCGAGCTGCGTTTCAGAGACAGTTGTCTGAGCTAACACGTATCAAGATGCGTATCAATTTATGCGTGCTAGGGATGTAAACGCAATTTTATAATTACAATAATTTAGAACGAAACAAACATTTGTTTTACATCGCATTGGTTCATAAAGGAAATTTTCGATTTGACGAGTGTAAAGTGCGTAACGTTAATGTCCGATCGTCGCGAGAATCGGTCGATGAGTGCAATATGCAACTATGAGTGCAATCGGTTTAGCTGCGGCGCGTTCTCTTCTCGTTCTCTTCTGACGTCATAATTGCATCCGACTGGCGGACCAATCGACGGGACCGGGTAGAAGAAAGAGATCGCGAACAGAAACGTCGGTGAACTGCGAGAAGGGACAAAGAGAAAGAGAGAGAAAGATATAGAAGAGGGGAGGAAAAAAGAGTGAGATGAGACGAGAGATAGGTGGAGCAAGCAGAACCCGATTGGTTCTCCTCCCAGAGGATATCGTAGTCATGGAAACTCTTGTCAGAGTGGCGAGAGTACCGAAATATAAATGGAATGACCGGCGATCCGGCAGTACGAAGAGGGAGGAAATGGGGTATCATGAAAAAGGAGGGAGGATGACCTGTCTAAGAACGAAAGGGAGATCGAGATATTATTGTGATCCCATTGTCGGTCAGCCGATAATGTCCCGCACTAAAAAGTTGATAGAATACGACAATGTTGTTATCATATGATGCAATATTATTGTTGCAACAAGAGTCTTTTTTCAACCAACAAAATAAATTTATTTCCGTCCATATTATCTATCCATGATTCACTATTAAATGTCAGAAAAATTTTTAAGAGATAACTGTAATCACCAGCGGATCCCGAAATCGATAATAAGGGAGGGGGTGGGTTTCTATAAAATTATTTAATTTAGTAGTAAAAATCTATTTTCACAAATTGAATTAAACAATTTTTTTAATTTGAAAGGGGGTAGTTTTAAGCCGAAAACCAGGATCCATCGATGATTGTAACATATATTAATGGAACTAGTGTGCTAGAAAATTAAATCAACATGGAAAGGCAATTAAATAAGCTTGACATATTTCAAATATACCATATTATTTTAACAATCGAGACTCTTTCTCTCTCTACGTTGAATGAAAAATGTTCATTCATATATGTTATTTTATTATTAATGATTTTTTTATTATATATGATTTTTTATTATTAATTATAACATTGCATTTTTAAAATGATTATTGATATTAATTATAACATAAAAATTTCAAACGCCATATAATAGCGTATAATAAAAAGTATAGCCGATCTCTCTCTTTCTCGTACAGCCTTATTTGGTCCTCGTCGCATACGAGGAGTCTAACGACGACGGAACACGACGTCTGCAAGATACGCGGAACGAATGCCTCGCGCGTCTCTCCTCATCTCGCTACCACCGTCGGCCCCACCGGAGTACGGTCGATCTCCCTCCTGGTGTACGCGACAGACTTGCGGAGACTTACGGAGCAACAAGTGTTACCAGCACGCTGCTTTTGCCCCGCCCCTAAACGAACCAGCTGAGAAACGATGTCAGCCTCGTGGTGGAAACTGCCCCGAGGCGATGCAACCACCTCACTCGAGCGCCGATCGCGCGACAAGCATCCACGAACCCCGCTTTCAACTCGGCGCAAGTTTTAACGCGAACGCGAACCCGATTTATCCTGGCTCGGCGAAAGAATTTCGAAAATTTGCGAAATTACTCCGAAGTCACGGTATCGATATGTGAAATATTTGACGACCCGCGAAGCAACAAGCTCTATTAAGAATAGAGGTGGTGCGTGAGCTTCGCAAAGCTGGACTTGGTGTCAGAACTTCTTGTCGTATGCTGGAGAATTCTGTTTTCCAGTGATATTACGAACGATTTTACAACCTAACAATACTTGGATGCAATCATTCTCTTTGCCAAAGAGTGTCGAACGATAGACTGATACAAGATTGCATTTAAACGTCAGTGATATCTACAGAAACATGTGCTACACATTCGTAGATAGCCGCTAGCTTGCGTCATCGCTGAAGCAAGCTGCAATAATCTACCGAAAAGTATAAGAACACTGATCATCGAAGGATGCAATTAGCGCAATCCATACTTTCATCGTTCGAATTTGCCTTCTCAAGTAGGAGACCAAGTGTGAGACTTTCAAAGAGATACACACACAAAGAGAAAAGGGGCGTAGATAAGAAGTAACGGAGCTGGCGAACCGGGACGAGCAAAAAAGCGAGCTTAATAAATAGAAGCTATATCGAGACACACGCGCGAGATACGCGAGTCGGAATTAATTAATCGTGACAACAATCAATAGTCGAAACGTGAACTTCGAAAAAAGAAAGAAAGAAGATCGGGGTCGAGAGCAAAGAGATCGGCAGAACTACTACTAACCGAGTGAGGGAAGAATCATCGCGAAAAGAAAGTGACACGCGCTCCTCGCGATGATAACGACGATAACAAAGCGATTAATTGATTGACAGCTATTCTTCGCGAGACGGTTCGAGACGAGATGAACGTGTTTTCCGCGTGTTCCGCGCGATAAATCGGTCAAGTTGATACAGTGCGATATTTCTCGATTCGATCTTCAGGGCTTCCATTGTTCGCGCGTCGACGCGACGAAGGGGATGAAGATGAACGACGTCAAGCCGGAAAGCTCCAGCACGTCCATTTCGTCGCCAGGCGGAAACAATAACAACAATAACAATAATAATAATAACAACATTAATGGCAATGGTAAAGCCGCAGCCGCAGCTGCGGCGACGGTGGCTGCGAATGGCGGCGAAGGAATCAGCGCCGCCGTCGCCAAGGTTCTTCAGGGATACGACTGGACTCTGGTACCCGTTGCCACCAAGTAAGTGTATCACGTGGCAAATTCATATTTTTCTCTTTCTCTTTATTTTTTTTTCATTATCATCGCTCTTCCCGGGCAACGATTTCGGAAAATCGTTCGCACTTGGGATGATCCGTAAGCTTTTTCCTTGCAAACTGTTTCGTTGAAATAATTGAAGAGAATAATGAAAAGAGAGACGTTCTTTGAGGGACAAAAGAATTTAATTTATTAAAAGGACGAATTCTGAAAAAAAGAATGTCATCAATGTTTGCGTAAAATTATACGCTTAGTTTTCGACGAATAAGATATTCTATATACAGAGAGAATTTTCTCTTAAAGTTTACCCTGAAAATTATGGTAATCGTGAGACAATATTCTATTGGAAGAATTTCATAAGTTTCTCTGATTAATTAATATATTTTTATTACAATAAAAAATATTAATGTCTATCGCAATAAGATATAAAATATGTTCGATTAATTTTACTGTGTACATACTAATATTTCTTATAGTGGTCAATATTAATCCGAGAAATTCTTGTAAAATTTTTCCATGCTTTTCAAGCTAAATTCTAAGAGAAAATTCTCTCCTTGTAATGATGTGTGATAATTTAATTATAGTACTATCTTATGATTTCACGTTGATATATTTCAAAATCTCGATATATTTAATTCTTCTTCCTTTAGCAGAGAAAAGTTAATTAATCGCTTAAACAAAAGCTCGTTTTCTAACTTCTTCATGTTTCTCGATATTTTCGTGAAGCACTTTAATCACCGCGAGTCGTATTAGCGACGCGTTAACATACATATACACAGGTATGCACACGTTAGGCTGCCGTTAAGCCCCGCGGGCTTCAACCGCGCGATGGTAACGTTGAAAAGCAAGGTGAAAAAAATACTTGAAAAGAAAAGAGGAACGCGAAGAGAAACGGATGCGACGAAGTTGCCGGGGTGAAGAGAGAAGAAGAGGGCGAGGAGGAGCGTGGCGGTCTTAAAAATACGTAACGCTAACTCAATTATGACGCACTCGTTTCCCGGCCTGGGAAACGCGCGCCTCGCGGAAAAATGTCCTCGGTCGCCAATTAACGCAAATTGGCTAATTAATGCCCGATCGCCACGTTTCCCTGCACGGCTGCTCGTCGATCGTGGGAAGGAAGCTCGGTCTCTGACGAGATAACTGATAACGGTCGGGGGAAAAAAAAAACGAAATAAAACGTGATTTCTTTCCGCGACTGCGGGACGAGTCATCATGGTGTTGTCCTCGGTGCATCGGATGCTCGAAGAAAAATTATTAGATCGCGGCGGAGTTCGATAAAATCGTGCGTGTGGCCTCGATGCGCAGAAAATTGTGCAACGCACTGATCGATCCGCGACGTAATTAATGCCTGCCGATATGCTGAATGATTTTATATTCCTGATTGCCGCGACAGTCGGGATTGCTTTCTGTTTTTTTTTTATACAAATGAGCCGATGATCTCACAAAGACGATCTACAGAAGAATCTATAAAGATTTTCTGCTCACAATTTCTTTATCTTAATGTCATTAAATGCATAGACATGCATTTCGGAAAATCGCGTGCAAATTGGAGATGAAACGCGGAGAGAATTTGAGAAAACAGAGAAGAAGAGCTATTAGGTATGCGGTTTAATCGTAGAGGAAAGCATGTTATAACGGAAATGTTATCACGGAGTGTATCGCGCTTATCGCTAACCCTCAATTATAGGGTTATCTCGGGGTAGCTGCAGGGTGCTTATTCCTGGCGATAGAGTCTGATAAATACATTAGTTTTTAATATACCCACAGATTCCGTGGCAGTACATCTTGCAGAAGTTGCGAGATTACTATTGATTCTACTGGAATATACGATATTGAATATTAATTTGCAAAAGCATTAACGCAACTGTTACGTAATTCGGGGTAAATTAAATTTAAGATGTATAATTAAATATGTTAAGGTAACTGTATAATTAAATATGTATAATTAAATATGTTGCGCACAAATTTTCGAATAATAATTCGGGACAGATTAAATTTAAGATTTCTAATGAAAAAAGAATGTTTTGCCAGCGTGAATTTGTATACTGACACCGTTCGTACGAGACCCTTTTGATGTTTCTGTTGTAAAGCTGCACGTTTGTGCCATTTTACGCAGCACCACGCCTACGTCGCACACATAAGCGTTTTTCGCGTGTATTCAGGTAAAGCACACGCGTCGTGACGCGTACACCCATCGTGTGTATGCCGCGTTCACGTTCCGAGGAGCGCCGTGAAAACCCTCGTTAGTGAGCCCACGCTAATTACCAACGGCTCCACGGGTTTACACACGGATTTAACGCCCCTCTCATTTCAAAGAGGCCGAAATATACGGGGGAAGGGAGGTCGCTTTCGTATCCTTGAGACGCACGCCGGAGTCCTTTTCACCCGCGTTACGCGAATTCGCCACGCTTATCCCCATATAATTCACTCGCGAATCGAACGCTTAGGTCCGATTACATAAGCTATATTATAAGTTATCCTTGGATTCTGTTTCCCTCGCGACAGAACTTTAATCGTCACAATTATACATATATATAAACAGACACATGCGATATCCCGACTCGAGATTAAAGCTATTACCCTCTATTATCTTTGTTGAATACGTCGATTTCATTGTCTCGAAAGATTTTCTTCGCGAAAAGTTATTTTCTTATCCAAGGATTTCTGATAAAAAATAATCTCCATATACCGTATGCCGTATTCGTTCTTCATTCGCATGATGACTCGGGGCCGCGCGAGTCCTTAAAGAATCCTCGATTAAGGGTAAAAAGAAAAACAGGAGGATATCTCGCCGACGCGGCGCGGCAATCACGTCAGTCACGTCGATCCCCGACTGGACGAGGCAAAAGTTTTATGAAGTCATCTTCTCGGAAAGAAAGGGATACGTCCATTCCTATATACCCGTCACACGTCGGCAGCCACGGTGTTATTTTAAGGCCGGTTTTAAACGCTCGCCAGGATGACCCGGGGGTAGCCCGCCGCGGCAAAACCCGATACGGATATGTATACGTGTGTAGGATGTATATATACGTGCCGTCTCGCCTCTGGTTATTTTCTTCTGCAAGTCACCAGATTATCTGCCAGAATAGTCGACGAGGTAGAGATAGATAGATAGGTAAATAGACAGAGACAGAGCCAGAAAGAGAGATTCACATTTTTGTCGCTGTAAAATTTCGCTTTTATTTCTATCTATATGTTCAAAAATAACGTTCAAAAATATATATATGCAATTTCGTGAAAATTTAAAAAGGATGTTTAGTATCAAATGATCAAAATTGTGTTGCAGAGTGCGATAAATGAAAATTGCAGGCTGTACATTAATTGATAACGACGTACACAGAGAAAATTTTCTTTTAGAATTTACCCTGAAAAGCATGGCAATCATGGGATTGAAAGAATTTTATAAGAGTTTTTCTGATTAATATTGACCATAAAAAAATATTAATATCTACGTAATAAGATATAAAATATGTTTGATTAATTTTACTATGTATATGTACATATTTTATTGTGATAGATATTAATATTTTTTATTGTGGTAAAAATATTTAACATATATATTGTCCCACGATTATTATGACTTTCAGGGTAAATTGTAAGAGAAAATTCTGTTCGTAATAATTCAATAAATGGAATCTTTTTGCGGACATATAAATATAAAAATAAATCGATAATTTCGTAGTAATTAACACACTTGCGTGCGTTTACACGTAAATTTGTAGAGAGGTATCGTTTCCAATGAAGATAATGTCTTCGAATTGCAGGGGCTCCGGCGACAAAAGGGCGGCCCACGTCAAGAGGCCCATGAACGCGTTTATGGTGTGGGCCCAAGCTGCAAGGCGAAAACTGGCCGATCAGTATCCTCAGCTTCACAACGCCGAGTTGTCAAAAACGCTAGGAAAGTTATGGCGGTGAGTGTCGTGAGATTCTTTATCTTTATCCTTGCGTACTTTAGACAGTAGTATAGATTAACAGTAGTATAGATTAATGATATGGCAAACTATATATATTTGTAGGAGATACGATCCTTAATTATTTCGATTCGTGTAAAATTTTATACATTTTACGCATTATATTTTTAGTCTATTAATTAACAATTAATTAAAACAATATATTTTTATTACATTAGTTAATTAAAAATATGAAATATGAAACAGAGATCATTCTTTTTTACTCTTTTTTCGAGATTTTTGGATTTATTACATTAGACTAAAATCTGTCTAATAAAATTGAACGCGAGAAAAAGCGGATAAATATTTATTTTAATTTGTTTATTCGATTTAATCGTATTGTCTTGATTGTATAAAAATCATGCACTTGAAGATTAACGCAAATGCGCACTCGAGTACTCAACCGAATAACATCCAGCGGCCTCCGCGCCTGGCAGAAAGACACTGTTTCGATAAAACTAATCGGTACCACGTGTCTTCAATCGGATGCCTCTCCGTTCTCTCGATCTGATAAGTCCGATTCTCTCACAAATACGAGCTCGCCATGCGGCGATCAGCCACGCGAGAGAATCGCGCTCGTTGATCTTCATTCGCGCTCGCCTCGTTTAGAGAAAAAATCGGATTGCGAGCCGCTACGGAAATCTGTTGTTGATCGTTTCAGCTGTCGTTGATTCGAAGCCACCTGTGCGTTTATCATTGATTTAACGGTTTCAAAGCTCGCGCGTTCGATTCACTCGAGGAAGCCAGGATAATCTTGGCGAACAAGACTGCGGCGATATTAATTGATACAATTCTATAATGTATAGCAAAATGAATAAAAAATTTTCTATGCGCGTTCTTAATTGCAATTGTTAAGTTACGCTGTTAACAAAATGCTGAAAATATATTTCTTTCTTTTTTTATTTTTTCCTCTTATAGTTACGATTTAGACAAAATTTAACCATTAAAAAAATTAAGATTTTGTTTTATTTCAATTATTTCAAAATCGTACGATTTCGCTTATGTAAGACAATGCGATTTCGATCAAAATCGCTGGACCGGAAAGAGTCAACGTCGCCCAATGAGAATGATTGCGTGAAAGTTCGGAGTCACTGCGTTCCAATTCCTGCGACCACTTGTTCACATACGTAACCCGTTCTATTTTTACCAACGAATTCGCGAATGCTCCTTTTTTTACTTCCACGGCACGTATATTAAACACACTCGTACCACACGTGGCGCCTAGGCTGCACGTGGTACAAGTGTTCCTGCTTCTCGAGACCCGTGAACTCGGGTCGCACATATGTAACAGCGAAGATACTTTGTATGCCGTCGGCGGCCCCTTTTACAATCAGATACGATTCGAATATTTTTCGATATTCTATATATTGCCTAAAATTTTTCCATTTTTTCAATTTCAATTTAAATCTTTCAAATCTTACTACAATATTGTACTTAGATGCAAAAGCTGGCAATCAAGAAAATAGAATAAGACATTTTTCGTTAAATGTTAACACTGTTAAAATGTTATAAATAACGCTGCAGCAACATTTATTGAAAAAATCTTTCCCTTGAAATGTGATGCCTTTCAAGCTCTCAACCAGCTTTTAAAAATTATATTTAGCTTTTTAGAGTTAAAAAACACTTGAGAGAGAAAGGGAGAAAGAGTATCTGACTGTTTTGACACACCCTGTATACGTAGGCTTCAGGATGACTTGTGCATGATTCCGTTTCCTGGTTGGGACTAACGAGGTGCCCCAGTGGGCCATATAACGATCATCAGAGGACGCGCCGACAAGGACCCCCGTTGCGAATCATTTAATAACACCGGTCGCGATCGCGATTGCTCGCCAAAGATCGACGATTGATATCCCGACGATTGTCACGGCGGAGCTTTTGCCGAAAGATAAAACGCTATCCAGCATTAAAGATCAATTGTTTTTTTCCTAACACCGTATCGGGGGTCATTAGCAATCTCTTGGTCTGTAATCGCGTGTCGATGAAATTAACGTTCGATGAAAACGTCCGTTTATTATTTGAGGATAGAAAGGAGAAGAATATTGTATGTCGGGAGATGGAAATTAAAAATTGAAAGTAAGAAATAATTTTCTGGTTGCTTGTAATTTGGAAGAAGCAACAGTCGTCCTTGGAACAGGGTACGTTGATCTTACGGTTTCGGCTTTTAAAAAGTCATTATTTAACACCTTTCGGTGGACCTAGTACCAATTAACACTCTCGTCCGAACATGAGAGAGATATTTTCATGATTGCGCCAAGGCTCCTTATAATACGCGCAAATGAACTAGTCAAATCGTCTCTAAGCTCCTTCCTCATTCGCAAAGAATCGGATTTACACGATTGAGAAACATTGCCGTGCATCGCTCTGACGTTTTGATCTACCTTACGCGCAGAAACAAATGATACAGTCATCTTCGGTAATGAACACAGTACTAGAGTGATTGCTACATGGATGAGGTTGCTTACGAACCGATGAGACCGATAAAATTCAAAGTTCAGCGAAGATCGACGTGTATACAGATCGAAATCGCGCGCGATGGTTTACATGCGAGCCTTTGCTTATAAGAAGTGAATAAAGGAGATGAGATAATAAGTGGATAAAGGAAATATCATTACGATTGAATTATAATCATATGACTTTATACGTACAAAGAAATGAAATATAAACGTAGGGAAATTAGAAAAATTTAAATATAAAATTAAAGAAAAAATAAAATTGCGGGATAAATGATTTCTATAAACAGACGAAATTGAAAGAGCAAATAGATTTTTGTTTGACGCTTTTGGCACAAGAGTTTCAATCGCGATTGCATCAACCGATCCGTCGAATCCTCGTGGACTTTGACGCCGACTTGTCTCATGTCAGTCCCGATAACAGAGCCAGGTGCTAGAGTGTCTAGAAATAAATCTTTTTTTTCGCATTTTCTCTCTTCCTCTCTCTCTTTGGGCCGTCTCAAAACGTATCGCCATTCGGATACTCCAAACGCGACGTGTTTGTCGACAAAAGGAAAACAGATATCCCCTCTGGTTCATCCTTGGCGCGTGCTCGCAGCTGCCGGCCGGTTCCTGCCGCAGATAAAGGGGCCCCCAGGGACCACAATAGGCGCCTTGTGCCCGTCAGGTGAATTTTTCCGAACCTGCCCTTCTGCTCCCCGGGTCTGCCTGCAAATAGCGCGTGACGAGAACAGGTAAATCTGTCTTATCTCCCGGAAGGAAAGATTCCTCCACATCGGACTTCCTTCGAACGTTCCTCCCCGCGGTAGCATTATCAGCGTTAACTAAAAGCGTAAATCACTCTTTCAACAGTGATCAGAAACTTTATCATTCTTTTGTCAAGTTTGATGTGTGCTTGCAGAAATTACGGAGTGTTTCTCTGCTTTTATTTATTTTTTTTAATATTTAACATATATCTTGTTGCTTTGACACTTTAATTAAAGTATGTTTCAAGAAAGTTGAGCAATTTTACGATTTGTCGACGATTATCCGGGATGACAAGTGTGATGATTCAATTAGAATCCCATCGAGATTGATTTGCGCATCCTTTGACCGTGTGAACATTTCTCCTTCTTTATGAGGTACATATATATACTGATATACAGAAGTAAGACAAATTTAAATTGGCTGACCCTGCGTTGCATCTGGCGAGGGAAAAGGAAAGCCGCGACTGGTGAAAAAAGCTCATGGCAAGTCCATTGACCAGATGGGCTTTCTCTTCGTTCTTCTCTCACTCTCTATCCGTCTTCCACTCCATCTATCTCTATCGCTTCCTCTTTCCTTCTGTCAGTGACAAAACAGCGCCGTTTAAGCTTAAGATATGCGCCTTCAACTCGTATGTCAACCCGTTTAAAAAAAAGCTTGACTTCTGTCGTGGAATTTAAATCCCGCGAGCTTGCAAATACTCCAGATAATATGCTGGAAGCTCAGATGATTCTTTAGACAATATTTTTTTTCTATTTCGTATATTAAATTAAAATATCAAATTATCAAACAAGAATGAAGGATATTGCAAAACGTGATATATCTAAGATTATTCTGCAAATTTTACGAGAATTATTGACATTATTTATTCATTAATACTAATAGCACGTTTAATAATAAAAAAAAACGCAAATTGTGATATAAATCATTATCAGCGAAGCGTGAGGGAAATTCTCGAAATCTTTCTCTTGGTCGTTCTCTATTATACCGGAAAACCTTATCGGAGTATACAAACCTAGTGGGAATATAAACACAAAGCATTAAGAACCATAACCGAGCGCCGAAGAAAGTCCGCACGTCAACCACTGCGAAGCGGACTAAGTCGGCGTGTCACGTCGGTTGTGCACGTCTACGAACGTCTTAAACCAGAAACACTAACCAGATCCCCATTTCGACTCTTCGAGAGTATATCAGACGCCGATGGAAACGCTCTCGTTCAGGCCTCTTCTGTCGAACGGCGCGAAGAGAGGCGCTCGCTCTCTTGCGTGTATACATGTACGGGCAAGCGCGAGAAACATGAATCACGTCGATCCGACGACAGATTTCACATATATACGGCCGAACCTGAAAATGAAACCTGAAATTGTTTCACAATATTATATATACATTATTCGCGCGTAGAAACACTTAAGAGCACATATGTATATTCAAAAGTGCAGTTTAAGACGTAATATCGGCCTTATTCAGTATATAATTTAATAATTCAAATGTTTCTTTTTACTTATTTTTATTACCATGCTTGGTTGCAGGCTCCTGTCCGATAACGATAAAAAACCTTTTATTGAGGAGGCTGATCGTTTGCGCGTTATTCACAAGCGCGAGCATCCAGATTATAAGTATCAACCCCGACGTCGAAAGCAGAACGGGCCTTCTTCCGGTCGTGACAGTTCACCCTCGAGGAATCAGAGCAATGTGACATTTAGCGTTTCCAGGTCGTTGAAACAGGAGGACATGAGTCCTAGAGGCGTCCAAGGACCTAATTCACCACAGAGTGGCGTGAGCTCTTCGCCACCGACGACCCCGGTCAAGGTCTTTCACCCCCCACACCCCTACGACACCCAGAGGACAGCATTATGTCAATCAGGTATTTAAATTTTTTCTTTATGATTTTTTCCGACTCTACAATTTATAATTTTATCGAAAAAAAATTTTAGATAATTAAATAAGTTACAATTCATTTTATTTTTAAATTATTTTACAAACATTCTAATAATAAATTTAATGGACTTTACGTATATCAGGATGAAAGAAATCTGAGTTGATTAATCAATATTCAAAAACTTTATTTAGATAATTAAATAAGTTACAATTCGTCATTTTATTTTTAAATTATTGTATTTTACAAACTAATAAATTTAATGGACTTTACGTTTATCAGTATGAAAAAAATCCGTTAATTAAATAATATTCATGTTACTTCTTCTCTCGCAATTATAATATTTAAGCGAGAAGAGAGAAAGTAACCGATTTCACAAATATAATTATCTAAGGTTAAACCTCTCGCTCGACGGACGTGATTTGCATCTCCGATGAAATCGTTGAAGTCACGCGAAATGAAAATGCTTGATGTACAGAGCAATCAGCCTCCGCAGAACAATACCGTATACTACCAGGAGTTAGTTAGCAATACGCCATCGAGCGATTCTCCGCATCAGCAGCCGGCGGTCGATCTTCGGTACATCGAAATCGGAGATGGCCTTCCCGGCGAGGAAAACCAGTTGAATGGCCTCGGCACTTTGGGAGGGCTCGGCCTGAATCTCCCGGTGAACTTCCAGGAGTGCGAGGTCGAGAGCAACGAGCTCGACCAGTATCTACCACCCCAGACCGCGCCGATACATCAATATCCACCTGTGCAAGTTACCACCGCTTCGCAATGGTTACTCAACAGGTACGAATCGCATCTCACTTTCGTCTATAAATTAATGAAATACATTTTTCGGAAAAAAACAGAATTAATTATGGTATTTTTTTCTTTTCTCTGGAATTTGAATATAAAGAAATAATTATATATTTCCATACAGCGCAACAAGCAGCATTGTGGCAACATTTTATTGCAATATTACAACATTGCATAAACATTGTGAAATGTTGCAGCAATCTTGCTGCAAGGTTGCAACAACGGGGTAAAATGTCCACTTTCAGTAATATTGTTCTATAGCATTGCAGCAATAATGCAATAAAATAAATATGTAATATTATTATTGGATTATTGGAAATGTGTTAAATACATGATCGGACTGAATGTTTTGTACCTAATACTTTTTATTTTCGTGAATTTTATTTTCATAATATTTCTAAAATGTTGCTGCAACGTTGTTTAAACTATATTGCAAATTCATGCCTATATTATATTTCTGCAATATTGCTATGCAATGTGCAATATTGCAATGTTGTTGCAATTTGCTGTAAACTTGTGTGCTGTACGGGAAATAATTTGGAAAAATGATGCGAATATTGTTTACAAATGATCTTGATTTTCTCCTCATCTTGGCTATTTTTGGTAAAATTTGTGAGATGTCGAGATGCATCTTGCTTCCAGATATGAGGAGGAGATCGAGAGGCCGATCAAGCGCCACTGTTCGGAGCAAGCGATCGCGGAGGTTTCATGGGAGGATAGGACTCAGGAGATGGTCAGGTACCACGAGTTGCAGCCTCCCCTTCCACCGGTCCAGTACATATCCGCCCATAACGCGCATCATTCGCACGCGACCGCGCAGATGGGTCATCCGCACGTGTCCACGTCCTATGCGCAATATGCTCATCGCTACGTACCTGGCATCGAGACGTGGCCCAACTACATGTAGGATCCAAATCAGGTAAACACGACGATGGTCATCATATTATATTATTTTTAATGGAGCGCTAAGATGCAAAAAGTGTCGTTGAATATTCGATTTACGCAAATAAGCGCGTAAAAGAATTTGCATAAATCATCCCAGATTTGCCGAATAGGATTTCAAGGATTCAGATTTTTGGAATTTGATATAGCGGTTTTTTCTTCATATTATATTTGACTCAATAATTAATAAATTAGAACGTGTTGATATTAATATAAAATCATACGTTATTGAAGTCTTTTAGATTAATTAGGAATCAAAGATTTTTTACACAGGGAGAAAAGAGGATTTAATCAATTTTTATTCACTTGAAAAACGGTTTTATTTTTAATAATATAATTAGATTTCGCAAAAAAACGCTTCTCGTGAAGAAAACATTGTTATCAATCAAATTCGTTCTAAAATCTGTTTCTAAAATTTTTTTGGTAAATCCGTGGAACGTATAGATACTTTTACGGATATATTTTTCTATAAAACGCTTTAAACGATGCGTTAAAGACATTCTATTTTACTACGTCGACTATTTTATTATATCGACGGAGATTCGAGTTACAAACACGCAGATTGTATAAACAAATTGAATTGATCACTGCGATGTTAAATCTCTGTGGTGTTACTGGGCATCGAGCCAGAAAGATAGCCAAATACAATGTAATTAATGATTATAATTACACAGACGAATTATATTAATAAATATATATGCTAATTTGATCGCGAACTGTACGCAGAATGCGCAAATGATGCGCGAGCTTTGTGTGATAAAGTTTATAATATTAGCGTGTAACGCAAAAATATTTCAGATATCATTCGTGTATATCGGTTTTAGGATAAAAGGATAATCGTTTCTTCGTCAGGAAGGAAATCCTAATATTATTTCTAACATTTAATAGCATTGCGAATCTAGAAAAAGAGAAGTATAATAAATATAAAAATTATATATTTTGAAGTCCCGAAAACTTACGATCGAAATGATTCTAATTCCACGTACAAATTTTACAAACACTTACATATGTAATATATTTGTCTAACTAACTGAAATAAGCAATATATATATATATATATAAGCCAAACAGGAAGGGTTTATCGCACCTTTTAAAAAGTGCAGAATGTAAAGAACATAATATATATATTTGCATAATATTGTGAATATTTTGAAAAAAAGACATTAATAGAATTCATTTTGAATTTATCTTTTTTTCTCCTAACTTAAATATGAAAAAAATATATATATACATTGCAGAAAGTGGTTACGCTTTATCTACTTTAGATATATTTTTATCAGAGATACTCACAAGTCAGAGATTGGCGGAATTAAATCATTTGAGTTATGCTTTTAATTTTCAATTTTTTAAGATAATCACACAGAATCACATTTCTTCATTTATTTTTCTTCTCGATTTTTATATTTTTAAGAATTTTGTATATCTTTATACAATATTTTTGCAATAATATTTATCGTTTTGTGTAAATCATTATATTGCTACAATTAATATTGTTAATATTTTCGCTGAATTAAATTTTAATATCCTTACAAAGGAGAGATAATTAGTAAAATTAAAATTAAATATTTCCATCTTAAATTAAAATTTAAAAAAATATAATATATTCTTGTTTCTGCTGGTATAATTATGTCTATATAAAATCATTTATTAATTCATCATTGAATCCGAGAAACAGTCGCGTTGCATATTTTTCGCTCGCATAGGAAAATGGCAAATTGGCCATTCTCCGACTTGAGAGTTTCTACTACTTAGAACCCTACTATGTAGATGAGGCGCGGCCACGATACTCACCATGACATCATTCCATGACAGCCGGCCATTCCAAAGCGCAGAATTTCAGGCCAAACAAACAGGCGGCCGCTCGATATATACGGTGCCCACCAGTGCGTTCCAAATGTAATAATATATACTACATATATACATAATAATATATATATATATATATTATATATATACGTGCGGACGCTATAAACCATCGATCGGTTTACCGTACGCTCGTACACGTCTCGTTCAAATAAACGACTGAAATACAATCGAGGGTGGGAACAAATGTGCGCCTGGCGTTTTTTATTTAATTGATCCAGTATATATTTCAGAATTCGAAAATCCTCGCACACAAAATATTCGCTAAAACTCACCGCGATGTGCGTGAATCATCTCGATTATTCTAGTTATATTCATATCTTTTTGAAAGAGATTAAGTACGAAAATTAAAAATTGAACTATTATGTTTTACAATTATAAATTCAGTTCTTCTAAATTTAGATTTTGTAAAAGATCGCTACTGAGGCGATATATCGAGCACCGAATTAATATCGAGCCTGAATATCGAGCGCTGCAGCTAACGTAAATGAGCTTACAGCTCTGTACTAAAATATGTAGGTTGCGTATATTATTAACACTAGTTACTACGCTGACAGCCGTGCTTTTGTACTTAGATATTTATTCACAATATTACGAGAATGGATAGAAAGCGTAGAATAACGTCTCCAACGTGTAATTGTGCACATTGGAAGATGAGCATTAAATCGTAATTTATAAGTGAGATGTACGCTAATTTGTAGAAATAAAACAAAAAGAGACTAAAGTCAATTTATCACATTTCATCCCTTTCGTTCCTGACTTCCTAAATTATGTGTAGATATGTATATTTTATATCTATCACACACTTTTTAATACGATAATAGTAATATGGTTTTACAGAAATACTTATTAGTATCGTCTCACTTTATACTTAGTTCCGTAATAATGTGTAAATTTGAAATTATGACAATCATACAAAATTCATAGTCATCTGGAATGTCTTTTCAGTCGAAACTATTTTATCTTGGCAAATTTCAACATAATTTCCTAATTTATGAAAAAAATGCATTTTTTTAAAGTAAAAATTTTAATTTTATCGACAAACTTACTTAGATTTCCGAATTTAGCTGTATTTATATAAAAGTAAAAAGACCGTGTGACGATTCGGCGACATCAACGTGGAGTCTCTTATCTCGTTTTCTTAAATGATATTTGCAACGATATACGCAATGGAATAGTATAACCCGGACTAGGTCACACGCGGTAATAATACGTCTCAAATATTTGTCCAGCCCTTTACTTCCCTCTTTTAACAGCCCAAAAACCGCGAATAGACTTTGGGTCGACGTTGAGCAAACAGGGCGCTTATCGAAATCCAACCGGTGCGAGGGACGTGGGAATGTCGCGACTTTTATATCACTTATCCGCGTTTAGGAGATTAAAAGGAGCGGAGGTGCGTACACACACATGTGTATACGATATGGCATTTTTGACACGTGTACTTTGACACTTACAGCATTCAACTCGAATCCTCGTAGAAAATTCGAGAGATGTATATAAATCATTAGTCTAAGTTTAAATCGAATTTTTTACATATTTTTTCTAAACGTATCAAACATCACAATTATTTTTTATTCGTCATAAAAGAACTGCTTGAATATCTTATCATATACTTGAGAATTCTCCATATTTCCTCCTCGACATTTAAATTATATTCGCCTGACTTTTCTTACTGAGTCATGTGTGCCTACTTTAGAGAGCTATGGCAGATCATTTTAATAAAAATAACTCGATAACTCTCGCGGCGATCGCTTACGATGGGTTTTGGGTTAGATCAACTCGGTTGACCTTTTTTTCCTTTTCTTTCTCGTCGAAGAAAGAGGAGAGCTCGATGAGCTTGACGAGAGTCAGCCCTTCGATTTTTTTTCTTCGCATCGTTGTCAGTCATCGAGATTTCGATAAAGTACTGACGAGAACAAGCAACGGAACGAAATAAATCGGAAATCGTGCCTGAGATCTCTTGACCCTTTGACACGATAGGAATCCGTGGAAAGGACGAAAAAGATGTAGCGAAGCGCGTCCGAGAAACAATCGTGACGCAAAACGTGACAATACTGCCCATTGAAATAGTGCGGATGCTGGGTGTCGGAAAGAACGGCCATTTACGCTTTATCTATTTTAATTTCGTCGCGTTTATTCGATTTACTGGAAGACGGTCGTTCTTTAACATCGAATGACTTCCGGGTGCCGGTTCCTGGAAATCACAGAAATCCTCGTTTATCTCGATACAAACATCCATATCTCCTTTCAACTTCATATATTTTCATAATGAGCCTCGATAAAACGCTCTGCAAGACGTTTAAACTGTTCAGAAAATTACGTCAGTAGAAATGTATTAAAATAATTTTACGAAAAAAATTTATATAAATATTTAACACATATTCTTCAGCACATTTTTCCTAAATATGACTTTTTAAGTGTGTAACTTTTATTTGTTAAACATGATATGGACGTTTAAACGTGATTATCAATATAAATATACAATTCAGATATGAATATTTTTAACTATACATCGAACGTCAACGAATTTAAGTATTTGTTTAAAAACATGCTAATCGAGCATTATATATATTTGCGTCTTCGCTTGAATCCGAATATTCTATCTTTTTATTCGAATAAAGGACATTCCCCTCCTGCGAGAATAGCGCCGATCGCGAGTGCGTTGACATTTCGTACGATGACTAAATATTTGAGTGCTGAATACTGATAGTATCGATAAAATTTTCGACAGTTCGGGCATTCAGCGTCCTGCAGAATAAAGAGTTGTAAACCCCTTACAGCTGTTCAGATTGCGGTGCGTTATCGGCTGGTTATACATTTATCCTTCCTACTATCTATCCATTCATCGAAATCTCGCCTTGTGGCACGCGTAGGCCATTGTGATATTGAAAAACTTAGTATCGGCAATTTCATTGATATTTTCAACGAAAATAATTTGTTGTAAAATCATATTATATAAGATACAAAACATAATATAAAAATATAATTTTTGACAATGTATAATTATTTCAAAATTTTACTTAATGAAATGACATTTTGCATTTCATAATTTTAATTGAAAATATACATTTTAGAGGAAAGATTTGCACGAACTTCGCGAAGTTTTTGTTTCGATCACTCAGTATATACACATGTGCATGACAGATATATGAAGGATCAAAGATGAGCTTATCGACCGATAACTCTAATTAGCGCGGCAATTAGGCCGTTTTAAGAATCGCTCTAAATAGCCTCTGCGGCGATAAAAGTTTCGTCTATTTACTCGCGCGCGCCGAGATTATCAATTAAATTTGCTGAGAAGTCGAGCGCGACGCGTCATTTTCCGGTCACCAAAGAGAGACATCTCTTCGCTTTCGTTGTTCTTCCACGAGGGGAAAAGTGAAGCCAGGATCGCGCCAAAGCAATCTAATCGATCGCTCTCTTTCGGTACACAGACTGAAAGCAGACTCACCACGTGTGAAACTAGACGGGACGGCATACCCATAGAAAGAGAAGGTTTTACCGTGATGGTCAATAGCAAGTCAAATACGAGTAGCGTTTTATCGTCGCGTTACCATGGTAATTACAAGATAGATATCGATAAACCGTGCACCTAGGTACATAGCAGTAGCGATTACAAGTTTATCAGTAAGAACCAAAGGGGGTTCGCGTCCAGGAATTTTAATCTTTCTCTTTTCGACACATACTTATGATAAATCGTGCACCCCGTCTCACGGGATGTGTCGAGATATTTTTTGTATACAAAAATAATAATTATAATAAGCATATAATCTGCAATTTATATGAAGTAGCATCTCATTGACATTTCACGAGCTCACGCTCCCGTTTCGACGACATTGAAACATGTGTACATGGAGAGAATTTTCTCTTAGAATTTACCCTGAAAATCATGATACTCGTGGGACAATGGTATTGAAAGAATTTTATAAGAGTTTCTCTGATTAATATTTATCACAATAAAAAATATTAATATGTATATACATAGTAAAATGAATCGAACCTATTTTAATTTTTCCAATGTCATATTGTCCTTGGATTGCCATGATTTTCAGGGTAAATTTGAGGAAAAATTTCTCTCTGTGTATCGAAATATGCTCCCTTCGGTTCCGGTCGTTTCACGAGCGCGGCACGTCTTAATTGCCAGCGGCGAGTAAAAGATAATTGACATTTGGCAGCGAGTGATCCGCGATACGCTCGAGGATGGCGGCATGACGCGGTAGCTTCTTCTCGGAAAGAAGTTTGTCCGTTTTGTACGTTTTATAGGTCTTGAATTTACCGCAGGCGTCGCCGACCGCAGCCTCGTCGTTTTCTTCGTCCAATGCCGATGTTAGATACGGGAAGACGCCGTCTGAAAGACGGGAGAGGACCCATCCAGCCCTTTCCTCCCCAGATCCCTTCTCTCTCTGCTCCAATTTTTTTTCTCCATTTTTCTGCGCGGACGGTTTTCTCCGCAGCACTTACTGACGTCGATGATGCATTAACGTAATTGCGTTCCGCATGCGAGATAAGACAGTGAACGACGAATCTGCCAAAAGCCTGT